AAAAAAAAAAATTATTGTCCGTCAACTAGGTATATTGGCCAGTTTCATAAACAGGAAGTAACTAGTCGTCTTCTTCAAGTTGCATTCAGATACATCGTCACTAGGCAAACTCGCCAGAAAGCCAAATGGCCTCGTGCTAGCATTCTCCCAGCCCCAAGGCCACAACCCAAGCCCCGACCTCGGCCAACAGCCGCCGTTTGATTTTGCCGAAGGAAATCTTACGGCGTACTTTCAGGTGCGGACGGTCAACAGGAAGCCCTCTCGGTCCCGTCTGTCCGTATACAGTAGGCGAGGTAAGCGTAGATGGGCATGACGGTTATAAGCATTCGGATTTCAGCCCTTCACATGCCTCGGCTCGCCAGGCTGGACCTAATCTTAGCCACGTGTACCTAAATCTCAAACTACCGAGTCTCCATAGCTCCATCGTTAAGGAATAACTAAGGAATAACTCGACCTAAGCGAAGACCAGGAGAGAGCTTCGGTCTCATGTCAGCTGTAGGTTTAATTTCCTGTATTGCCGCGCAGGGGGGCGGCCGAAGCAGGGGTCGCCATCCGAAGATCCACCACAAGCGACCCGTAAGCTTGGACAGAGGGATACCAAGACTTAGGTGAGGGAGGAATCAAACCTAGTGCCGTTTAGCATGGATCACTATTACGCAGTGCCGGGTGTACGATCTTAGAAGTGCAGGTAGTCCGGAGAAAACGATGGGGCAGAATCGAGAGACCCCTTCGACTTCAACTAGCATAGAATTATGCCATTCATAAGAAGAACGAGAAAAGAGTAGTCCGACTGTGCTTTGGATAAGGCAAAAGCAATGCCATGGACTAAATCAAGATGATTCCTTCGATTCCCCGAACCCAGGAGAATGTTCGGTCTTGAATGACCCACGTTCCAATATAGAAAACCCCAGGTACCTTGTCAGGGAATGTGGCCACATAGCAACGGCAGTTCACAGGTAATGCAACCCCGGCATATGCATTATTCGTTCTACCGCAGTCTGTCATCGATCGGTGAGTCAGGTGATCGATTAACTCCTATGTAGGTATAATGAAACCAAACCGGCTATCGCATCCTATCAGCTGCACAAACCAGCACACCCCTCAACCCCTCTCGACTGCAGTGCGAGATTTGCCACCACATTAAACATTCCTTCACAAGCTACGGATGGCCGCTGATCCTCTCAGCGGACGCGAAACAAGTACAGATCCTCATGTAAGAGTCAACCTAGTGAAAGCCCACCATCCATGTCATATCCGACGACGAAGACTAGTCCTTGTTCGCAAGCCCCCGCCCCCGTCAGAGCTTAAAGTATTGGCGGGCAGGGGCCTAGGTTTAAATTTACGACTCAGGACAGCAAACCTGTTCCATCAACTCCTGGATCTGCCGCAGGAGCCTCTTCTGCCGTATGCCTTTCCTAGAGGGCAGGTATCATGAGTGCTCGCTGGACAGAAAGTGAGGAGGATTTCATATTTGCGTCCCGGGAACGAGGGATTGATTGGCGTGTGATTTCAGAACGGTTGCCTGGGAGATCTGAAAGCCATTGTCGCGACTACTACGAGTACTGGGCAGGCAGACGGTCTGTAGAAGACAGGTTCATTCTCAAGCTACGAGGCCGAGGGGCTGGATGGGATGAGATTGCCGAACAGATACCAGGGAGAAGTTCGTTCAGCTGCTCAGAGTATTACAAGCACCATCAGGATCTGCAAACGTCAGAGAGAGCCAAAACCCAATTCTCGGTGGTATATCACAGGTACGTGTGTGGGTTTCCCTCGCGAAGATATTACTCAACCACAAGACTCTAACTACTGCTAGGTTGAAAGGGGAGATGTGGAAGCAAATAGGAGACGAGCTGGGTGTCGGATGGCGGGCTGCCGAAGCAATGCATTGGCAGCTAGGCGAACATGAACTCGAACGGCGAGCCAACCTCGCAGTCCCCCCAGGAGGAGAGGAGCATACCAAGCATCCATGTCAGGCGAGGGGCAAAGAGCAGTCCGAAGCTGGTGAGAGTGACAACTCTTCCCAATCGCATGAATTTTATGAGTGGGAGCTCCCACCATTAGCCCACTCGACCTTATTCATGAATTGTCGGTATTACTGCAGAGTGCCCAGATGCAAAGGAAACACGTGCACATGGGAGCACTGTACCGGCGAGCACTGTCCTGCGGAGCTTTGCAACCGGTCCTTCCCTTCAGAAGGAAGTAGCAGGTAAGAGCTCTCAGTGTCTAGCTTTTACGAGTTTCTTTCAGGCTAACAATGTCTGGTAGGAAACACTTACGTGCTCACTTCAAACCAGTTCAATGCCCGTTCTGCGAACGGAGAGCTTCGTCTCAATCCGAGATGAGGAGACATATCACAACCCATAAGAATAAGCAAGACGAGAAACATTCGCATTTCTGCCCGTTTTGTAAGAAAGGCTTGACGAGGAAGGATAACCTACGACGGCATATAAGGATGAAACATGGCGCGACTGATTCGACGACGCCTTATATGTGATTTTCCGTCACTTGCTTCGCCCTAACTTCCAAAGGAGCTTTGGATAGTGTTGAAAACCTAGACTCTCTGCTTGAACAAGAGATTTTAAGTGGAAATACGTTTCAATAGACAGGCTACAGAGCCTCCATCACGTACACGTTATATTCCTCACCAACACAGCAATGGAGACATCACGAAGCGAACTTGGCAAAAACAAGATATTTAAAATACGAGATACCCTTTAGGACAAAAATGCAAAAGATATTACCTACAACAGCCGGTATTCGCTGGTCGTCACCGACCCAACTACTAATCGGCCCCTTGCCAGCTTAACGTGTGGAGAGCAAACGGGATCCAGTGCTGTCTGGCAGGTATGGTCGTAGATGAAAGGAGCATGTGATATGTGCATTATATAGATAGGTCCTCCCTTCAGTCATCAAGGCCGGCGTGGCCAGTGACTCTTTGACTACAAGACAGTCTACCATCATACATATATAGGGGTATTAGGGCGAGCAACATTGCTACAACCCTAGTTCTATAAGCCAGAAACGAGATCCTCTACGTCCTCTTAAAACAATCCACTACAAAAGGAAAGGGCTAACGAATGTCTTAATGAAATTAGTACATTGAATCGTATGATAGATTGCTCCAAGCTCTCCCAAGTAATGCCAGTCATCAGTTCCGTCCTAGAAGAGGAAAAGAGGTAGAAAAGGAAAATAATTAAACACTAAATGCCAGGCTAAGTCATCAAATACATTAGGAAAGAGTTCTTAGTTAACTCAATGAGTGAAAACACCAGATTTTTCATCCCCCTTCAGATGTCCGATGATTCTCGCTTAGTGCTCTCCACTAGAGGATGAGCAATATCCAGCGCAGAGTCCATGAACTTCTTAGACAGCTCGCGGTTGACATTCTCCCTCTGCATCTCCTTCAGCGTGCTGTCCATGCTCTCGAGGAGAGGCACGATGGCACGCAACAGCTGCTTCTCCACACTGTTGTGGGAGGAGATAACAGCTTCCCCATCGACGCTGACTTCCGACGTGGGCGTCTTGTCGCCATCGCTTGCATTGCTCGAGGCTCTGTTCGCCGTGTTCTTTCGCGCATTTGAGTTGAGGACCTTGAGCGTCTTGCTGGTGTGATTTTCCCGGATCCGCCTCTTTTCCCCGTCCGAGTGGGCATCATCCTCTACATCGTCCTCATCCATGGATATATCCAGCTCTCTTCGCATTCTCTCCTTGAGCGCCGCCAGCCTCCAATCATGCGCCGTCTGTTTCTGGTGTGCTGTGAGCCACTGGGTCTCTTTATCTTGTGAGGTTGAGGACGACGTTCGGGTGGAAGACTCGGGGCTCTCCTCGATACCCAGAGAGGGCGCGCTGTTCCTGGGAGAAGGCTGAGAGTCACTCGGGGGCGGGGAAGTGAAAATAGTCGAGATATTCGAGATGCTGTTTCGTTTGGATGAGGTCGTCTTAGTGTTGACGGTCAAGTCGAGTGGGTTCTTTGAGACCCGGATGGGAAGAGGGCGTTGGCGGATGTTGGGCTTTTCTGGTCGGAGATTGGACCGTGGAGGGAGGCTCGGGGGTGATGATCCGGTAGATAATAGGGATAATGGGCGGAGAGAGGATGTGGGTGACCGCGACTCGATACTTGCAACTACCATGATCGGGGTCATGCTCAACGCTGTAATAGGAGGCGCTGGAGCATCCTCAGGCACAGGCTCGAGCTCATTATCGAAATCAGGCTCTGTCGTCTCCACCATGATTGATGTAAAAGTCCAAGGTGGTGTTTTGGGCGAGTTTGCTTCCTGAACCGTCTCCGGAATCAACTGCTCGATGTTTTGTATCGAGGATCTCCGGAGCTTGTGGCTCTGGACGTTTCCGTTAGCTGCCTTAGATACCTCCGTTGAGTTGGAGGATTGGTGCGCAAGGGGTGAAGGGGGCTGTAGGCCTTTACGAGCGGGTGCGTGGTGAGGAAACCAGCCCAGGACAGGTGAGTCCACTATATCAGCCATGTTGTCATGGGGCACCGTGAGATTTGGCTTGGTTGCTTCGAGATCTCTCTGTAGTTTCTCACGGACTTTGTTTCTCCTTGCCATTCTTCTCTCGGCAAGACTTGTTGCCGTCGCGCTCGTCCCGGCGGAGGAAAAAGAGCGCAGGGAACCAGTCATACTAGACCTCTTTGAACGGAATGGAAGCCTAGTCTCGCTAAACGATTCGATTGAATCTCTATTTGACCCTCTGCCAATCTTCTCCGTCACTTCGGTCCTTTCAGTCATACCACTCGTAGCCGAGGTGACGCTTCCAATTGAGTGTCGATGGTTGTCACTCATGACTGCAGACGGCAAGGAGGAATCTACTGTGCTAACCGTTGATTGCCGGTGAGGGTCAGAATCAGTCAAATCCGCGGACTCTTGTGATGACCTTCTGTCCGTCTTTGATGGCGCCGTTCTATTTGCATCTAAACCCGACATGCTGCCGGAGACATGAGTATGGTGAAATGATGCTTCATCCTCCAGGCTTCTCCCGCTAGATAGTTGATGTGTTGACATGTACAACGGGTGTGTAGCACTCTCAGACTTGCATTGTCTCAGCGGCGGACGCTCAGGCTGCATAAGCCGTTGATCCAGGTTAGATCGAGGGGGGGGATGTCTAAACAAAGGGCCCAAAGATGGGGGCGTTGTAGGGCCCGTTGATGAGATGCTGTTGGACGCGGAGTGGGATCGAATACTTTCAGGTGGCGATGGGAATGACATGGCTGCCAGCATGTTCGGAAATCCAGGAGACTCGGGGAATAAATTCGGTCCTTGCGGTACCTCCAACATCGACTTGACCATGATATTACCTGGTTTCTTGGGCTGTTTGGGCGACTTTGGCGACGTCTTCTTCGACGACCTCGTGCTGGGAAAGGCAGAGAGCTTGCCACTCTCAGGAGATTTCGGCGACGTCGTAGATGACGCATCAGTGCCCTTGGGACCACCGTGGAGAACGCTTCCAGCATCTGGGAAGCTCATTTTCTTTGCGTTGATTGGCGGTGTGGCCGGAAGCTCTAGAGGAGGCGCTTGCCTTTCTTCCGTGGGGGAGGGCGAGGGCCGGACTTCGATCTTGGGAGCAGGAGGGCTGCTTGGGCCGAGAGCGCTGAGAACAACCACACCTGAATCTTCCGCCTGGTGGTTCGAGCCATTCACTGAAGCAGGTTTGCTGTTCGGGGATACGGCTTCGCCATGCTGGATCTCAAGCCACTCGTCCACAAGCCTCATAAACGACTTCACGCCACGGTCTGCAGTGGTGACCTTGATTGATAATCGAAAGGAGTTGGGGTCTTGTTGGTTCGGGTGCCTTGATACAACCGCCGCGACGTCGCCTGCCTTGGTCGTGTTTCGGTCGAGAAATCTCTGCGTGTTGGAGCTCGTATGGCTCTTGGGACTGTGGAGATCGTACGACGACCTGGGGGCCAGGGACTCGGTATCGATGGCGCTCAAGCGCGAGACAAGGTGCGACCTGTGGATGGCTGACAGGCGAGACTGAAGGGATGCTCGTCGATCTGAGACAGTGGGCGCCGCGGGTGGTGCGGGAACAGATATCGCAAAGTATGAGTGCCCAGCCGCCGTTGTCCGCCTCGTAGCCCTGTCACCCAGATTGAGTGAAACAGGACGCTGCTGCATCTTGCTCCCTCTGTTGCCTGCCCTCAAAGACCGTATCGACCATCTTCGGTTCTCCCCGGGCCCATTGCGACCAAAACAATCCTGCACCAAGGGGGTATTAGTGGCCGCGGGAGGGCCAGTGTTGCGCAGAAACTGGGCGAGCTCCCTCAGACTCTCCCGGTCAACCTGTTCACGCGCGATGTCGCGGAAAGCCGACTCGAGGTCCTGGTCCGCGTCCTTCCCGAGGGCGTGGTGGTTGAGGCCGGCTGGGGTGGATGTCCTTCGAGGTACCGTCGATCGCTTAGCCCTGCTGCTCGCGGCTCTCTGGGGTGCTTCGAAGTAGAATCGAGCCGGCTGCGGAGGCCCGGTTGTGCCACTCTCGCCGAGTGACAGGCTCCGCAGCCGGGGTTGTGTAGACGTCATGAGTGGTGCAGCGATGTCTCTGACGACCACATCAGCACATCCATGTAGGCTGTCTCTGAGCTCTGCGCATCTTGAGGTCAGTAAGACAGGAAAAGGTTGGCGGCGGAAACGTTCCAGGTGGTTCAATATCTGCTCTGACTTACAGCCTGTGTGACCAGCCACACCAGGTTTGATTCGAGTACAATGCCAAAAACAATCAGAGATCCCGAGCTCCCCTTGAACAATCGCGTTGGCCCAGTCGTATGATTAATCTCCAATGATCCTTCTTTCAAGCCTAGCAGAATACTCAGTGTATGGGTCGAGAGGCAGGCCAGCAGAGTGGATGGCTGGGAGTCGTTTTGTGTTGGTGCCAGAAGGATCGAGCTGCAGCCAAGGGAGTGACGAGGCTGGAGCGGAAGAAGGACTACGATATACCACAAAATACGAAAACAGATCAGGGTCAACCAGAAAGAGCGTATAGGCAAACAAGCAGAATAACAGAGCGTGTGAACAATGGGAGAGAAAGAGAGAGGGGAAGGATTTTCGACGGGTGACGACGGATGGCGACGAGCTAAGTTGAGCTCTCCTCCTCTGCTCTGTTCGGGTGCTCCCTCGCTCCACACATGCACATCCATCGGGACATCACATTGCATCGTTCCTGGGAATGCAGAACAACTAATTTGCACTACGCGAACTAGCATCCAGCTCGCCGCCCCTTGTCCGTGGGGAACCAATTGTGACATGAGCTCTCGTGGGAGCGATTACGCTCACCTCGAGGGCACAGGCGTGGGGTCCATCACACTGCAAGCTACTGCTATGGCAGGGTTTCAGAGCTCAGATCGGCAGTGGGATCTTCGAGTTATGTGATCAAAGCCCCCAATCGAGAATAGATGCCATTATTAGTCTCCTACGCTAGGTCACTGTCCGTCACCACTCCGTTGAACGCTTTCTTTTTCTGAAGGGCGACGGCCTCGACCGCATATCCAATCTCCTTTCTCCTCAGCTTGCGCTACTGGACGCCTCTTTGTTATTGCACCTTGCAGCAGTCCCACACCACCACTCTCAGCCCCCCTTTACCCCTGAACGACCCCAAAGGCTGAACGTAGCTACATAAGATGGCCTACGAAAAGCCACATCCAGGTGATATGCACATCGGCCAGCTTACCCTTCCCCATTGACCCCCAAGGCCTACCATGTGCTAGCTCACGGGGATGATCGATAGCAAATCGTACGGCCATCCATCGATATTCCGCTTCCCTGCTGGCCAAGTCACAGAAAACCGAATCCGAGTGGACGGGACCGTTCACAAGAAACTAAACATAGCGCCTCCATCCGCGTCGAACTCATCAACCAGCCCCGCCAAGGGCAAACCATGCCAAGAATGACAGTGATCACCGTGAGCACACCCCATCAGGAGCAACACCCGCGTCCGCGCCCCAAAGAAATTTAAATACAGCGCCTTGCTCCTGCACCCGAGTAAATGGGGATCGTCATGTCCGGCGCACTGCAGATCTCCCATCTAGTAATCTGCAATCGCTTGCATATCGCGCCTGTACCTGTTGAGCAAGGCGCGACGAGAACGTCGGCAGACTGTCGCAATCCCGCTGAGAAAAGGGGTGATCTGCATCAGACATTGTTGAGTGCTGCCCGTCTTACTGTCTCAGTCGGGAGGCGAAAAAAAAAGAGTAATAAAAAAAACATTGAGATGCAGAAAAAGAAAGCAATAGAAGGATTAAAAAAATCACACAGGGCTGCCTTCTGCGCCTTACTTATTATTGACTGTCTACCAGGGTATGGTCACCGAATGTATCTGAAGGAATTCAGTCCCCTGGCGAGCTTCATATCGCTAGACTACATCAGGGACATCAATCATCGTCACTCGAGTGACAGCATTATTTCTCCGAAGAATGTCGCACGCAGCTTCACTCCTCCAGCCTAGACCGAGGCTCGGGTCCATGTCGGTCCGACGCCCGACAATTTAGTGAGGTCGCATGTTGGCCGCCGTGATTGTGCTGGCTTCTAGATTATCATTGTGACCGGAATTTATTGAAGAGATTGTCGAATATATTTTCTTTCGTAGGTGTATAACTTCAGCGTGTGGTGTTTTCACGGTTCAATTGCTATTGTGCAGCATTATCCCCGCATTTGAGCAGTTCTAGGCTTCACTCTAAATAAATTTGGAATCTAATTGTTCTTACTACGTATTATGGTGTTGTACCAAATAGTAGCTAGACTCATTATCTCAAGGCTAAAATTCCAGTTCTAGATGATGCTCTTTCCCTCTTACGTAGGGTAGCTAGTATTTCAGGTGAAAATGGGACAAACTGTCCATCAATGTGTACACGTTTGTGTAGGGGCTTTCATTTGTAAGGCAATGAAAAATTACAAGAGTATCATAATCATGGAATATTGAGTCTCCAGCGACCGAACACTAGGACAATTAGTTGAACATCTTTGCGGTTCATAGAGCCAGATATGATGTCTAGATATGCGGTATAGGGTAAGATAATAATCAGTGCGGCTGATTGTGGCTAGTATGTAGTGGCTGACGTCAAGTGCCATGGCTGGTGATTGAGGCTGATTTAGCTGCGCCACACTCGTATTGTTGTTTCAGGTTTTGGAGCCAAGCTGTGATTCAGTCCCCCTCGTAAGCAACACATCATCCCCTCTGGAGGCCTTAAAGTATGGACATTATAAGGTTAAGCAGGGATGCCAAGATAAATGGTGCCACGGAGGACCCTGATGAGCATGCCGTAGATCCGAGCAATGGGTTATTCAATGCCATGCTTGGGCACTTGAGGACGTGGCCCCAAAGCTATGAACGCCAAGACGCTCCTCATTGGACCCTCTGTTACGAGCCAAGAGCTCCCCAGTAAGCTTGATTGGTGATTGAGCTACCCTTACAGCAAAGACGTGACACAAGTTACTGGATCAGCCACTGGCCGCGTCATGCGGAGGCGGAATTGGGTACCAAACTCAACGATTTCCATGGAATGCTCGTCTCACCTATTAATAAAGTCGGTATACATACGGTGTGCTGCCCCTCTTGCTCGCCCAAGCTTCATACTTGGCCCCTCATCTTTCCACCAAGTCTGCATTCATCGTACATCTCCTTCAAAGTCTCCTAGCATCTTTTTTTCCCATCGTACAGCAAGCAAAAGAACACCATCATGACCAACTATAATAACAACAACAACAACTACCAGGGCGGAGGCTACCAGCCGCAGGGCGAGGCGGGCAGCTACTACAACAGCGGCCGCAACGACGGTCCCGGCGGCCCTCCCCAATACGGCGGCCAGCAGCCACAATACGGCCAGCCCCAGGGCGGCTACGGCGGTCACCAAGGGGGTCCTCCAGACTACAGCTCGGGAGGTAACCAGAACCGTCCCCCGCCATACGGAGGCCAGGGCGGCCAGGACAACAGACCAGACTACCAGCCGCACCCTTCCCAGAACGAGGGCTGGGGCAACGAGAAGCGTGACGACCGACGAGACGACCGACAGAATAACTACGGTGGCTCCGGCCCCAACGAGGACGGCCCTGACGGCGAGCGAGGCGTCTTGGGTGCCCTCGCCGGCGGAGCCGCTGGAGCCTTTGGCGGCCACAAGCTGGGCGGCAAGGCAACTGGCCACAGCAAGACCAGTGCTGTCGTTGGTGCCCTCGCCGGTGCCTTTGCCGGACACAAGCTGCAGGACGGCGTGTCTGACTGGAAGGACGACCGCGACGAGAAGAAGGAGGAGGAGAAGCGGAGGAAGGAAGAAGAGAAGCGCAGAGAGGAGGAGGAGAAGCGGCGACGAGACGAGCGACGAGACGAGCGACGAGACGACGACCACCACGGACACCACGGAGGCCGTCGTCACAGCCGCTCTAGAAGCCGCTCCAGGAGCCGCGACCGTGGCCACCACCACGGCGGCGGCGGCAACTTCTCCGCGTCGTCAGAGGACGTGTACCTCGAACACGGACGCATCCTCAAGGCCCGGTGCCGCGCCGACGGATCGCTGCGGGACAGCTCCCTCAACCTGGACGACGTCCTGGAGAACGACAACGGCCGGTTCCGCTGGGTCAGCGGCGGCGGAGGCCACGACCACGGCCACGGCGGCGGTAGCTGGACCGTCCGGCCCGGCGACACCCTGCGCAGCATTGCGTCCAACTACAGCGTGTCGTGGGAGGAGATTGCCCGCCACAATGGCCTGAGCAACCCTGACCTCATCCACCCCGGCCAGACGATCCAGATCCCTGGGGGTGGTGGCCACCACAGTCGCGGCGGCAACTTCAGCGGGTCTGCGCGCGATGCTCGCCTTCGTGACCATGGCCGTAGGCTCGAGGCTGAGCTGCGGCGGGACAATGGTGACTGGGAGAGGGCCGAGATTAACTTGGACGAGAGGATTGGCAATATCAACGGATCCCTGCGACTCGTCTAAGTGGGTGTAGCATGTTAGTTAGCTTGATAGCTCTCAGTCATATCAGTCATAACGTCCCCCAATGAAAAAAAAAGCATTCATCGGATGTATCGCTGTCATATTTGATTCTGATCCATGTCGGTAAGCTTGGCCAGCTCTTCGAGAATGGCATACCTGAGTAGTCGCTGGGGAGGATGTGTGCGACGCTTGTTAATCTTGCTAAGCGTAAGTCCAACTAAGCCGTCACCGTTTGCAACACACGTGGAGTGTCTGGAGATAGAGGCCAAGCCTTCAAATCGATTGTTCTTTGCAATCGACTGCTATGACTTTCTGGCCCGGTTTGTATTGATTGCCCCGTCAAATAGAGACTCTGTCTCCTGACTCGGCTGGAACCCCCGCGGAGGAAACCCGTTCATTTGAATTAAATTATGTACAAGAATGCTGATATCTGGATAGTCGTTCACACTTAGAAAATAGCACCATCAAACGAGCTCGCGCCCATTAATCATCTCCTTCATTAACCTTTTAGTAAGGGGCTTGTCCAAGGCTAAAAAAAACCGTTAGTATTTGGGATATACCAAATATCAGTTGAATGTTATACGTACAAGTTGCCGACAGGGTCGAAGTGAGCGACCACGTAGACACCGCCCTTAGAGTCAGTTGCGCTGGCGATACCGAACTTGGTAGTTGACTTCCAAACATTTTGGGCTATTGCAATACACGATTAGAAACAGGCCAGGTGAGAATGCGAGTAGGGAGATGGGTAGGAGAACATACTGTAGTGGCCGATGGAGGCAACATTGCCCTTGGTGACAGAACCACCCTTGTAGTTGCTCTTTTCGCTGTTCCACGAGTTGATGGCATCAACAAGAGGAGTGCTACTTCCGCTGGCCCAGAATAGGTTCTCGCCGGAACCTGAGTGCTCTAGCTTACCAAGGGTGGTGAGGTAGTTAGCCCATTGCTGGGCAGAAGCGACAAGCTCCTCATCCCAGGTCAGAGCGGAGGTGCCAACATCAGCACGGGCGGCGTTGATGGCGTTGAGGCCGTTGGTCTGGTCGTCAGTGAGGTTGTCGTTGGAAGTGGAAGACTTGGTGTCGGCGGTGGTGGTCGAGGTCGTGGTAGTGGCAGCAGCGGCAGAAGTGGTAGTAGCAGCCTCGGACGCGGAAGCGACGATGACGACGGTGGCGGGTGAAGATTCCGATGAAGGCGCAGACGAGACTTGACTCAAAAGAGTGCTCTGGGGGGTACCGTCTTCCCAGGTCGAAGTAGAGAAGGTAGAGGATGGTGCCAAGGTGGTGCTTGGAGTCTCCACGGCAGTGGTAGAGGGTTGCGAAGTAGTAGAAACGACGATAGTCGTAGGAATCACGACAGTGGGGGTCTGCACGGAGGTAGGAGTCTGAACAGAAGAGGGGATCTGAACAGAAGATGGCGTCTGAATGGAAGAGGGAGTCTGAACAGAAGAGGGAGTCTGCACCGAGGAGGGAGTCTGCACAGCAGTGGAGGTCTCGATAGCACTCGAGGTGGTAGCAAAAACGCTGCTGGTCTTGCGAGTGCACTTCTTGGCCGTAGCTCCGGCGACCAAGAGGGAGAAAAGAAGATTGGTGACTTGCATCGTGAAAGTAGAGAGTATGTTAACTGTCGCCGGGACTGTGATTTTGCTTGAAATGAGTGTGTTTTGAAAGAATGGCTATGGGATAAGGAACCCAAGGAAAGGAATGACAAAACTTGACGACGAAGTTGGTGATTCCCTCAAGAGCAGAGAGGAGGCCACGGCCTCTCTTTATTACATTCACTCGATAGGCAGGAGACCAACACTCAACGCCACATGCAATAAGCTCCCTTGCTAATTGGGATTCTGTGCAGCGGTCTTGTTGTTTCAAGTCTGAACTAGCTGGGAAGTCCTCAAATCCTGGCAGGCCGATCCTTGCCCACATGGACTAGATGGGTTTTTTCCCTCAGACCATCAGCCTATCAGGATGTCAAATAGGCAGGTCGCGTACCGAAGTGGCCGAGGAGGCATCCATCCCATCTTCTTGAGCATCGGCACCAACCGATCGTTCCTGGCGCACATCAAACACCGGAACCTGGTAGTAGTGCTGCTTGATGGGAAGAGGGAGAGGGTGAAGATTTACATATCACAATCGAGATACCAAATGCACTGAACGATCTAGGTAAGAATATGTCAAATATGTGGATGACGACTCTGTTGCCCTGCATGGTCTGTCATTCATCTCATTTTCGTTCTCGGCCCAGCGTATGAGGCCAACAAATAGCTCCCCTCTTTTAATATGCATTCGCAATTTTTCGTCATGCCCGCATATTTCTCAGGCAAGAGAGATCTTATGTAATTATTAAGGGTCAAGAAGGATGAGGGGCTGGGCTGTGAGCCCCAGTAAGCCCGTGTTTCAGATGCCGCCTTTCAAGATCAATTGCGCGGCCCATTTCGATCCTTGACTGGAAATCAAGAAAAACCACCAGCTGTGCTCTCGATTAGTCTCAAAAAGAGAGAGAAAATAAACAAATAAAATTTCGAGTCAAAGCAGTATCTATTTGGCGGTAACATATCCGGGACTCTGGGCTCGGAGAGGTCCAAATGGGGAGGCCGAATGCAATTGAGGCACAGAATTTGCCTCTGCATGCCAGAAGAAATTAGCTGACAATGATGCGAGCCAGGCAGGATCTTACGCACCCCAGATCGCTTTGGCATCCCGGTACCGATAAGCTACGAAGAAGGCAGTGAGGGAAGAAGAGGCGGGCAAACAATACTGCACAATATTTCGTTGGCACTTGTTTTCAGTTTCGGGATGCAATCGCTCGCTTAAACTATGTCCTCTGCTTGTAGTGTGCTATGATGGCAATTACCGAGCCTCTCTCGCCACAGCGAAAAAAGGAAATTCTCCCTAACAATTTAAGTATGGAGAGCCGAGGCTTCTTGTCGCTCATATATGCCTCTAAACATACGACGGTATCTCATTAGGAGCAGCATATTGCATGTACAAGACCGGCTGTGACTTGTTGATTACATATAACAAGGAAGGTAGAAGTCAATTGCAGTAATTTACTTTCGTACAGAATGCTTTCTTAGATCTTGTAGCTAGGGTCTTCATTCTAAGCACCCGGACGACAACGATGGGCAGCGTCGTTCCGTGTAGTACTAATTTCATGTCCTCGCACTATAAACTGTGGTATACCCTGATCTCAAATTGCTCGGGCTTGGCAATAGTCAAGGTCTTTCCCCCCAAAGGAAATGCTTACAAGGCATGTTGACGACATACTATGTGAGCAGAATTTCATCCGTTGGTTTCCTTGATGTTCGAAGCAAGCAGTCCTTAGCCTCAGAAGAGACACACCGAACCTGGGCGGATGTAGACATGATTAAGCTACTGTCGGCTCGGTGTTTCAAAGCGGAAACTCACTACTGATAATCAAGACTTGAATAGCAATAGCGAGCTGAAATTAGCTATCAGGAGTGCATACGAGGCTAGGAATACTTAGTGTTCGCAAAAGTTGTAGGTTTGTTCTTCCCATTGACTCTCTGCGTCTCCTTGGAAAGCAGTTCTGATATGGATCAACTTCAACCGATGCTCTTTCGCTTCCTCAAGGCTCATTGGAAGTGCATCGTCGAACTCATCTGCGAGCATACTCATCAGCTCTACGGGCATGCCATGTGTGCCTCCCTCCGCAGCTGCCTTGAGACCGGAATTATCGGCCGAAGGAGCTTTGTCTAGAATCGTTTGGGCAATGGGTGCAGCGACCTTGTTAGCCTCTGCTGTTTTCAGGTTCATGAATGCTCGATCCATCCACCAATCCTGTTGCTGCGGGGGGACATTGGCTGTACTGATGATGCGAGTCAATGGGTCTACGAGCCACAAGGCGATGAATCGACGATGGCCCGGCTTTGTCTTGTCTTTAAGCTCAAAGGGGGAGACCCTATGGTGGAAGACGTTGGGGAAAGCGAGCAGTCTGCCTTCCTTTGTGTCCACGCTCCCGTAGTTCTGAAGGCATGGCGCATCCTGGCCCACCCCGAGTCGAGTACCATAGACACGTTCCATCCATTTGTAGTTATCCTGACCAACGCGGAATTTACTGTTGATGTCGCGCGTTGTATGCATCCGAAACTGTAGATGACTCGGTGTGATATTCTCCGAGTCCAAGTAATAGAGCGCTGTGCCAACAATGTGCTCGTTCATTTGGCCCTCCACATGCCAGCCACCGACGGGAAACTCGGGTTTCTCAGGGGTTAACTCGATGGAAGCCATTTTTACAATGATCTGAAGCCCATCAAATCTTTCCCTGAGAGACGCGCCCTGGCTGGGTCCATATTTCCAAGCTTCAAACTTACCGGCTCCCGAATCATTTGCCATTTGATCTCCTTGCGGGTTCCACAGTAGGGGTCTCCAGACTCAGAATCCCAGTCTTCATGATCATCCTCTTCGTCGAATTCCTCCTCAGCATCCCTTTCATCGCCTGATACCTCGGCTTCTGATGGTGCTCTCGAATGCCTTGGCGTTTCTACCTCATCGAGCTTCGGTACCCAGTTATCTTCATTGTCATCACTGGTGATTGCCGTCGTTAGCTGTTAACTGGTTCTCCTCGTCCTGGCCTTTCTCGACTTTGAACTTACTCAGGGTCATCCGGAAATGGGAATCGGGAAGACCTCCCACTGACGCCTCTCCAACCACGGGCGGCAACACAGGTATCCCAAGCGGGGATGGACTTTTCAAGGAGCTTCTCAATCGTGCGGTAAATCTCTCTGTGCTTGAGCGGGTGAAGATTGTTGATGTAGCTGGTAAACTTCACGCTCCCATCCGGCTGGAACTTGACATTGGCAGGAAGCCACTGATACTTGGGAGACCAGCACGAAGGGTCAACACGAAAGCCCCCGTACCCGCCAAACCCAATAGTAACCTTTCTAGGGCCGGAATGATATTGCCTTTCCCCGCCCATTTGTCGATCGCATCATCCACACCCACAACCTCGTCGGCGAACACTCGCGTAGTTCCGTACACGAGTGGGTAAAGCGAAGGATGAACCAGATCCTGCACCTTGTCGTCCGTGCGGGGATGCCAGTCTGGAGCAGACTTTTGCTCCGCCTGGAGCTTCACAAACGCGGCCCGCAACTCGTCTCGAAGCGCTGCATCAATCAGCGTGTCAGATTTGCAGACTGCTGCAGACGCGTCCAAGGTTGGGACCAGCCCCGTCTTCTCGAAGTACTTGGCTTTGGCACGTAATTCTTGGATACACTATCGAGATGTGAGCGAGCAAGAAACGAAGTAGGAGGGCTGGCGGTCTTCACTCACGTATTCGAGACAGTCTTTGTCCAAGATGTTCTTGAGTCTCTTGACCCGCTGGCCATCTGGGCCATCGTTGCCCAGAACGATTTCATCCCAAAGGGAGTTGTCCGGTATCGCGAGCGCTTCGTCAATCCACTTGGCGACAATCGCATCGTCAAAGACCTTGCGGTGGAAGTCGGGCTTGTCGGATAGGCGATCCATAACGATCATCATGGCGACCTCCCGAACAAAGAGCATCTCCGATATGGAGCCAGGGTACTCGGGATGGATGCCTAAAGGATAAAATTCCTTCTTACCCCGGGGATCGGCCACATATCGCAGCTCCTTGCCCAGGCCTGGGTAAGAATTAGAGCTGGAGCCGATTATTTGCTCCATTGTTGATGAGAGTGGTGGCCGATGGTGAGGGACTGGCGACGATCTTGGGGGTCTATTCTGAGACGAGGAAAACGCAATTGTAGGTCACTCACTATACTTGGTTCCTTGATTGTGATTGAGTGAGCCGTGTATCAATTGCCATCGATCTGACGCGCTCATGGGTTGGTCTTAAGTCTCTTTCAGGCCCGGGCAAAGACGAGTCTTTAATAGTGTTGGTTGACTCTACTCAATGTGACCTGCCCGTATTGTATCTGGGAACAAGGCCTTTGACAGCTCTGCCCAGCATTGCTTTAGGCTGCCAATCCGCAGAGTGGAGAAGAGTCCTCCCATTCACGCGGTCATCACCGTACACCCTGGCTCTTTCACGGTTCCGTTTATTTTCTCGGCAGTAACAAGTGCTCATAATCTCGACCTTGTGCGTTCGGATGCCTAATGTCTCTTCTTGCTTAGCGGAGACTGGAGTGTCCAAATGTAGGCGATGACGAGAGTTTAGTTGCTGGGGTTAGTAGGATCATTGTTCGCATCATCACGGTTATAAGCCAAACAACGTCTGCGTGGGGGTCGAAATATTTAGTAATTTAGTTTGATTAGTGTCTAAAACTGTTGAAAAAAAAGGGAATTATGGTTTCTATGCTGTGGATGTGGCTTCAATAATCAAACGTCACTCTTTTAGCCCCTTTTCATCTGATCTCTATACGCCAATGCAAAGCTGTTCCTTTATGCCTTCCTCTTGTGTGCGTATTTGTATCTGGTTAAATCTCCCAGAGGTACGCGGAAGGGAAGAGCATCCTCGCACAGGTAGTGCAACACGGTGTAGTAACATAAAATGGATGCCGCGAAAGCAAATGCACCCGAAGCTTTCATGAAATGAACGCCTAATTCTATCTTGCCCTCAGCGGAGGCAAAGTAAGAAGCGGCGTCGAATATGAGGCAGAGCTCCACGAAGGAAAATACTCCAACATAAGTGATGTTCCTAGGTGCCTTGTCAATATATGCGAGGAGGCAAGGGGGCAAGATGCTTTTGGAGTTCGAGAACATACATTCTTGTTGTGCAGAGGAGGAAGAAGAAGTTAAAGCAAGCCCATACTAAGACGTAGGCTCCGAGGGCGTTGTTAAAAGAGGGGGTAGAAGTTCCTCCATAGAAGTCCGCGATCCCAGTAGAGGGGATGGTGACATATCCGTAACCAGCGTAGAAGAAGCCTATAGGAGTCATGGCATTAATAATTTCCGCTCCGACATTCTTGCCAAAATCCACGAGCATTCGTACCAAAAGCCATAAGAACAGTATAGGAGAAAGTGTTCCCCTTGAGCATCTCCCATTGAGCGGAGATGATCAATCCAGCGCCAGCAGCGAAGCACAAGTCGGCAACGAAGACGGGTGCTTGAAGCGTAACGTCTCGGAAATTTAGCATGCCGAATGAGATTGTGAGTAGTGTCGTGGCAACAGCACCCATGACGAATGGAGACTTGAAAGGACGGAGTATTTAGTCCGAGTATTGGGAAACACGAGATACCGTGGGAATTTCGTACCGAATCGGCCAGATTATCTTGCCATCGAGGAGACTTATCAATGATGGCGGTCTCAAATACTTGAGCCTCCTCATCGGAATCGCTCCTGAGTTTGGACATCGTGTACTGTAGTAACGTTGAGGGGTCGGCTGTTGTAGATCGGGGGTTAATTGGATGTCAATAGCTCAGAGGGAGTCTAATGTAAGCCAAGAGTAAGAGTTTACAGTGCGGAATGGTCCCTCCTTTTATGGACAGACATGAAATTTTCTTCGAAGCATCTACCAGCATGGCTGAGGAGTCGCTCGATCCATACGGAACCCGAATTGTATCATCCTGTCTCGCTTTCGATCCCGAGGGGACAAATGGATTATTTGACACATAAATTGAGGTTAATGTAGGAAACCTTCCCTTCTCGTGTTAGCCAAGTATGGCGAATGGGATTGGGGAAGCCGGCGAGCATGCATTTCTGCCGGTGTTGGAGTTAGAGAGTACCTTCTAGTTGCCGGATTGCCGATAGCCTAAGCATATTATTAGCTGGCGCAACCCGGGCCGGGATGAATAAATCAGTTGCGGTTAGGCCATGTGGAATTCTTGTAGCTCTATCGCTGTGAAATGCCCGATTTCGACTAGCAGAATATCGAAGCTTGTGGTCTAAAAGCCTTGAATCTCATTTCCTCTTAAAAAGGCTCAGCTTGGCTAGTTTGATGATTGTAAAAGTTAAACTCATCTGCTATTTGGAGTACCAAGTGTCCTTCATCTTCTCTCCACTGTCATGCTTCACCGCCAAGGACATTCTCGTGCTCCCGTGCTTGGCTTTGCTTGGAAGCTCCCCGCTTTCCTCCACATCAAGAAGTGTGGAGAGACATTAGAGAATTGATTGGTTTGGGGCGATCATTTACATAATGAGCAGCCATGGCCCGTTTCCAGGCAATAGAAAGAGAACTCTTCTTTACCTGAAAATTCCGACTTCACCCATGCTAGGCATTATCGTCTCGGCTCTTTTGAACTAATCATTGATGAGTGCTTAAAGTCGGCTATTAATAGGAATATTTACGTTTAGTAAATCGATCTGCATCTCTGGGCAGCATTCAGTTCCCTATTATCCAAACTTTGACTTCTTGATGATACCGTTCTCGATACCTGGCCTCAATAGCCAGCATCTAAAAGACTCATTTGAAGCTTGACTTAGCATCATCCCAAGTCTTAGGAGAAAGAGAACCGTCTACGGTATTGAGTACATATTCATTGGACATTACGAACGACTGCCTCAATCACAAACGAGGAGGTCAAGCAATGGTATCAACGGAGGACTATATCTTACGCACCTAGAACGCTTGATGTTAATAAGACAAAGCCCTTTACACCGACCAGAAATTCTCAGTAGCACTGTAGATACTGACACCGACCGATAGCAAGGTTGATACTAGGCAATGTGCCGCTTGCTTAACCAAAAATGTTTCTTGTTCCTAGAGTTGCCCTGACTAGGGGCAAGAAGAACATTGGGGTTTCTTCAGATGCTGGTGGGGTGTTTTCTTGTCTCGATAACAACTCCCTTTTCAATGTTAACATCATCCCATAGAACCACGTCAGAAGCCTTATAATGCTGGTTTAGGTTTCGTGAAAGGCTGCTAAGAGGCGTAAGCTGTACCTTTAGATGGAGAGACAGTGGTATTAAGGTGTGAAAAGGGCAACCTTCGAGGCTGAGGCTAAAGATGTTTAGTGGCTGCTCGAGGCCTCTAACGCTTAATGCTTCATGAGTTTCCAAGATATCTCAGTATGAAGTTGTCAGCACAAAAACGAGGGTCGATGAGTTCGAAAAGACTCAAAAACCGAAAGGACAAGAAAGAAAAACTCGCGAGCAGCATCATTAGAAGTATCTACATTACTAATATGTACGGAATCGTGGCTGATAGCTAGATACCCAGTTAAACTTGGTAGATTCTGGAAGGTATCGTGACTCGTCCACTAAATATATGAAGGAAGTGCAAATGTATCACTTATTCGTAATAGCCATAGTGTCAGTTAAGATGAGAGGGGACATTGTGGTAGGTACCACCAGCCTGACTCAGTATGCCTTTGGTATACAGCCTGCTATCGTATCATAATTTATATGGCAGGATTGAGAGAGAACAAAATTGAAATTCATAGTTCATCTGTTCTTTTGTGAGATAGCTATTATACCCATACTGTTCTTCAGATTTAGATGAGTAATTGCAAGCTCTCGTGCTTTTACTGTTGAGATGACATTAGTCCGAGCCTCCAACAGTGGGTGAGGATACACAGAACCTTTTTTTTTTCATACAGAGCCGTTCTAGAACTAGCTAGATTATCTAATGATGCTGTATGTATGTTGAGCAATCAATTCATAAAATTCAGATAAGTTCTTTGTGATTTTCAATTTCTAGCTGTTGCAAAGGTGCCCATAGCCCCCTTTTTGGAGACAGCCTGTTCATTATCATGCTATGTACGTCTATTAGGTAGATTGACTCGGCAAATTTATGCCTGCCTGTGCGGAGACCTAACTCTCATGTTATTTATCATTGGGCTAGGATATTAAAGCTTTTAGTAGCATGAACTTGCCATCCGTATATCGGCTCTTTAATTATTATTAAAAGTATAATATAATAATATTAATATTATTATCTCTATATCTTATTAAGTTAAATATAGTTTGTTTACTATTTAGTTAGTTATTATATTTCTAATTATAATATTATTTAATTTAATTATTCTAGTTATATAGTACTTGGTATTTATAGTTCTTTTTATTATATTATAACTTGATCTTATTTTTTTTTATAAGCTTGATATTTAGATTTATAATACAATTTTAGTAAAATTTTTTTAAATATATATTTAATAGAATATTCTTTCAAATGTTTCCTTAGGATCATATGTTATTTAGTTCTATTGCTATAAAGTAGATTGACTAGCAGTCGCTTGATCAATAGTAGCTTTACCAGTCCAGGCTATTGCATACAAAGCTTATGAGATTGAATCAAGCTCCTAACATCCTAATGAGTCTAATCCTTATATATCTCCTCAATTGCCTCACCAAGGCCGGCTTCATTTGGAACACCGCCCATTTACGATTGGTGGGCGGCCACGATCCCTCTCTAGTCCTTAATTATGGCACTAGAGCTCATTCCATGCCTCGAGTTCTCTGCAGCGGAGAACCGGGGCTACCCATCGTAAGTCGTACGAGGCGTCAATATCAATATTAAGGACGTAACTCAGTACGACTGGACGTTTGGTTTGCTGAGGTGGCGAAACGCATCAACGTGCCTTGTTTCCTTCCTGAACATTATCTACATACTTATGCACTAATAGAGTTGGCCTGCGATGTAACATTTGAAAGCCGACAGCATCCTTAACATCCGACAGAAGCCAGAATCGCGGTAAGTCGTGACAACAACTGAGTTCCCGGGGTCCCATTCCGGTAGCCAACTCCGTCACTGGCCGGGAATGTGGGAATAGGCTCAACGCCGAAGGCGGCGAGAGCGCGATTGACTGTCTCTAGCCAGCGCTCTTGCCAGAGCGGATCCTCCCTGCGCTCGATCATCCTCCAGTACGATCGATCAAGATACTCCTTCCACTGGGGGGCCTTGCGGGGGCAGTACAGGAAGAACAGCAAGAGCTTCTCGGCAGCTTGCACCTCATGTTCGACGTTGACGCCGTATGTGTCGGACTGGTAGCAAGTGAACATGTGGTTGTCGAGCGACTTGCCTGTCGGTCTAGGAAGCGAGCCGATGTGGGCTAACGGACCAGAAACCACGCAGTGGCCTGGCCTGCCATCGCGAGTGTAGAGGGTGCCCCAAAGAATGCCAGTGTCAGGCTTGGGTGCGTACATGTCCTTGAGCAGCAAGCTGTACGCCGACTTGCCAGCTTCGGACTTGTATGCTCGCCATTTGAACTGCCATCGAGTCCGGCGGAGCAGCTCTTGGATATCGTCCAGTGTCAGCTCAGTGTCTGGCAGGTCCCCCCCAATCGTGTCTCGCCAAAAATGGTGTACGTCGCGAAAGGCGAGGAGCTTCGCGATGGTGACCGAGACGCAGCTGTTCTGCAACTGGCTGGGGTTGAGGTTGGAGAACCCAAATGCGTCAAGACTTTGGCCAAAGGTCGAAACATCACCCTCCAACCCTGAGTCAACTTGAGCAACTGTGGGGGCGTCAATCATTCTGTGTGACCAAGACTCCCCAGTCTACAGTACAACGGTGCAGCGGCTGGGGTACGCACAACTTGAGGACATGTCAGCCATTTCTCGGCATCGATTATTCACCGGTCGAGGGACAGTAGCCTAGGGCTAAGGGTAGCGAGACGAGAATATGCAAGGGCAGGTGAAGGGCAGGCAGGGGCTTGTGGTCAGTTTCGTCCGCCTGGTTCGCTGAGGCAACTGAAAAGGCAAAACCGTGTGCGACACATCCAGAAGCTGGCATTGGTCTTATAGCAAGGCGAACATGGCTTGCCCCACTTGAGCCCGGGGTATAGGGGGCTACCTTGGCGTCTCGCTCGACCTAGTACGCGACCAAGTACATGTAGTACGCGATGGAGTGCATATAGTGAGCGATCAAGTGAATGTAGCACACGGCCAGATACATGTAGTAAGTGATCAAGTGCGTATGCCTTGTAGTGAGCGATCAAGTGCATGTAGTGAGCGATCAGTAAGTACGTGTAGTACGTGGTTAAGTCAAAATAGTGAGCGACCAAGTATATGTAGTGTGAGGCCCAGTACAGGTAATGCGCGGCCCAGTACATGTAATGCGCCGCCGCGCACTATCATTTATCATTTTACTCGGCGTCGCCAGGCTCGCTCGCTGACCAAGGCATCCTGGCTGCTCGCATGTTCCCCAAGCTACTTGTATCATTGTGTTTGCCCCTCAGCTCTCATCGTTGAGTTCCTTGGTTATTTTTCTTAGCCTATTTTGCTGGCGGTGGCAAGAAGCCCAAACAAGATCAGATTCGCCATGGTACACATAACAACTGACACAGGTGGCTGCAAACTTGAACCTGATGACGAGGACAGAGTCCAGGCAATTGCCGCGATTGATTCGGGAACGCAGACTATCCAACAAAACAACAATGAGTTTGAACTGCAGTTTGCGGGACGCTTGTCTCTCCGATCCAGAGACTACAGCCACTCGACAGAGTTCCAGCAGGACTGGCGCACTGTTGCTGACCCTAGCTGGGAGCATCTCACCTTTGGCACCAACAATACCGCCCAACAAGCAAACAATAATATAGGCGATGACCCCGATGCCGTAAAGACCTTCGCGTGCCCCTTTCTGAAGCATGATCCAACCAAGTACAAGAGCTGGAAATGCTGCAACACGTGGAATGGATGGCCAACGGTCCCCCGCGTCAAGTGAGAGTCCCCAAATGCCAAATACCGGCTAGTCTTACCTGGTGCCTACATCTGACACTTATTTGCTCCAACTTCCAGAGAGCACCTGTACCGGAGGCATTTACTGCCGAAGAACATCTGCCCAAGGTGCAGAGAGCACTACCAATCCGACGATGAGCTAGTCGTTCATCTAAGAGACGACCCTCGATGCGAGAAGCGAGCCATGGAACCCCACGATGGGATCGATATGGCGACGGAGAAGAGATTGAGGGGGAGAGTGAGAGAACCGAATCTATCTGATGAAGTCAAATGGACCAAAATTTATAAGCTCCTCTTCCCCGAGGATACTTCAACTCCATCTCCATGTATGTACCAGCTGCTCTCCCTCCAGGTCGAGAACATACAAATCATGTCTTATACAATTGCAGTCCACGAGAGATCCTTAGCCGAATATAATGCCAGATTCAAGGCTGAGTTGAACTAATATCTACGTCACGACTTCTCTCGCGTCTCACGGTCGAGCTTTATGGAGATGTTTACAAGTAGCTGCAACGAGAACAACGGAGTCCCCGACCCCGAGAAAATGTTTAAGTGGATGCAAGATTTCGCTCAAGCAGGTGTCAATAGTTTCACAGCCACAAGTTCGACATCAGGCGATCAAGAGAGTACAACATCACCGGGTCTACCAAGCCATGCGTCGTCCTTGCAGATCACAGGCACAACCACCGCTGATAGTGTGCTTGGCTATTCAAGCCAGACATCCTTTCATCATAACCAGCAAGTCGCAGGCATACCTTCGAACTCCAACATCGACCCTCAATATCTATCTTCGATCTGGGAAAATAGTCCCTCGATCGGTGTTGACACCACACAGTTCAACGTTGGCGGCTTCTTCTCAGCCCACCCACCTGGCGGAATGGAATAGATCATGATTTAGCATTGAATAGAACGCCATTCGTCTCATTTACGAACAAAAAGATATCAACCATTAATTGGATTCTTGACCATTATGTGCTTTTACAATTGTTAGTCACCACGTGAGCGACAAGAAACTGCAGCATGCATTGTCTTACGGGCCATGCCGGGCTCCGTGGACTTGGGTTCCAGCCGAATTCCCCCATCTTAGTCGGAGAGCTGTGGCTTGGGATATCGTGGGGCCAGGTAGCCTTCGCCTGGCCATCTGGTGTCAGGTCGTGATATTGAAGTATTTTTGGTTTTGTTGTCGATATTGATGGCAATGTCGGCTACCACGGTCGGATATTTCGAGCACAAGGAATGGGCTAGCTCTAGAAATAGATTTAGGTACATTCGAAATCTACGCACCGACCTTAGAACTGGTTGAAAATGAATGCAAGGTAATAACCTGGAGGATCCTATATTTTCTATGGGGCAAAGGTACTGGAGCTTGCAGCGTAGCGAGGCAAGGAAGAATGTGTCCAATCCAGGTCAGAGGAGGGATATCGCGAGGCACGAGGGCTTGGGGCAGCGTGTGTGAGTTAGCTAGCGGTTACCCGTAGAACCACGGACATTTTGTTTCACATCACAGTGCAAACTGATATTTCAGACAAAAGCCGGGTTACCGCCCGTTTTCGGTACCTTGATCATCATACAGTCTCGCCTTGCGATAGATGGTGAGGGGCGTCTGGATCCTCTAAAGGAATAGTCACGCCACTCGGGATAATTGACGAAGCGAGAATCGGTTCCTAAATGCCTTGTTACATGCACGATCGACTTCTCGGACGAATATCGGAACGATCGCTGATGCAGGAATCGTCGTAGGGATAAATGTAGTCAGGGCTCCTCCTCCCGTCACGCTCGCGCCGCTCGCCCCTGTACCTGTAAATTTCGACATACGTGATGCCGCGACTAGCCACAAAGGTTTGATGTCTCTCGAGGCAATGAGGCGACCATTCCTCTGGGTCAACAACGGGACACCCTTGGATGAGGTTGTCGGCCCCGCAGTCGATCGGCGTACAGGGAAAATCGACTCGGGAACTGACTGCCTCGATCGATCAGTCAGTAGCGAGTCTAGGCAAGAATGAGACTGAGCCACTAGTATCTCTGCACTCTCATGAAGATGCCCGTTGGTGGAGCTTCGTCGAGGTACTCCAAGAAATTCCTGGGCGTCGTCTCTTGAACATCCGTAGCCCAATCATCGTCAACCTAAAAGGCACAGTTCATCTCCGTACCTAACCTGCGGAAGGTGGAGGGCAGAGAGCGAGTTTCTAGACCGCCCCAGTCAGGCCTTGCTATCGGCAGGAAAATTGGCGTAGGTGCAATAGGGGAGAGAGATTATCTAGCATCTACAAGATGAAGAGACCCTTGCCGAGACACGGAAACATTTTGCAGCATGCATCACGATCTGTTTGACCGTCGCCGTAAGACTAACAGGAAATATCTTTTGGTAAGGAAATATATCCAGTAGTGCATTTTAAATAAAGACCGACTCGACAGGACAAAAACCGACAATCTGTTCGTATTCCCCTTAACGCAATACTAACGTCTCATGCCTGTACAACGCCCAGTCTTGCATAGGCTTCCCAGCCCCCCAATCGGTTTTCCTTCGTTAATTTTCCGAGAAAATAAGCAACTCGAAGCCTGAATGACTTTGTACACAGGTGTTTGTCTCCAAAATGAAGGAAGCAGTATTGATCCAATGGGATGTGAGCACTAAACCGTTAGAGCTACTTGAAGAACTAATCGAAAGGTTCGCTGTAGTGCCGGGGAGGACAAAAAAAAATGTAGTTTGAACTAGGACTGTCGGAAGGACCTCATTGGTGGTCTTTCTATCCTTTGGCTTAGGGACTACAGCTACGCATCAATGAAAATTCCTGGAGTTGAGAGCCAATCTGAAGAGGTGGATAGATCTCGATTCGTGCGTAAGATCAAGACCAGTTGTACTCAGTTGACTAGACTCAATCACCCCAACTGGTCCTCTTGCCGCTGCATCATGAATTTACACGAGGATGAGACTATCATGCATTGACTATTGCTTGTCCGTGCACCAATGTCAAAGAGACTAATCCAAATTTTGATCCCAGAAATACCTGGTTCCGCCGATTTATCTGAATCCAAGAGAAAAAGCAAACTATGTAATCATAATCGGTCACATGGCTATCAACTGCGAGTCGTTTAGAAATTATATAAGTCGTGAAACTTATGATGATGAAAAAAGTAAATTCCAGTTAATATCAATTCATTAATTAAGTATCTATATACCAATATGTCTGATGAAGATTAATAGTCGTCACGTATATATTTATCTCTATTGATGCTGAGGTTTGTGGTTTTCGCTAGAACCGCGACTACTGATAGAGCCTTCTCCGCCCCTCGCAATGACAGTCGTAGTCTGGTTGTGAACCTTGCGAGTCTCGACGCGGACCGAGTAAGGCGCGCCCTGGTCAATCAGGGTATCGGTATCCTTGAAGGGGCCCTTTGCCGACTTGTCATCGCCCAGAGGCGCATCCATCGTGTTCATCTCAATGGTGGTGGTGACCTTGGGCCATTCTGGCTCGGGCTCGGGTTCTCTCCTGGTCGCGTTCTTATCGGCACCGGTGCGAGGGCCGTGTGAGCGGGAGTGAGTGTGCGAGTAGTCGGAGGTGCCGCCAGGCTCTGAGCTGCGAGCCAGCTTGGCGATAAGACTGGCCATGGACATTTCGATGTTGAGCTTGACGATGTAGGCGAGAGGGTGGAATTGCATGTACCTGGTAGGTTAATGTTAGTATTGTTTCCTTTATCATTCTGCCTGAATCGACCACGCTTGAGGAGGTTATGAGATTATGAAGGACATACACGAAGGTGTTGGGCAGACTCATCATGGCAATAATAAGAACATCCATGCCCAGAGAGAAACCAATGATGAAAATGTTGAACCGGACGAGACCGTTATACTTGTGCAGACCGAGTTCGATAAGATTCTGTCGGACGATGCGGATGAAGAGCAAGTTGAGACCACCATCGACTAGGAGATAAATGGCCTTCTCACATCGATCCCAGATTTCGTTGATGTGAACCCACGTGGGCGAGATTTGCAGACGGGCGGGAATCCAGATACAGTACACTGAGATGTTGATGAGACCGATGACTAGGACGGTGCCGTACTTGATTCGGAAAAGGAACTTTCGGTCGGTTAAAAGAATGGCTGAACGATTGATGATAATTTGCAGAAGGAATTGGACCTATTCTCATGTGTCAATATCATGCAAGACGAGGAAAAAGAAAACAATGACAACATACCTGCATAACCCAAAGGGTGACTGATATTGAGAGATATCAAATTAGCAAGCCGTCGCCTCTGTGAACGGCATCCATCGTGTACTTACGGATACAAAAATAAAATTCAAAGCTAGAATGTCTCGAATCAGCACGACGAATATCCACGATTGATAGAGTGAGGGACCTACCTGGGCCTGATGATTCCAAACAAATGGAGATATGTCAAGATACCGAAGCCAAGACTGGCAGTAATTTCGCCCCAAATCATCCAAATATACGCGTTGTGCACCATAGTCCATCCCAGGCGCCGGTAGGCACTCATCGTCTGTTGGATTGCCGTCCATGTTGTGATCCAGCCCATACCGAGAGTGAAACCCCAGGCGAGAGAGGCAAGCACCAGATCGGTGGTGGTCACCTCCTGGAGGTGGAACCACTCGGGGATCAAGGTACCCCGGGTACTCATCGTTGCGAGGCTGCTGCAGAAAAAAGAAAGTAAAGAAAGACTTGGGTGATATTTATTAAGTATAATACAAGATGTACAAAAATCAGATGACAGCTGCACAAGAAAAAAGCAATGTGAAGGGGGGGAATCGGACGATGGGAGGTGGTCTCCGGTCTTTAAAGGGAAGCGGGACACAGGCCAATGGTTTGCCAGCGCACAGGCGGCCACGAGAGATCCGGGACATGTAAATTATCTTGTACATCTCCATTTCTCCATCCTTGGTCTGGTTAGGCTGGCAAAAACCTGCCTGCTTGCTTGCTGCTGGGCCGCGTGCCTGGCTAGAGGGCCAAGAGGGCCAACGGTGAAGGGACAAGGGCCTATGGAGAGAGGGAGGCGTGTGGCTTCAACTAGCTAAGAACTTGATAAGGCTCCATGAGCTGAGTGGATCTCGTATGCACCCCAACGAGCAGGCTCGAAGCCCGGATTTTCTGATGAGATTTGTTTTATGGGCCATCCTGGGTATGGGCGGGTCGAGGTTAGACTAAAGGGTACCAATGCCACTTCTTTCTACCAGGGGAAGGGATGAGGGGGGCAAAAAGATGGATTCGAAAGGACTTAACTTGGTTCAATATTGCCCACTTCAGTTCAGATCAAAGCTGGAGGCGGTTGATAGATCCCCCCTTGATTCCTCAGCACCTTGATCCCCCGCAATATTGCACTGCCTGAATCTCGCCATTCCAGGAAATTTCTCCCCGCCTTCTCCAACGCGTGTCTGCAGGACAACGACATGTGACACCAGGGTACGTCCCCTCAGCTGGTCGGCGTCTCTGTGCCTTAGACCCGGGCGGCCCGGACAAAAGGCAGCTAGGAGCACGAATCATTAGGTCTGCCCTAACAGAGCCCCCTGGCTCAGTCTGATGCGTGTCTACCACTGGCTAGCAACGCGTAGCCCGTTGATTAGCGCTGCCTGCCAGCCGGGGCTTGTCCTAGTGGGAGTTGGCTGGCTTTCTCTGGTTGGCAGCGAGAGTCGGAGAGGCGCGTCTGGTACACCAGGCCCAACGCACGATAGTGGTGTCCTCTTTTTCAGCTGGCATCCACTCGCAGGGGCTACAACACGAAGCCTTTTCTAGAATTTCAACTGCTGGTGTCGTGCATAACGGGCATGCGTGCGAAATGAGATGCTCTGATCTGGGGCCTGGAGAAAAAGATCCCTTTCTGCAGCATGGAGCACTTGGCACAAACCTGCCATATTATTGATTCGGTGGCGTAGGCAGTAGGAATGACAAGGCCTAATCCGTGAAGCGAAATCTGAAGCTTACTTGCGGGCTAACAGTGCCTAGAGTGACATATCTAAGCTACACCCTGATCAACAAGCCTGCGGGCCAAACAGTCATCACGTTGCGTCTAGTCGTCAACGCAGCCTAGTGGCAAGGATCCTGACTCTGTTGGCGGTGTGCTGCATTGATGGGCTTCCGCAGTTACTGCAGTCTGCACGAGTCGCATTTTGTGAGACGCTGCGGAAAAGGGGGGGCGGGACACTGGTGCGGAGCCAGCACGTTTTTTGTTCGCGTGGAAGACTGTTGAGTCCGGTTGATTCACGGCCCAAATACGTAGTGATAATCTTGCAAATCATCTTTACAGCGGGCTCTTGGGCCAGATGCTCCGAAGTCTACTGGGCTGACGAAAAGATTCGTCGTTAGCGTCGGGCTGTGACCAGACGGACGGGCCAAGCAGAGGCGAGAAGCGACTCTTTAGCCTCCTGGGCGACGGATTATTTGCAGAATGGACCAGCGGGTTACCAGGTAATAGCGTTGGAGAGCACTTGGCAGGGCGCGGAGCTTCTTGGCCCCGACTCAGTAGCCACAGGTGGAATTGCAGATGCGGTACCGCAGCCCTTGGTATCTCGCTAAGAGCTAAGCGGCTTACTCTGGCGAAGGATCTGCAATGAGCACACCCAGGATATCGGGGCCTTGACCCTGCGGCTCCATATGGGCCAACATCGAAAATCTTCGACATGGATGGTGGTGTTTCCTGAAGATCCACCACTCATCTCTCACCCTAGAAGCAGGAACCCACGCGAGGGACCCGAGACACATCTGTAGGTGAATCTGCAGGCGAGTATGCACCCCAAGGTACGCTTGCTTGGCTCCCCAGGTAGCAATAAATGCCGCGTGAATAGCTATGCAAGAGTGCAGAGGGCAATCCTGGTCCCTATGCATCAAGAGCGTTTTCAATGCATCTCCTTGGCCCCAACAGAAGGCAAACAATGCTATGTAAGCATTTGCTGGGAGATGAGGGACACAAAAAGACCTATCCTGCCCAGACTGTCTCTCCACATAAAAGCACCAGGGTGTTTATCGCCAGCCGCCCTCTGACGGTGACGGACAAACGGGACATTCTACCATCTGGAGGAGGCTCTCTTTCTTTCTTTGCCTCGATGTTGTAAACGAAATTGACACAAGACGATCGCACTTTAACTGCCACGAGCTACTATGTATGCGAGTGAATGACTGCCTCGGGCCGGGCCCGTTTTTTGCGTCGACTAAAGATGGCCGGCTTGAGGGCCTGCTGTAGGACTGACTGGAGAATTGTGTGTTTTAGTTTCGCCGATCCACGTGTTTTCCCCCTCTTTCAAGGTCCACCTCTTTCAAGGTCCAGGTCTATTTGCACCTGCATGAGCAGGGATGTGCCACGGAGGGAGGCGTAGACCAAATAGTGCCACAAACCAGCGGCCTCACGGTGTGTGAGACTCCGGTCAGGCCATTCCTGACTCGAGCACAATCGCGCAGGCTGCTCCGGACTGGCTTCGAGGCCCTCGGTCAGAACCGTTGGGACTAGAGGTGGCAGCCAGGTGAATGGCGACCGAATCCTTCGACACACCATAAGCCGAGACACTGCCATCACCTTGCCTTTGATATTGACGCTAATCACCAGTTAGTCGTCCCTTCTTTTCTCGACCATCTGTCTACATCCCTGGATGCCGATCTGACAGTGAAGCCGGAGCTCTTCATGTGGGCATTACCCGCAACTCGTGGCTGAGTGGCGTCTGAACGTCTGCATAATCGTGAAGACTAGCATCTTAGCACCGCGGAAGAAGCATTTTTACTTTGCGTTATTGATCTCAGCACAGATAGGAACAAGCCATAGCTTTGGAAAGAGGCCTCGAGGCGCGAACGAGGCAATCCCTGGCAGCCGATTGGCGCGGACCTGGTCCGACTGAGACGCTATTCTGACTACGTATAAGCTATCTCTTGGTTTTCGTTAATGACAAGCCTGACGCCCGCTCTGCTTCCATTTTTATGGCAGGTGTCGTGCTATTGTTCTCCTCTTAGGGTGAACGCGAGTCACACTCCCCGTTAAAGGGGATACTCACATCACCTATTGGGAAACTCCTGTTACACGGCTTCATCCGCGGTTTGGCGAACCCAGTCATTTGGACCCCGCATTCGAGGCCAAACTTACTTGTGATGCCAGTAATTTCATGGGCGTGTTTCATTGCCAGCAGTCCATATTTGCCACTCGATCCCCATCTCCCACGCTCTTATCAAACTCTGTCCACCGGTCTGGTGTCTTAACTTGTTTCGTCCGCAAATCGACAGGAAGGGATTTATGTCCAAAAGAGAGAGAGAGAGAGAGAAACACTTGTAGATCCAAATAATCCTTTCGTTCGGGAAAAATCTTATCAGCCAGTGCTCGAGATCACCGTGGGTCAATATGACGTGGAACCTTCGATAGTTCTGTAGATCAGACACTTGGTTCGACACTGTTGCTCGTATCTTGACTGGCACCTTGAAGCTCAAAAAGCACGTGTTTTGATGTACTCTCTTGGGCTCTCTCTAATTTCAGGGGTTGGCCGATCTTCTCAGCAAGTTGAGATCTGGGCGATGGACTTGGGTCATCTCCTTTAGACCGAGCAGATGGACAGAGTACAGTGTCTCAAACCCGGTTGAGTTCACAGAATACGAGGCTAGGTAGGCTGTGTATAATCTTGTATTTGGAAGTCGCTCCTTGAAGTTTGTTTGCTGGCAATTCGTCCTTGGTAGCAACTCAACTAAGATGATGAGTAGTAGCCACTCTTTCCTGCGAGTGAGCCAGGTCCTGATTAAGACTTCAAGTCATGATCTAGGAAATCATCATACAAAGATAAATCCGCCTTGCTTCGAGCAGAGCAATGAGAAGGATCTCTGACCTTGCCTGTTATCCTGATGTCCATCACCGTGATGTACATGTAGGCTCGACTGATGTCTACCCTATACCACCTAACGATAAGATCGTCCATCTTTGCTACTGCTCTATTCACCCATTTTGTGCTCCTTGTATCTTGAGGGTTGCCTGATAATCTCAATTCAACTTGAGAATGAGACAAGGCGAGACATTGTTCTTCCTCTCATAGCTACGGCTCAGGTGGTCTAAATCGTGTTGTAGTGGAATACTCGTAACTCATCGCTCGTCAATGTTAGAGACTAAATGCTAGATGCCTAAAAATGAATCACTCTGATTCATTTGTTAAGGGATCAACATGTCTGGTATATCCATCATAATGTGACTCGATCATGCCGATGAATACTGAAATGGCCTTTGAGTCAGTGGACTGTTGCTTCAACTAACAATGGCTGGGCACAGCCTCAGCCGCACTTGATGACTCAATTGCATTCACGGATTGGGATTGCTGACATCTCCTCATAGCCACATCAAGCTCCCAAGGCACGGGAGAACAGCAAGACATATGAATAAGCTATTTAGTCTTTGCCTCATCGTCATCTCCAGCCACTGCAATCACCGCCGCCTGATCCACTAACCACCATGACCGACAAGCAGACTCTCACCCCGCAGCAGTCGCGCACTGTCGGGGCTCTGCTGGGCCTCCACGCAGGCGACTCTCTGGGCGCGACTCTCGAGTTCCAGCCGCATGCCAAAATCGCCGAGAGGTATCCCCATGGGCTGCGCGATATCATCGGAGGCGGCCCCTTCTCGTGGCCCGCCGGACATGCTACCGACGACACAGACATGACCCGCGCCGTCCTGCTCGCCTACCGCGACGCCGCCCTCAAACGCTCATCTCCTAGCAAGTCCACCCCCGTCTCCGTCTCAGACCTCGCCCGCCGCTCTGCCGAGTACTTTGTCGACTGGTATGAGGGCAACTGGCCCGGCCGCACGCACGGCGACCTCCCCAAGGACATCGGTGGTGCCACCGAGAGAGGCATCACCAACTTCCGCAGCAACCCCGATGCCCCCTCAGGCGCCGGCCAGGGATCTGCCGGCAACGGGTCTCTGATGCGATGTATTCCCACTGCCCTCTTCCAGCCGGATCTGAGCCGCCTGGTGGCCGAGAGCCGGGCCATCAGCGCCGTCACCCACGACGACACCAACTGCGTCATCGCCTGCGCGGCCTACAATGCCTGTGCCGCGGCCCTCGTTGCTGGGGCCTCGCCGTCCTATGCCGTGCGAGCGGCCGAGGCTGCCGCGATCCAGCTCGAGGGGCGTGGCAAGCATGGCAAGCCGGAGCCCGTCACGGCCGCCATCCGCGTTGGCAAGCGGTTCGATATCGCGAGGGCTGCTGCCCAAGGCCCGCCCCTGGATCTCCTCCCGGGAGGCGCCTCGGGCTACGTGCTGGAGACCTTGATTATTGCCATCGCCGCGGTTCTGGATCAGCGTAGTCTAGAGGATATCCTGGTAGATGTCGTCCGCATTGGCAAGGATACGGACACGAACGCTGCCGTGGCTGGTGGGCTGTTGGGAGCGAGAGATGGCGAGAGCGCTATTCCCCGGAGATGGAAGCACCAGCTTCAGTTTGGGCTCGAGTTCCGGGACACTGCTCTGGAGATATTGGAGGTTCTCAAGAACAGGACATGAGTTGGCTACGAAGCTGCGTGTTGCGGGCTGGTTTCTTTGTTGATCATTCCCATCATGTTTTAATGAGCTGAATAGTACACGACCCATTCGCAGTTCTTAGTCTCCAGTCATGATAGTGCCAGACCGGAGTGTTCAAACTGGGAGAAGAGGCACTTGACTGATTGCTCATTCTGCGGCGTGATAAAAATAGAACACCATCCAAAGCGGCGCGAATGAAAAGCTGGGTTTGACGCACGTTTTTGGCAGGGCCCGTCTCTAGGTGGCTGTGTATCATGAGATATCCATACAATATGTGGTTCATTATGCAGCTTCTGATAGGAATATTATATCGCGATTTGTTTCTTTCAACTCTCTTGGCCCCGAACACTCGCTCAGGTCACGATGCCGCGCGCAGCTTACAAGTCGAAACCATCGCTCGCAATCAAATTGGAAGGGAACCGGTTGGCATACTATCCGGGAGATGTAATCATTGGATGTGTACACAGAACCTCGTCACTGCCCTGCGCAGATCCGTACGTATACATCTCTCTCCACGGACGGACAAAAGTCAAGCACTGGATTGACTGCGGAGGGGATGGCTCCATACCCTTGCGAAGTAGTCTGGTATTGCTTGATAGCCAGCGCCATAGGCTATAGCTTTCACATGTTGTCCAAAGCACTGAGGATGGGAGCCCGGTATATGGATGGAATTTCGCACTCACTATCCCCAAGACCGTCGATGAAAAAGCGTATGGGAAGAAAACCTCATTCATACCGTTCCCTCAGGACGTGGCGGATAGCTGTATTCTACCTGCCAGCTTTACTGGGGTTACAGAGACTGGTGGCCATGAAGCATATGTTGAGTACTTTCTCCAAGCCGACTTACCGGTTCAAGGTAAGGCACTCGCAGCACACGAGGCCATTCTTCCGATCAAGATCGTATCTAGCTTGGAGCAGCCGGTACTTATGGATCATCTGCTTCAAGAGCAGCACCACCAGCTCCAAGTCAACTCGGAACGACTCATACCCGGGATGGAGAATCACCGGCCTTCATTCTCTGAAAGGCTGAAAAAGACATTTGCCCCAAAATCAGATTGCAGGCTCTCTTTTCAACTCGATGTCCAGGTTCCCAGCGTCATCCAGCTGCAATCTGAAGTCCCGATTCCCTTACTAGTATCAGCCGCGCCGCTATGGGATAAGACGGATGGCATTATTCGCAACGTCCCACAGAAGATCCTGATAGTTGGATTGAATGTCATGCTGCACTCCGTGACCCAGATCAAGTGCGAGCGTGACCAACTCGGCGAATGGGTGAACAGCATTCCATTGGCTCATCGCCTTCCACTCAATCATCCGCTAGAAATCCAATGCACTGGGGAGGGAGAGCATCCCGTCGACATTGGCACGGATGTGAACTTGCGGATCCTCAAGAAGAAGCCCTATGAGGTGACGGTGTTTGAAATCGAGCCTGATTATCTCGTGTGGAATTTTCGCCATTCGCACAGGATTGAGTATGAATTGAGATGTATGGTTGGGGGCAAAGCAGTCGCAGCTACTGGCGAGCAGACCTTGCAAATCTTGCCACCAAGCAACATTTTGAGATTTTAAAGACGATCATATTTCACTTCGCGATTTTTCGAGACGCTACACGTGCCCAGGTCATGCGATGTTTGTTACAAGACTGTAAGATACGCTTTGGCGACTTACGACAGGCGTATACACGTACCTAGTTTAGACCACCAGGGCTGAAACGTGGGATTGGTCTAAAGCTAAACTCTCCAATAGTAGTTGAAATCAAGATGTTATCTCGTTTGTGATCTCAAATGGGGCGGATAGATTTGGTATATAACTGCGCGTGCCGGGAAAATGTTGCAAGTCCCGCTACAAGTTAGAGGTGTTGACTCGACCATAGCTTTGCGACGTTACAGACAATTGAATTACTCAGAAATCAGGGTACGAAGTGAAGTAAGAGAAATCAAATTCACGCATCTCACGCATCCAATACCCGGTATGTCTCTCGCATCTCGCGGTCTCTCCTGGATATAAACATCTTAACTCCGGAATTCAACTGCGTCACATTACGGAAGGCGTACCGCCATTTCACAGTACCCGGTTGTAAATGCTGCATTTTGGAAGTGCACTATTCCTGAAAACACCTTTTGGGTGCTCTATCGTGCAAAGTAACGGATTTAACAAGAAATCGGCTCTTGATCAGATACTCTCGCGCTGAGAATGTTGCCGACAACCGATTTTACCACTCGACATTAAACCCTTGGTTACTCAGGGAAAAATATAAATTCTAGGAGGGAATGCTATCGTATGTCACGCCATCTTCAGTCCGGTTTGTACATGTAGTCACATCTTACTGTCTAGCTTCTCTATCAACAAACTACGACTATTGACCTCCAAGGAGTCGCTAAAAACATGTCTTCTTCTGTACCTACCCTGCCCAAACTGACCATTACTAAGTGGTCGAACTCAGGCGACACCAACAACTTCGATGTGGTAAACCCGGCAACGGGCCAAGTCCTCACCACAGTCGCTGGAGGCGATACAAACACTGCAGCTGCCGCCGCCGAAGCCTCCCAAAAGGCATTCAACAGCTGGCGTTGGCTACCTCCAGCCCAGCGCGCCGGCCTACTCATCAAGTGCTCGGAAGCCCTGGAAAAACATGGGGAGGAGCTCGCCCACCTTCTGTGCCTTGAGAACGGGAAGCCATACCAGGACGCTCTCCTGTTCGACGTCGGCTTCCTCGTCGGTGCCTTCCGCTACTTCGGCTCCCTGGCTGACAAGCTGCCCGACCAGTTCTTCGACCGAGGCTCCATGTACGCCACGGTCATGCGGGAGCCGTACGGGGTCTGCGTGGGCATCTTGCCGTTCAACTGGCCGCCCATCCATCTCGGAGGCAAGCTGGCGCCATGCCTTGCCGCAGGAAACACAATGATCATTAAGCCGGGCGACCAGACCCCGCTCACGGTTCTGCGGGCCGTCGAGATTCTGCAGACTGTGCTGCCACCTGACGTCGTCATTGCGGTTCCTGCTCGTGGCCCCGCGGTCCCCCAGGCCTTGGTGGCCAACCCGGCTGTCCGCGCCGTCAGCTTCACGGGTTCGACAACCGCCGGAGCCGCAGTAGCACGCACGGCGGCAGACACGATTAAGCCTACGACGTTGGAGCTGGGAGGGAAGAATGCAATGATCGTGTTTGAGGATACGGACTTGGACCGCGCGGTTGCCACTGCCCTGGAGGGGAGTTTCTTCAACAAGGGCGAGGCGTGTACGGCGACGAGCCGTCTCCTCGTCCACGAAGCAGTCCATGACGCCTTCGTGGACAAGTTGTCCGCGGGCGTCCGGAAGATCGTGACGGGTAGTGGAATGGATCCCAAGACGCACGTGGGCCCGTGTGTGAACAAGGCTTCCCAGGAGCGTGTGCTGGGGTATATCCAGAAAGGCAAGGAGGAGGGAGCGACAGTCGCTGCTCAAGGCGCGCTGCCGTCCAACCCAGAGTTGCAGGATGGCTCCTTCGTGGCCCCGACACTCTTCACCAACGTCACGCCGCAGATGACCATCGCAAAGGAGGAGATTTTCGGTCCAGTGAGCGTCGTGATCAAGTTTTCCACTGAGGACGAGGCTGTGTCCATCAGCAACGACTCCGTTTACGGGCTGACCGCCGTCCTCTTCTCGAAGGACCACGAGCGCTGTCTCCGCGTTGCAAGAAAGCTCGATGTCGGCATGATATTCTTCAACCAGTATAACCGTGCCGTCCTGGGAACGCCTTTTGGCGGCGCCAACCACAGTGGTTATGGCCGTGAGCACTGCATAGACACACTGCGGGAATGGACGCGTGCCAAGGCCATCCATCAGCCATCAGGATTGCATGCTGTTCCCCAATGGAGAGCGGTCAAGGACTGCCTCCAGAACTAGCCATGCCCAATTTGGTTGTCTAACAGCCGGAGCCCCCGTGAGAAGCTGCGGTGGACATTCCCAGTTGGTGAGAGGGGTAACAGAGAGTTATCTCATTGGACAGCTAATATATTGGTCTCATCTTTTATAAAAAATTGTCTAGTTGCTAGCTGTCCGATCAAGGGCGGAAGTCGATAGACTAGCCTGATGGCTTGATTGTTTGCTCCCTACACACATAGCTTGATAGTCTCGATTAGTTAAACATCTGATATCAGTGTGTTATCCAAACAGATTTATTCTAATTCTATGCAAATCATCAGAAGAACATTGTTGGTTTCTATTTCTAGTTCTTCCACGATAACCGGCTCTCGAGCAACATTTTAATGAGACCAGCTGGCAGTAATCCCTTCTTAATCGCGAAAACACCACCAAAGCGCGCCCCCATCTCCTTCGCATACAACTGAATGACCCATTTGTCGTAGTTATTCCAACGTGTGCGGGCTTCTACTTGCGAAAGATACTCACGGCTCAGGGTAAGCTCCTTCGCTATCTCAATCTCGGGCTGACCTTGCTCTTGAAATAAGCATCCATATTCCATCCCTAGAGCCACGCTTGTCACTTCCCGATGCTGGACGAACTCTTCGAAACTCATGAATGGCTCATCTTGAAGGTCGGCCCAATCTCCAATTGGTTCCGGAAAGCCTCCAGCGGCGCGGCGACTCTGGTTCTTCTCAGGGTTGTCTCCCGAAACGACTGGATCGACGGTCTGGCCGGAACTCCCGTTGCTTGTGCCTAGTTCCTCAAAAATCTTCTTTCGCGAACCATATTCGTTCTTCTCGTTCTGGAAGAACGTTTCAAGAAATTCCTCGGAGCTCTTGGCCGTGGAGTGGGCGGACAGATTGAGATAAATGAAAAGGTTTTCTAACCCCAACCCACCCAGCACTGGCGGATAGTAGAGGAAGCCATCGGGGATGTCTGACACTCCAAAACGATCCTGAATCATCCGCTTCAAGTGTTGCTCGATGCTCCCATTGGATGATCGGAATACTCGGGACTGGATACGTCGAAAGGTTTCGAGCAACTCATGAACCTGCTGGCGTGTATTGCTTACGTTAATCCAGCAGCGATTTTGTAGGAAGAAGCGGCACCCATAGAGGTTCCAGGCCAGGACGAAATCAAAGATGCTGTTGGACGCTTTGAGCCGAAGGTCGAGTGCCTCGATGTATACATCCACCTTTTCTTGGTTAACCACGAACTCTCCAGAAGCAGCATCCAGTTTAGTAAGACCCCAAACCAGGTCGCCGCTGGGAAGATTGGCATTGGCGTTAGCTTGCTCCTCGGATCCGTCCGCGAGGACCTGGCATGATCCTGTCTTCTCCTCGTCAAAGTCCAAGCCCATGACATGGGAGAATTTCGTTAGGGTGTCCCAGCCTTTGGAGCAAACTTCAGTATCGCCCCAGAGCCAGAAATCATCCTGCATACGCCAGAGCTTAGCGCCATTGGTTTTCTGGTTCACAGCGAAATCTACACAAAAGAGAACGGCTTCGCCAAAAAACGTCGTCAGACGGGTGCCAATGGGAGTACCACGCTTCCGGACACGAGGCGCTGAATCTGGCGAGTCATCCTTGAAAGTGATTGGAGCCTCCAGAACTTTCTTGAAAAGATCAATCCACTCCTCTTGAACACCTAAATATCTTAGGACTGCAAAGATCGAGCTGTGAGGAAGCGAGGGACCAAGCCACTTGAAATCAGATCGAATCACCGCTGTGTTCATCTTCAATTTCCTCCGTACGATTAGATGGGCCTGGATGCGATGGAGAAGTTGCTGAGAATTGCGAGTATTCTGGAGGGGATAGTCTTCCTCATAGCCATGTTCGGGCTTGTCCTCATCGTCCATCCAATCGGATCCAGCCCCGTCCGGAAGCTGATCGAGAAAGATATTAGTTCTCCAAGTCGTGTGGTTTTGGTACTCGACACTATGCCTTTGGAGCGCAGGGCCGTTGCCTAAGAAAAACTGACGGCGTCGAAGAGCCTGTTTGCTCAGCTTCCCTGACGCAGACTTCAAAACACCATCGGCGAATGTGAACTCGGTAAGAGCTCGCTTGAGTTCAAGCGCCCATTTCGCGCCGATATACTGGAGGAAGATCATCTGCAGGAGGTCCTCGTCAGGATAGAAACGGCACCGGCCGTTGAGCTGCCGCCGCTGCTCAATGATTGTCGGGCCGTCCAGCGCGAAGGAATTGCGTGCGGCCATGCGTATGTTCATGGCGTCCGCTATCTCCTCGATGACAATCTCATTCTCTAGAAAGCCACGTAGCGCTGACTGTTTTGAATCTGAGATGACGCTGTTATCTATGATATTCTTAATGCATTTGGTGACTACCTCCGTCTCGAAGTGTGATGACCTGTCCCAGTTCGTTTGCAAATTTTTGATCTGGCTTCGGAGTCTCTCGAACGCGCTCACCACCTCCTTGGAAGGGTTGTTTGTAAAGATCTCATCAAGATACGCGTTTATTGCGGCAGTGTCTGTTTTCTTGGCGTTGAATACATACTCCTCTAAGGCGGCGCGCTGCTGATGCATTTCCTCATGTCCGAGGGCAGCGAACCCGCTCTCAGAGTCTGTCGCATTTGCATTGTTGGAGGATGTCCACTCCTTCACCAACTCCCCATATAGCTCAGTAAAATCGTACTTTGCTGTCTCGGCATCGAGTTGGTTCCGGACGGTGTTTTCGTAATCGGCCAAGACCTGCTCTGAAATAGAGGGATCGAATCTTGCCTGCTCGACAAAAGACCATAGATGGGAGATGTTGAAGAGAGGGTGAGTCCTCAGGTCTTTTATGCCAGGAAGCTCTTCAGATCCGTCGAGCAGCAACTGGACTCGCTCCCTGTTATCTGCCTCGCTCTGGGCTTTTAATAACAGCGACTGCTTGGCGCGCTCATATGCTTGTTTTTGCTTTCTAAGCTCGGGTATTTTGATGGCAGTCACGGCATGAAGGGCTTCGGTCATGGTGTCGAAAGAAGCCATACTTGCGAAAACTGAGGGGTTGTGTTTCAAGGATGGTCTTGGATAATTCCACAACGCTCCGAACGGTTGGTGACTAGAGATAGGGATAAAGTTTCCCTCCGCCCTCCTCGAGTTATTTGGTGATGTAATATATACTTGCAACATTAAGGAGCCATCTTCACACAATAGTCTCATGATCGGGAGGACGTTGTTTAACAATCCACGGCGAGCCTTTTTGGGATTGGCCGGCGTAGGATTCTTATGTAATGTCCTCTCAGCAGCCAAAAGGGCTAATATGCTTGGGAGAAATGCCCAAAGAAGCAACTCAACTAAATTGATCAATGTTTAGATAACCAAGATAGGACAATCACCCCGAGTCTAAGCTAAGACTTTCGTATGGACTTCCTGACCCTAAACGCCGAAATGTACATACGGAGCCCAGCTCGCCTGGCCGAAACCTCCGTAATCATCCTCACTGCTGTCGATCTCAAATATATCTCTAGGAGGCTGAGCACGGCTATGATTATTAGAGCCAATAACAAAAGATGTGGAGTTACCTCGAACCGAGCTTGCAACCCCCCTGGGGCTTTTGCCGGAAAGCCATTTGTCTCGGAGCCACTGACTGGCTTTATGTACTCCTCGACAGACGGATCCATCGGTCATACCACCATCAAGAATTTCCTTGTACGTGATCCTTGCCATTTCTACGCACATTTCATCCTCGACGCTTGTGAGAGTGCCAATGACATGCCGGAACCCTGAAAGCTGGCAGGCGCTCACAAGATGGATACTCTCATCGGCAAGGCTCTCGTTATGAATCTGGCTAGTTCCACAAGCCGAAAGATAAGCCAGGAAAGGCGACCGTTCCTTCAAATTCAACTCTAGGAGGTCGGCCACACGAAGTGGACTCTGTTTCCAGTCTTCCAGAAGCAGACGACTATTCGATGGATCGTTTTGGTCTGTGAAGCCGTGGCCAGCAAAGTGAAATATCTGACAATCTTTCAACTGGGCCATGGCTTCCCCCTTGCGGCGATTTTTCAGGCTGACCACCTCGAGATTCATCATTTCAGAAATGACAGCTTCTTCCTTTATAGCGAACGGAAGCGATGACTGGCCTGGTGTGTGCTCCATGGCGATGAAAAGCATCTTGTTCTGACCCGCAATTTGACGACGCTTCCGACCGCGAACTATGGCACTGACAGAGGAGCTGTATGAAGACATGACCCTGTCAAGCACTGTATTACCGGACCGCTTCCTATGATACCCAGCGGCATGTATGGGGAATCTAGTCAAAAGGCCGGTTGGGATCCACCACACATGAGGCAGAGTTTCGTCCTTAGACTGTGGTTTCGTAAAGCCAAGTGCTTCCAGAATCGGGCAGGCAGCGACATCCCATAGCCATTCAAATATCTTTCGATTCGTCAGCGGGCCTCCTACAGTTCTCGACCGTTCCTCAATGTCACTCTTGCAGAGATCAGGCAGATGTAAGGCCCTGATGCCGTTCGTTTCGACGAGCAGAGCGTCACATCGAAGCTCGCTGACATTAATGATGATGACTGGCCCACATGATGCCGCCTCCAGAATTTGGGCTTCGCATGGAGGAAGGAGAAAGTCTTCGAATGCTGGAAGCTTGCGAATTTTCGCAACGAGATCATCAAACTCATTTCCCGCCTTGTAGCGCTGGTTCTCCCCAGCATAGCTTGATGAGAATAGCTCCATTGAGGTGCTTGAATGTGAGACTGAGGGCATTTCGAGCTGATTTGCGAGTCGTAAGAACTCATCCGCCATCGAGGTGTCTCGCTGCCTCACATGGGCAATATCAGCCCGCAATTCTTCCAGTGATGTTGCAAGCATACCACGACCCTTCTCGAGCAATCCCAAAGCAACTTGCGGTGTCCTGCCCGCTCCTAAGGCGGCTGCGGCTGCATCAGAGGCCAAGCTTCCCACTCGGCTGAGTAAATGTTGCCTGTCATCCGTTTCAAGGGACCTGATACACAGGTTGGGGACGAGATCAATAGCGAGTTTTGCGGCTTCGTAGGCTTGTTGCAGATCTGAGCATATGGGAATGAAGCATTTAGCGGCGTGAATGCGCTCGACCGTTGGCGAGTTCGACTCATTCAGGGCAGCCCAATGCAGCTGAGCGGACTCTTCTAGTTTGCCTCTATCGTTGGTTATTTTATACTCGCAGTGTTTGAGGTTGGTAAGGTTGTTTAAGTAAATTGTTCGCCCAGAGCTGCCTTCTCTTGTTGAAGAAACTGCCTCTGTTGCGGCTGTGATGGCTTGTTGAAGATGGAGAGTCGATTTTGTTTCAGAATACAGCCTAAATAGCTGGCCCCCAAGACTGTTCAGATACGTCCAGCGGTCAAAGTAGCCTGATGACACCGTAGAGATTGCCTGTTGTTCGAATTTGATTGCCTCCTCCAGGTCTGACATGACTTGGTGCTTAGACCATCGTTCCTCGAGTCGGCCGGCCAGATTATGCAAGTATATTGGTCGGCGAGGGTCATCATTGCGGACAGTTGTGATTATCTGTCTTCCAATGCGAATTGACTCCTCAAGATCAGCTTCGTTTCCCAATCTAAGATATCTCTCCGCAAGCCAATTCCCGATATTGTTCATTGACAATACCCAGTCATGACACCCTTCAGGCACACCATCAGCCGCTAGTTTTCCAAATCGTATTGCTTCGTTCAAGTCTGTCCTAGCCCTTACAACCTCATACCGACAATAGAGCCCAGCTGCAAGAGAATTGAAAGTTGCTGCCGTGTCGGATCCATCATCTGGCATCAGGGTGAGTGCTTTTCTCATAAGCTGAATTCCTTCATCAATGTCCGCCCTTGAGCCCGTCGCTGAGCCCCGGTCACGAACCGCCCTCCCAAGATTACTCAAGATGGTCGCGTGATCGCGGTGTCCATCTGGGATTGTAGCTGCTGCCCTGCGCGTTGCAACAATGGATTCTTGAAGGTCATTCATGTCTCCTGTGGCCAGATATCGATTATTTAGTGCTTCTCCGAGGGAGCCTAGGCTTGTGGCAAGATCGACGGGGCTTTCCGCTGGTGTTTTTGAAATGACATTCTTATGGATTTGAATACATTCCTCGAGGTCCTGCATCGATCTGCCTTGCGAATACCGATCAGCTAGCCTCAAAGCAAGGTTGCTCATCGTACTACACCATGCTGGATGATTATTTGGGACCACTGCAACTGCTTGCCTCGCTGACATGATTGCTTCTTCGATTTCCTCTGACCTTTCAGTTCTTGAGTATCTATTAGATAAATGTCGAGCGAGGTCGGTCAGGAAGTTCGCTCGGTCTGGACCGCATTCTGACGCCATTGTTAAAGCCTGGCGATCTAGTTCAATGGCCTCGTCAATGTCGGTTAGGAGCCCGTTGCGTGAAAACCGAGCTTCCAAAGCGAAGTTCAAGGCGCCAGTAATTGCTTCTCGCATTGCGCCGTCCTTTGAGGCAAGGGAAAGCGCCCGCTTGCCATTTTCTATTGCTTCATCTATGTCAGATGATGAGCCAGTTATTTCGTACCGATCATGAAGCCTGCGACAAAGAAAGTACAATGCTCTTGGTAGCTCTGGGTTACTTTGTGGTGCTTCCAAGACCGCCTCTCGATAAACAGAGATTGCCTTTTCAAGATCTGGTACCCCTTCTGGCCCTTGTAGTATGTATCGTTCGTTGAGCGCAGATCCGAGATAACTCAGCCAAAGTATCCTCCCCGTCTGTCCGCGGGGTCCTAGACCAGCTGCCCGTTGAAGAAGAGAGATGGACTCCTCGAGGTCGGTCACTGTCTGCGTCTTCTTATAAAGATGGTAGAGCCGGTGTCCCAGGACAGCAAGCCTCTCTGGCCATTTGGAGTGATCATTTGGCGTCATGGCGACAACTTCACGGCTGATATGTATGGATTCTTCAAGATCACCGACTCCCCTAGCAATTAAATATCGCTTCTCGAGATTCTTGGCGATGGCATGCAACCGATTTGCTTTTTCCTCATGCTCCCTTGGAGTTTGGGTAGCCACTTGACGTCCAATCTCAATGGCCTGACTGAGATCCTCGACAAGCCCGGTTTTTGTGAGTCGGCTTTCGAGCGATACCCAAAGGTTGTTCAGGACTCTTAGGTAGCTTGGATGATCGGGTGGCAGCTTGGAAATTGCTCTCTTGCTTAGGCAGATGGATTCATCGAGATCCGTAGCGGCCCCTGTTACCGAGTATCTGGTAGCCAGCGAAATTCCGAGGTTATCCAAACAATTCCCTTCACTCAACGCATTGCCCGACGGCATTGAATCACATGCATCTCTTTGGCTTTTCACTGCATCATCTAGGTCGGCCATCACCCCCGTGAAAGAGTACAGGGTGCGAAGCTTTACTCCAAGATTGTCCATGTACAGAGCTCTCTCTAGTGACCCAGGAATCTCTAACTTGATTGCCTCTCTTTGATGCATTACTGCTTCTTCGAGATCAGACGGGCGGTTGTAATGTGCTGCCTTATCGTTAAGAGCCCCTGCAAGATTATTTAACCTTCCTGCTAAGTCAGGGTCATCCTCTAATGTTGCGTGGACTGCTTCTCGTCCGAATCGAACGGCCTCTTCAATGTCATTGGCTGACCTTGTCGCTTCATACATATCCCAAAATCGTAGGGCAAGGTTTGACAATCTTAAAGCCCTTTCTGGAGAGTCATTTTTCGTGAAATCGAGGGCCTGCCTGCCAATCGCAATTGCACCTTTGAGGTCTGCTAAGACTCCCTTCCTGCCATAGATTGTAGAGAGACAAACGCCTAGATAATGTAGCCTCTGTGGCAGTTCTGGGTCGTCGAGTGGACTCGCGGTGACGGCCTGCCGTGCGAAGAAGATTGCCTCTTCGAGTTGATCTATAGCCTTTGTCTGTTTGTAGAGGTCAACTAACCGAGAGGCAAGCTTGGTCAAATTTGTTGCCTTAATTTTATTGTCTGATGAGACTTTGATTTCTTCCTTGAGAATGCTGATCTCGAGAGCTATATCATCCTCAGACGCTGCGTTGCAGATGCGGAGTGTGAGTTTATTAATATACATGCTCGACATGGCCAAGTACTTACTTTTGCTCCCAGTCTCCATCTTGAGTTGATCATCTGCCGATATCAGAGAGCGTTCTATCTCCATAGTATTTCAGTAATCTACCTGGCCAGTGTTTTGTTTTCCGAAAATGTCGCAGCTGGATGTCAGCTGACATCATCCAGCTCTGCTGCCTAAATCATGAAATTAGTACTCCGCGTGTTATAATTATAAGAGGCTAATAATTACACTTAAGCTATATAACTGATTAAAACCAACAATCACATATCGTAATATATTTTAACAAATATTTACTCCATTGAATAAGATTTTTAAGGCTTTATATATGAACCTGGTGAATCTGTAGCAGCACAACTGGAATCACGGCAAGACCCACGGAACAGGCTCTAAGGTCCCTTTAGAGAGACCGGACTGGGCATCGATGGCAGGAGATATCGCAAATGGAAGTTAGAATTCCAATGAAGAGGATTTTGCTGATGTAAAACGAGAAGAGATCTGGAATGGCGATATAGGATGACATGGGAGTTTTCTGACGTAGAGACCTGATAAAGACATGGACGCGTGCTTGGTGAAGACTTGGCAAAGTTGTTTTATCTTTCGATGGGTCAACAGACCTCCTGGCTCACCGAAGGAATGCGCCATTTTCACCTGAGAGCTTGGGCCGGGCAGTACTCGAGTCACACTAACATGACATCGTGGGACCCACGAAATCACTTCAATCCTTGCCAACGTTCGACTTTAAGCAGGTTGTAAAGCCGAGGGACGGACCCTCAACGATCAATGAGGATGCTAAGAACAAGTCCTGTATCGGAGTATCATACAGCGAATCAGCGAAAAAAGCCGCAACGCCGGTTCAACTCCAGCTCCTGCAACTTCCGTCATGTTAGTGCAGTTTGGGGATGACACCATTACTCAGTTGAATGGCGCATGTGGGGCTCATCACCATGTCTGGCCGACTCAGAGTCGGGGACAGGCATACGTGGGAGCCAGATTCGGAATCGAGGGTGAGGTGATAGTCTTGGTGCATACTCTAGGTTCCCTTGTTGCCAGTCTAGATCATCGCCTCAGTCCAGGGCTGGGGAAATGCATAAAGAGGAGAGCTGACCCCCTCTCTGCACTACTTCGTGATCTCACCTTGCTTCCAAGAGCTGCCCCAACACGGGATCTTGAAGACAGCGACAAAAATGAGAATTGGCAGGACGATTACGGTAATGGCCGCGCTGGCCTCAAACGTGGCTGCCATTGGTGGTTTCGACTTCAATGCCCAGATTCCCTTCCTCGGAAAGACTTTGAAGGAACTCCAGGAGCAGCACCAGCCCGATAGGAAGAGCAGCCGGCCTAACATCATCTTCGTTCTTACTGATGATCAAGATGTACACATGAACTCGTTGGATTATATTCCTCTGATCAAAGAACGTCTTATTGATCAGGGAACGCTCTACAAGCGCCATTTCTGTACTACTGCCGTCTGTTGCCCTTCACGTGCTTCCTTGTGGACGGGCAAGCTTGCACACAATACCAATGTGACAGATCTCTTCCCTCCTTATGGTACGCTCTGTTAACTTAGCTCTGGACAGCTCAAGACTAATATTCCCCGCAGGTGGATTTCCTGTTTTTGTGAAGAATGGTCACAATGAAAATTATCTTCCCGTATGGCTCCAAGACGCTGGCTACAAGACTTTCTATGCTGGAAAGATGTTCAATGCCCATACGGTATGGAATTATGATAGCCCCCATCTTAAGGGGTGGACAGAATCTGTAGGTTTCATATAGAAGAATTACTTCGTAATTATTCCACAATTAACATTATTCCTAGGACTTTCTGCTTGATCCATCTACCTACGACTACTGGAATGCTACATTCCAGCGCAACAAGGAGGCGCCTGTGAACCACGAGGGAGAGTACTCCACAGATGTTCTTGCATCCAAGGCATACGGCTTCCTTGATGCTGCTGCCGAAGCTGGAGAGCCTTTTTTCCTGGCTGTTGCGCCAATTGCTCCCCACAGCCATATCAACAGTTCCAAGCTCGTTGGTGATATCGATGACTTGGTGCCTGGTGTCAAACTGGCCGACTACCCTCAGGCTGCAGCACGTCACCGCCATCTCTTCAAAGACGCCAAGGTTCCTCGAACAGAGAGCTTCAACCCCGACAAGCCTTCGGGGGCTGATTGGATCCGTCAACAGCCCAAACTCTCCGAAGCGAACATTGAGTACAACGATGGCCACTACCGTGGCCGGCTGCAAGCTCTCCAGGCTGTTGACGAACTTGTCGATGGCCTCCTTGAGCGACTGGAGAAGCACAATATCCTCGACAATACGTACATTTTCTACACCACCGATAATGGATATCACATTAGCCACCACCGGTTGCAGCCTGGAAAAGAGTGCGGCTATGAGGAAGACATCAACATCCCCTTGATTGTGCGTGGGCCTGGAGTGCCGAAGGGGGCTGTTACCGAAGCAGTAACCGCCCATGTTGATCTTGTCCCTACTATCTTGACATTGGCCGGTGCACCTCTCAAGGCAGACCTGGACGGCTCGCCAATTCCTCTATTTCCTGAGGAGTTTGTTTCTGAAGCTGCGCTTCGTCGTGAGCATGTTAACGTAGAATACTGGGGATGGGCGGCTGGTGAGGGTCTCTTCGGTTTTAACGGAGTCAATGATACGAAGATCCAGAATAACACCTACAAGGCACTACGTGTTGTCGGCGGCGAGGAAGGGAACCGATATAATCTGTACTACTCTGTCTGGTGCACTAACGAGCACGAGCTATACGACATGACGGTATGTACAATACAGGATCGCAAAGTCTATCGTGGTACTAACTTGGTGAAAAATTAGAACGACCCTGGCCAGTTGACCAACCTGTTGCACCCGGATGAGGCGGAGGCGGCAGCAGGTGCTACTATCCTGGGCTTCCCTCTACACAAAGTTATTCCGCGGCTAGACGCTCTTCTCCTAGTGCTCAAGTCATGCAAGGGCTCTACGTGCTCCCTCCCGTGGAAGTCTCTGCACCCGGAGGGCGACGTCACAAGCCTGCGCGAGGCTCTCTCGCCTGTTTTTGACCAATTCTATGAGACGCAGGCACGAGTTGAGTGGTCATGGTGCAACCTAGGGCATGTAGTGGCAGCAGAAGGTCCTCAGTTCGAGACAGATGGGCATATATACTGGAAGGGCACGGGATGGAGTGAGTGGACTTAAGGGTGTAGGCTGTCACGCCTCTGCGCTTGTCGACGTGCTGTGCATCTAGAAAAAGCACGGTATTTGCTTGATGACCAGAGTCCGCACTCACGCAACTCTAGCATTTGAGTTTCCTCTCCTCGAACGAAATAATATCGAGAGAGACTTGAGATCAGTTCAGTCTTATAGATCCATTTTGACGTCTAAGACAGGAGATTAACTTTCATAGTTGGCATTGTTATTTCTACACATACATATTTTGCATCCAAAACACTTGATAGCATTAACTGAGAGCCATGTCGTCAAAGTCTTTATTGAATAGGCAAGACACTGTATCGTGGAACGAATATATATACCTACCCACACAGTAGCAAAGTCGACTGGTTCCACTCCACTCTAGCTATAGATAAGGCTCCTTTCCAGACTTGGGGAGCTACAACGCCATGTTGGTCGGAGACCTTGAACATAAGCCTTACTATTAGGATTGTATATGGATCTAGTAGCCCTCTATTGGCTCCTTTTCAGATACTAAAACCATCGACATAACACGCATCCAGAGAACATCCACTGTATCGTGTGACATGCGAGCAGACATTCACTAAAGCCTGGCCCAGAACATATTATAGAATCCTCAGCAACTTTCTCTCTCTCCGCTCTAAGTCGCTTTCTCTGGCTTGGTCCTACTCAATCCGTGTAAGAAAAGTCTGCTTCGATCGGGCCGAGTTCGCAGCCGCAGTTGACAACGGCAACGTAGCACTTGTTTCTAAGAGGAAGTGGCCACATTGGATTAATTTAACCCTCCAGATGTTATGTAAGTCAAGTTTTGGCTCAAATTTCTTAACAAAGATATTGTGCCAAGATTTATTCTCACTGCTGATGTCAGCTAAATTGGCAACGGAAGACCTCCCTGAATGTTGAGATACATGGGTGATAACAGCTTCAAAGTCGAGGACTTAGTTGAGTAATGGCATCAATCCCTCTCAGGATCCAATTCACTCATTGGTCTTCGGCATTACGAGAATGCCGAGTAGCAAGGGCGTCAGCGGTTCTGTTGTTACAGCCGTGGCTCTGCTGCAGCATTGCGTCAAGAATGGGTCTCATACATGCAATTTCATGTACTGTCCCACTCTGCTCCTGCAGAATTGAGAATATTTCGCCTAATTGACTCATGCCACCCCTTTGGTCGGAGGCTCCCGCACCGCCTAAGTCCGGTTCGGCCTTGCACAAAGGGCGCATCCGATCAGCACGGGAGATAAGCAAGTGCCGATGTCGCGAGCCTCGTGTTTAAAATGTATGAAACAACTAGAATTTTGAGTTTATCTGGATCCTGAGTTATTAAGATAGAGCCTTGAGCAGACATTGCACATATTGACATGGCCCAAGACACTATCAAGGATACTCCCTTGAGAGTCCTCGTCGCTGGAGGAGGTAACCGCGTTCAGTTCACTTCATTTGCACAAGTTACACCGCTCAATGCTTATGTTATCTAGGAATCAGTGGCCTCGTAGCAGCATTGGGCCTACGACAGCAAGGTCACGATGTGATAGTACGTAGGCCGCGCCATACTCCATGTCGGAAATGAGCCTGACAAGCATAGGTTTTCGAGAGAACAGACCTTGCAAAGGAGTTCGGGGCCGCCATTCACATAGGCCCCAATGGTCACGGGATTCTGAAAAACCTTGGCATTTTCCCCGAAGAGCTTGGGGCTAATCGATTTGAGAAAGTAAGTCGCATCCCCATGAGCAAACGACGAGACCGAGCATATTTTTAATCAAAGGATAGTTCGCCGACTACGATGCCCAAGGCGGACTGAAAAACCTAATGGATTTATTATCCCTGGATGTATGGCCGCATGTAAGATCAAGTGGGCTCGTAATTGAGGAAATTTTAATTGCTGACGCCCACTCGCTTGGTCGTTCTAGAAATGGGTCAGTTGTCATCGAGTTGCATTACACGAAAAGCTCAAGGAGAAAGCCATGGCTCCTGAGGGACCTGGCATCCCCGTGACGTTGAAAACTGGTAGCATTGTCGTGGATGTCGACCCTGAATCTGCTACTGTGGTTCTCGAAGATGGCTCCAAATTTACAGGAGACATTGTGCTTGGTGCGGATGGAGTCAGCGTAAGTGAAAACTGGTTAAAAGTGCCATTTTATTCCCCCCTCCGATGCTGATATTCTTGTATCTATAGTCCAACACACGCAAAATCGTTGTTGGACCCGAAATCAAGCCTTATAGCTCAGGCAAAAGCATGTTTCGATTTATGGTTCCTCGAGAGGCCATTCAGAAAAACCCTCGAATCGCTCACTTCGCCCAGTATAATGGATGCATGACTTCATGGCACGGAGAAGTCTGCCGCCTCGTCATGTACCCTTGTGTTAACAACACTCTAATGAACTTTGGTGCCATCCACCCAAGTTACATGTCCCCAGCTAAAGGCGAAGGTGAATAGGGACTATTCATTACATAATTACGAACTTACTTTTCGAAAGGATCAGCTAATAAACTCATACTTAGGTTGGGATCAGGAAGCGAGCAAAGAGAAGCTTCTGGAGGTTTTCGGCGCCTTTGGACCCCAGGTGAAGGAAATGCTTGATCTGGTCGACAGCAGCACGCTGAAGGTATGGTCTCTACTAGATATGGAGCGGATCCCTCGATGGTACAAAGGGAGATTGGCTCTTTTAGGCGACGCTGCACACCCGTTCATGCCCTGTAGGTCGACTGCACTTGTGAGGTTTCTTTCTCTTAACCTTCGTTACTAATTTGCCATTGTTCATAGATCAAGGGCAAGGTGGTAGGTTATGGCATTAGACTTTGGCATCGAACAGTTGCTAATATACCGTAGCTTGTGTCGCCATGGAAGACGCAGCCTCTATAGTCGCTCTCCTCCCCCGTGGGACCTCCAAGGATGATATTCCGGAACGACTGGCTCTATACCAAAGCATTCGCGATGAGAGAGCCCATAGGATCCAGGCATCTACAAGAAAGTCTGGCCAAGATCTCGGTGAAGAAGAGAAACGGCAGGTTGATTGTCAGTGTCCCTCGTGCTGTTGTTTGCTGTACCCACTAACTCCCCTTCAGGGATGAACGCTTTTCAATACAACTTTAATCATGATGAGTGGCAGAATTCTACCAAGGTCCTCCAAGAACATCTCAGAAACCGTACCGGTCCAAGAATTTAGGATCACGTTTGGAATTGAAACTGTAATTCAAGCAAGATATTGAAGTTAACAACTTCACATACACGCCGCATAATATAAAAGCCTTTCTGATAACGATGAGCCATTCTGAAATTATGAATTGCCGAGCCTCAGTGTAGTTGATATAATTTATAAAATATAGCAATCTCAAATCATCGTGCATATCTATAACAGGATCTGATCAGACATAATAACAGACACGGTGACGTCGTATCATCCCATCGGGATAGCCGGTAGTGAGGTTACAGCTAAGAGCTAAACACCACCTTTCCATTCCGAGGTGTTGACCATACATCACCCGACAGCAACATAGACATCGGCCTATACGATGCATCATTTTCATACCTCGCATCCCCAGGACTAACTTAACTTGGCGGTCGATATCTTCAATAATTTCAGGTGCAAATCGTAGGCTATGGGTGTGTTTTCTTCTTGCAAAGTGTATGCACTAGAAACGGCCGGATAAAAGGCCAGTGACAGAGTTCCACGGAATCTGTCCGACGAGTGTGTCCGCTTTTCTCACCGGATACCACGCTTGAGTGGGGGAAATGTAACTTCAAAGCTCTACAGTATCTTCACCGCTTCTAAGATGCCGAAAGTATACCGAGAAACGATGATAGCTTTGTGATTCCCCAGAATACGGGAGGGCTATGCTATAAAGATTTGCTACTATCTTTAAACAGCCCAGAGGCGTGGCTTACGGATAGCGAATCAACACTCATCACAGAGCGCATCTCATTAAACTCATTCTCAAAATGACAAGATTACTGCAGAGGCGCTTTATATTCGTGCTTTTTGCATATGTCCTTGCTGCCAGTTACGCGGTTGTTTCAGCATTTCCCTCAAAGCACACAAGAAGAGGAGGACTCTGCGATGAGGCCGATTTTCGGATTCCCGACAATTCATGGGATTCTCACCTACACGTTTTGAACCCAATCGACTACCCAATAGAAGAGGGATCAGAATATACCCCCGGAGTATATACCGTATGGGATAACGCCGTATTCGAAAACCGCTTGGGGCCTGAGCATGTAGTTCTGATCCAGCCATCCATCTACGGTACAAACAATACGCTTCTTCTTGAATCTCTCCGAGGATACGGGCCAGACAGAGCGCGTGGAGTTATTGTATTTAATATTCAAGATATTTCAATGGCCGAACTTAATCAGTGGCATGCATGGGGAGTCCGCGGCGTACGAATCAACTTTCTGTCCACCGGTGAAACTCCACCTGCCGATGAGTTAAAGAGAACCTTGAGTGAATACTCCAACATGGTCAAGTCGCTCGGTTGGGTTGTGCAACTATATGTTGCGATGGATGCTATTCTGTCGATTGAAGATTTCCTTCCTTCTCTGGGAGTGCAGATCGTGTTCGATCATATTGGCGTCCCCGATATTCCAGAACAGAATTCGACCAAGTCTTACAACCCTTCCGATATCGCCGGATTCGACTCCATGGTTCGCTTACTGCAAAAGAACGTCGCTTGGGTCAAGATCTCAGGCCCATATAGGATTTCGAATGTTCAAGGGCCAATTTATCATGAACTAGATCCTCTTATCTTTGAGCTATTCCGGGTCGCTCCCTCAAGACTGGTTTACGCCTCGGATTGGCCTCACACAAGATTCGAGGGCCTTGATATCAAACCATGGACAAATCATCTCCTTGACCTTACAGAGGGCCAGGCAAACGTCAGAGAGGGGCTCTTTAGAGATAATGCTATGGTTTTGTGGCAGGCAGAAGATAACCAGCTCTAGACTTATGTGGCACCACAGGGTTCATCGAATGGTATGAAAGGGCATTTTACCTTGGTGACTCCTGTCAGGAAATGCGATTTTTTCCTGAAGTATAAGGGGCGTAACTCGTCAAATCTTCCAAAAGTTGAGTCATATTAACTACAATGGAAGCAAACTCGGCCCTGAATGATGGTCCAGCCAGTGTCCGATCACGTCTTCGGAAAATCTCCGTGCCAGTCGGACTTCGCCTTCCATCCCCGCTCCACACTCAAGCAGCCTACTTTATGTCCCTCAGCTCCTCTACCGATTCTCTCTTGACTTTGCATCTCCATCAAGGATACGGGATAATCCCAAAATGAATGACGCACAGAAGAGTATCGTCGACAGGTTACAGCCTTACACGACGTAAGCCCCCCCTCCCAATTCTAACATACCTAGGTAGTCAACCCCTAATCTACTCACACGACGTTTCCCATTATTCTAGCTGCGATGTCAGTGACGCGCTCTGCAAGCTTAAAGTGACCAATGGCGGCTTCCTATCCGGACTCACTATGTGGTCACCGGCCCGACAGGAAGGGCAAACCAAAATCATCGGTCCAGCATACACGGTGAAATATGTGCCTGTGGACTCCCCGGAGCCAAAGCTTACTTCGCACTATGTAATTCTTGCCTGAAATAAATATATAAGTACCTATATCGTCCGCATCTAATTCAAAATTTGGAGTATAGATCGATTCCGTGCCCGATGGTTCCGTTGTCTTCGTCTCATCACCCAAGACGCCGAATGCTGTCTACGGTGGTTTGATGACGCATCGAGCCCGTGCCAGAGGCGCGGTAGGCGCTGTTATTGATGGGAGATTCCGTGATCTCCAGGAGCATCGTGACGTTCAATTCCCGGTACGCAAAATTGTTCCCCAACACCAGGTCTCCTTTCGTGAATCACCAACTAATCTCGTCTCCTTCATAGATCTTCGGACGCGATATTGGCACGTCTCCCCCTTATGAAACTGTCAAAGTCGCCGCTGTAAATGTTGCAGTTAGACTGCAGACGCCTGACCAAGATATCACTATCCACCCTGGAGACTACATGATTGCCGATCTCAACGGCGTTGTTGTCCTGCCGTCTGATCTGGTAGAAAAAGCGATTCCTCTTATGGCCAAACAAGTCGAGGCAGATAGTAAAGTTATGGAAGCGTTGGACAACGGAATGGGTTTCACTGAGGCTGTTAAGAAATTTCGATGAGTTTAACTCCTCTTGAGAGTCGTGCATGACACAGTCGCATAATTCATAGTTTATCTTCACAACAATAGAAATTTCCCCCACATCAAAATTGAGAGATTTATTTTCTCAAATTAAGTCTGGCTAACCGTAGCTACCTATACAAAGAGAGATTTCATTCCTTTCCATTTGCTGCCTTCTTCGCAATTCCTTCTCTGACGCCCGGCAGAATGTATCTTCCATAGTCGACAACATCACTGAAATTATCGTAGCCTCGAATGGAAATCAAAGAAGCTCCAAGGTCAACATAGTCGAGAATGGAGTCGATAACGGTCTGGTATGACCCAACCAGCGCGGTCGAAGCTCCGCTAGCATTGGTCGCTGTCACGGTAGGATACCATAGAGCACGGTCTTGCACCTCGCCGCGCTTGGCAATGTCAAGAAGTCGCTGCGAGCCCACATTCTGCGGCGTTGAGGTATTTCTAATTCTGTTGAGATCCTTGCCGGAGAGATTGTTCAGGGCGTCCAGGGTCTTGTGTGCCTTGGCCCATGCCAAGTCCTCCGTCTCGGCAACAATGGGCCGGAAGGTCACCCAGATTCTAGGCCGATCAGTACGGCCAGCCTTCTCTGCTTCGGCATAGATGCGGTCGATCTGCTGCTTCGTTTCCTTGAGCGGTTCACCCCAGAGACCGAAGATGTCGGCAAGTGAGCCGCCGATGCGGTAAGCCTCGTCGGAGGAACCGCCAACAGATACTGGGATCGTTCCGTTGGTTGGTCTCACGGAGTTGCTGAAATCTTTGAACTGGAAGTACTTTCCCTCCCAGTCAAATGGTTCCTTGGACTCCCAAGCGCGGCGGAGGATCTTGATGTACTCCTCCAACCGTGCGTAGCGTTCATCCTTGGTCAAGAAGTCTCCCTCTCTTGCCTGTTCAGCGTCACTACCCCCAGCGATGAAATGCACAACGACACGACCCTTGCTCAGTTGGTCGAGAGTGGCCAGAGCCTTGGCAGCAACGGTAGGGTATAAAGTGTTGGGGCGAACAGCGATGATCACCTTGAGGTTCTTGGTAACATTGGCGATTGTGGCACCAATCGTCCACGGGTCAAATCCAGAAGACCAGTATGGAACGAGAGTATAGTTGAACTCATAGTCATCCAGCGATCGCGCATATCGGATGAGGAAGTCGGGGTCAACTCCAGCACCCGGGATAGGGTGAAGTTCACTCGAGGGATTGGGGAATGCGGCACTGATGAATTCCGTAGGAGGCGCCATTTTAATGGGACTTTTGGGAAGGGTGAGGAAGTAAGAATGATACCTAAGAGGCTCATGATGGCTGCTCGCCCTCTCTTAAGCAGTGTCGAACTAAGGGTGAATGTAACTCTGTCCTACTATTACGACATCTGAAGGAGAATGGCGTCTTTCCTGTTATCGTATGGCGATATCGGCCAGCGGCAATAAACCGTTAAACAGCCTCATACCAAAGTTCATGCCTCATGCAAATGATTTATTGATTGATAAGCAGCCAAAACGACCGCGAGGAGTGTGTCCCTCTTCTCCATCTAGGCCGGCGTCCATCGGCTTGCCCTACTGGCCGGGCTGGACCCTTTGGGGCAGATCGAACGATTCCTCCCCACTCAATAGCTAGTTGCGTGCTCACGACCCAAGTTCTTGGGACAGATGCGATGAACAGCTGCCCGAATGGCACATTCCTTCGGCCTTGCGCCATAGATATTACGCATGTCAAATTCCCATTCCTCTTCCCATCGAGAAATAGCTGGGAAAAAGGGCCCTCGGCGAAAATATGACGGGAATGATGCCGTTTCGAGATCTTCAATACTAGATGAAGAGAGGGGCAATCGGAGGAATAGGAGATGACGCAAGAAGTTATCCAGATCCCGCCATGTGGGATAATCATCTGTTTCCCCACGACGCACGTGCCGTGAGTTCCGCCAGCTGGAATAAGCCAGATAGTCTTTTAACTAGAAGAGAAAAGCATCAGTCAGAGAAGAAAGACAGAGAAAAGTTGATGGAAGAAGGACGACTGTCAGTCTATAGGGTAGGCTAGGAGTGACTGAATTCAAGAGAGGCTTTTATGTATCCTAGCTGCACCTATTATAGAGTGAGCGAATCGGGAACTGCTACGAGGTCGAATTATTGATGCAGAAATGAGCATAAATGATATACCCAACTTTTACATATTGGATGAGGGCTGGTCCGAGCTGCAGCGCTGTACTATTGATCGCTTTCCTGTCCCTTGAATGGAGGGTCCCCTCGATATAATGGCAATCGGTAGTCATAGCATTGGAAAAGATCTAATAGTTCAAGCGTACTCATATTATGCAAGTATCCTCGAAGAAAACTCTGCGAATATAGGCGCTAATGATTGGGTTGGAACCGACATGCCTGAATATTGATCTCGCAGCTTTAGTCTACCAGAATTCTTCCAACACTTCTAGGCTGATCAAGCCAAGCTCACCTAGAAATTGATTTGGGAGCTGACGATACCCGAAAGGATCAGGCTTTAAGCAGCCGCACAGCCGCACAGCCGCATCACTATTCATTCCTGTTCGATGTGCTAGTGATAGCAATAGGATATCTCGGCAAGCATCATATCTTCAATCTTGGGAGTTATTGCCTGACTGCATTAAACAATGGAGGCCCAAGGCATTTTCTTACCCCAGTTTCTGTGCTTCTTTTTCCTTTGTTCGATTTTAGTCGCTCATTCATAGTCACTCGTTTCGCTCGCTTATTCAAGATGGTCTCCAAAGGTCTGTTGGCTCTGGTGTTGAGCGCTATCTCTTTGACTGGCGTAGAAGCCAGGGTCTGTATCAAGCGAAGCTCCGGCCTTTCTCTCACAGACCTGCTTTCACTGGGATTCAAACTCCTATCATCTCCCTCTCAGCTCCGAAATCCAGCGACATCGTTTCAACCCGTTCAACAGCGGCCTCGCCGATTTCCGAGAATATTCCTTCGACAATACTTAGCAACAACTCCTTCCACTTCTCTCTCTGATCTCCCTGCGACTCCCAGTATCACCCCCTCCACGGATGCTTTATCCACCACCCCAGTTATCGCACCTTCTACTGATCTTCCAGCTACCACTCCAGAGGTCACTTTTTCTACTATCGCCTCGTCTTCTACCCCGGAAGTCACTTCTTCTACCGTTGTTCCATCACTACTCTCGTGGCTTCTACCACATCGGCTGCACCTGTGTGTACTCCGAGCAACCTGGTCTCGAACCATAGCTTCGAGCAAGGCGTCAACCCCTGGATCAACTCCCAAGGTGCAGTGGCTTCCTCGAGCGGAGCCGTGACCGCCAGGGACGGAAATTCCTACTTGTAAGTCCACCAGCCGAACCAAGCAAATACTCCTCTCTGCCCACCGTGTGACTAACGTCCCGGACACCCAGCCTTGCCACTCTTACCGGGTCCAACAATTTCATCTCCGTTCGCCAGTCGCTGCAGCTGGAAATAGGACAAACATACGAGGTCAAGGCGTACTATGGTCTGGGAGCCCGCCAGAACTTTGGCACCTCTGGTGTCTGCAACCTTCAGCTCACAATGGGCGGCGAACTCCAGGGGTCTGTGATCAACTTGACGCCGGCGGGTGTTGGACAGTGGAACCTTTTCGAAAGAACCTACGTTGCAACCGACACTAATGTTGTCATTCGATACGTACTTACCTGCTCCGGTGTCACGAGTGTTGATGGCCTGCTGGAACTGGTCACAGTTCCTTCGATTGTCCAACAACTCCTGCCGCTGCTACCTCAGTACCCCCCGCCCCTTAAATCATAACCAGAGGGTATAAGTTTGAAGACTAAGCTAGGTTGGTAGAGAAGAGGGGTTGTGCTCTAAGTGCCAAGGTGTAATAATATTATTTTAGAGCACACTGAAATTGAGAAATATTATAACGTTCTCTGATGTTCCTTTCTGGGTTCTTTCCACGACTCATCAGTTACAACATGTTGTGTGACTGCAACATACAGCCGCGTTGTCGCCTACCAAGATCTGCTTCTGGCTGGGTTTCGTTGATATCCGTCCGTCACGACCTATTACCACTATCCAACTCCGATAGGATGCTCTTTGGGCATAGAAGCCTCGCCAAACTCTCCCCGACTCGATAGTTCACCACCCCTCCCTCTTCATAAGCGAGACTTATCTCTTTGCCTGGCCGCATCACGTATTCGGGCACAGGCTCCAACCCCTTCTTGACCCACTCCCATCCATCTCCAAACTCACGCCTCTGCGCGGCGTATTTCTTCAATGCCGCTGGGTAATATTCCAATTTTTGCCGGCGGATTCGAACGGTAGGATGGAAGTATTCGTTTGTTTCCCCATTCGTCTGGTCGCCCGGGTCCTTTGGGTAGGATCCTGGCGTCCGAACCTGCCGCCCAAGAAGCCACCAAAGACCGCCTTGTAAGCCTGAGAAGTTGCTAGCAATCGGCCCGCAACCCCAGCCATCAGGGATTACAATCTTCCCCATTGCGTTGGTGTGGTCCTCGATGATGACATTTATACTGTCGTCTTCGAACGTGAGCATGCCTGCTAGATTATCCACCTAGATTGGGAGGCCAGAAGTCAGCTATGGTTGAAAACACATATCATGACCTTGGGAGAATCACCATCCATGCAAAAGAATTATAGCCCATTTCGGCGCCGGCAGAAGCAGGCGACCCGGTTTCCATACCGGCGACGTCCCCATGAATTCCAGGAAACCAACACTGCTGTAGGTCTTTGATGGGCCCATCATTGGTCCTATGCCAGAGAGTCGGCGGGAAGGTTAATCGTCGTTCGTCAAGGGCAAGAGCCTGGAATGCATATTCGACATCTGATGGAGTGGTTAGTTAGCATAGGCTAACTTAAACCTCGGAGAAGTTCCCGGGCTATACTCACTTGTCGATAACTTAGTATCATGAAACGCATATTGTGAGTTGATCCGTAGACCAATCTTTCTGGCCCATTTCACAACGGGCCATTCTGGGATTCCCTGGAAGCACAGAAATTGAGCAAATTGAATATTCGTCGGAGCAAATTAAAACACGTACCAGAGCTCCAACAGTATCCCATACACCTACTACCTTGACCTTAACATTGGTCAGGGCCAGCTCATCCTTGTTCTCCAGATACCACTTCGACTCTCTAAACGGTTGGCCGCCGGTGTTGGCACGGTACGCTTCCCACATTTCCGCAAAACGAGACATATTCACTGCCGAGAGGACGCCAATTTCGCAGACCAGAGCGGCAACAGAGCGCACAGTGAAGGCGCCGCGTGACCAGCCAAAGAAGAATAGTTCGTCTCCAGCCTCGTAGTTGTTGGAGATGAAATCATATATTTGGCATACGTCGACGTCCAGCCCCCAGCCGAAAGTCCCTAGATTCGTAAAACGCAAATGAGATCAGCAAGGCCATGAGGATCATTTGAGGGCAAGAGTTGAGTGAAACTCACCGTAAAGAAGCTTTTGAAAGGGGAGATCTCCGCTCCCAAGGCCGGAGTGGTAAGATACAATTTGCTTGACAAGGTTGCCTTGGTCGTCAAGCCCATTATTCGAGATTGCACGAGCGAGTTTCGCAACGTTTGAAGGGAGAGACTTGCTGCCAATATCAGATGCTTGCCAGGTCCCGTCCGCGCAAAGAATAATGCGCTTGTGACTCGCCACCTTCCGCGTATTTTCAGCCATCGTCGCACAGAGAAAAATTAATTTAACTCTCACTTCGGGGCCGAGAAAAACTACTAGGAGCCATCCTTATAATGCTCAGCTTGTCAGAGTAGGATTTATAGGTTATTTTGATCTAAGCTAACCGAATGGTCACATGCCGGTTACTCCAAATCTGACGAACCTTTGTCCAAAGCTGAAAATGAATGCTACTATATTCGGTCATGAGGGTGCCTCTCCGCGTGTAAGCTGAGACGGAGGCGTGTGTGCGCGTGGGCACATCAGGTGGTATTGGGATCTCGGCACCAATCAGGTCGCGATCAGCGCCTCGCTTCGTCCAAACATCTCGCCGGGGAATCTTCCGTTTCGAGGGAGCAAAATGTCCGACTGTCAGAGCGAGATCTTATGGGGCAAGGCGGACAACTTTTACAATAGGTGACATCACCAGTCTATTGCGACTCCAGAAGAAGCCCTCCCCTGACAGTCAGAGCTGAGATGTCTCACATGCTAGGCCCTTCATGACCACCCAACCCTTGCTTCTGTCGGTACTTCCGCAAATCTTGGCCTGGAAGTAACAGAAGTCATCTCCAAATTTTATTTTGTCGCCACCACCGAAAATATGTGAATACGGGGAATACTATGAGTCGAACAAGAGCGCACCAGGGAATCAGAGGAGACTGACCCAGCTCTCTCAATCACGTGGATTTCATTTAACCGGATATTGCCATTATACTCCGTACAGTCCCTACGAATCACCAGGTGTGTTCAGACAGCAATAGAAGTCCCGTACATCAACCCGTTAGTGTGTCTCGTGGCCCATCCCTAGGCCTTAGCCCAGGGTCAGATTTCCGCGCAATCGGACAGCCGCTCCTTCAGGGTTCTCATTTTGATAGTAGCCCGTCAAATCCATCCAATCGGGATATAAATCAGCTGCAGCAAGGAAGATCAAATCGTTGACAGATCGATACTTGGCCCGAAATGGCGAAAATCATAAGAAAAAACATTATATAGGATAAGTGGTTCCTCATTGTAAGGGTATAGACTGCCATCTTCGCCTGCGTGCCAGATGTAGTCGGATCGCTGTCTTAGAAAGTTAATACCATCATCCGCCTGTTAGCCCGTTGGTGATTATGCATTAATGAAACTATGCCTTTGATTTCACGACGAGCTGATAGAAATCATCAACGCGAGATACAATAGAACTAGCAGGCTCCTTTGTTATAGATCAACTCTCAACCATATATCATTAGCTAGAATAGGTACAGTAAAACATGCCTTAACAAAATCCATTCCGGCCTCCACCTACCCGCATATTACATGATATGCATTTTGCGGCTCTTTGACTGATTTACTGTAGCAAACCTGCTGAGATTTAACCACTGTACTACCTTGCCGCAAGGTAAGCCATACCGAGTGCTCCAACCCCAAACACATAGGGCGCCAAAGTCAAAGCCGCACTGGATATGTTCCTCTTGACCTTCTCCGCTATCTTCGCTTTCAGAGCGGCAGCCTCATTGACCCTCGGGAATTCCACGTCCGGTACAGGCCTGCCGAGGAATTCGCACAACGGCTCCCATCCCTCGCCCATACGGTACAGCAACAGCTGATCAGCCGGAACACACTCCTGTATTTCGCGATGATGTCTATCGTATGCCTCTCTTGCTTTGCTGCGTGCCTCATCCACGTTCTTGGCCTGGAGCAACCCGAGCATCATTTTCCGCGAGGCTGGCCCAGCACGAGAACCAAGAATAGGCTCGATAACATTGATGGAGAAATTGGCAGCCGGACTCCAAAGTTGCTGCAGGACATTCTCATCCATACTCTTGAACCACTTGTCGAAGTCCCGAATTGTCAGGACCACCTTGGCCTCTGGGTAAGCCTTGATGAGGTGAGTCCCAAAAACAGAGGCCATGTCCGTAGTGGCCTCGTATGGCGCGTAGAGCTCGTTCCACTCCTCCTGAGTAAAACTCTTGCCCGTGTAGCCAGGCAGGACGGGGAACGTGGCATCGGCAGCGCGATCAAAGATCTTCCAGTCTTCCGGTGAGTCGATTGCCTTCACGCCATGATAGACTCCGTCGTAACCGAGAATCTCTAGTGCTTCGGCCAGGGAAGCGGATCCGGTCCGGGGAAGACCCATTGCGAGGACCTTCATCTCCCGCTGGGGCCGGGCTTTAATTTGCGATTTCTCCATGATTTACGGCACAAAAAAAGGCTCAACAAAGCAATTTATTATCAATTGTGAGCGATTCAGGAGGAGAAACACGCTAGAAAACTCTTCTCGTCATCATCTGTAAGATCCTGGTTAGCTAGGGTTTAGTTTAGTGGGAGCCCCAAAGACTGACCGAAACCTTGTATGTTCTCGGTCCGGCACAACCAAGTCTCTTGACTTCTTTGGTCGGCCTAAAAGTCGGCGTTTAAGTAGGCCATTCGTTTTCTTGGTTAAGGTGACAAAAATACCGCCTACCCGGTGGCTGATCATCTCTTCAACAAGGGCAGAGATTGGTTACCGCCTTGTCGAAACTCTGACTCTTCAATCTCCGACAACCGAAAATATTCGCTAGCAGTGACAACTCTCCGATACCCGAGCCGCGGTGTCATGGGTGTAAGATTTCTCCACCCCGCGCGGCTATGAAGTCGAGTTGTAATGCATCTTGAAGCTCTACACTCGTTGGATTTTAGACTCGTCAACTCATTTAGTGAATGGCTAGTGTAGGACAACTGACCTGGCTTATAACTAATTATCAACAACGCCAATAAAGAGAGTGGGCGAAACCCAAGGCTGATTTATCGATCGTATGGATATATCTTGTTTAAACTATAATCAAGCCAGCCTATTGACTAGAAAGGACCTTTTGAGTATAGCACGAATTTAAGAGGAAAGGAACGAAGACTTCTGTCCTAGCCCCCTAGATAAATTCTTTGTAAAATAAAACGGTTTGATGGTCTCAAGAAGCCTGAATGAACAACTACATTGCGTTGTTTTACGTAGAACGATATATCGGCCTTAATTGACCTACAAACCTTGATGATATTGAATAAAGCTTCCGCTACCTTCTACGAGAGATCCATTTACCTGAAACGGCCACTTACCTACCCATAGCTTCAATCAACAGCTGGACAAACTTCTGGCTTACCTCCAGGTTCCTCTGCATCTTCTCTGACTTGATCACAGCCGTAGCAGGATACATACCTTTGGAGTCCGCGCATTCTGGGTTCGCACCATGAGCAAGGATGACCTTGGCCAAACCGACTGCGCCGTGATGAGCTGCCCAGTGAAGAAGCGGCAGGTCACGACTCACCACTGCAGCGTCGGAGGCAAACTTCCCCAGGGTCTGCTTGGTGCGCCATCCCCAACCATGAGCATGAAGGTTCTGATCCTTCCTCAAGTTCGCGACAGAAACCACCATCGAAGCACGAGCCTCGATATCTGCGCCACGGGAAACAAGGTCCTGGGCGAGGGCTGCTGTGCCACCGGCCTCATCTCTGTCGAGATACGTCGCGAGGAGGTGCAGTGGAGTGTACCCCTCCTCTGTAGAGACGATCGGGTTGGCCCCGTGGTCAAGAAGGACCCGAGCTGCGCGGACGGCCAGCCATGATGTCTTGAGCTTTGACCCGAAGACATCACCATCTGAGGTCCGAGCGAGTGAGCCTAGCAAGGGTGTCCAACCATTGGCACTCACCTTGTTGACATCGGATCCGTTTGAGATGAGATACTCCATAATGTCTGTCTTACCGCCGGCCGCAGCCCAGTGGAGCAATGTTTCCCCGTTGTTATTTACCAATGTCGACATCGATTCCTTCTCGGTTGGGTCCATTGAGGAGAGGTAAAGGAGAAAAATGGAGAGGTTGGAACCATAGGCAGCACTATGAAGGGGGGTATTACCTTCATTGTCACGGCAGCTAACTGAGGCACCCTTTTCAATCAGAAGCCGGATACCTGTATCATTAAGACGAGATGACGGTGATTGCGATTTGACATAGAGTGGCGCGCTAAGATGATGGAGGGCTGTCTTCCCATCGTCGTCCTGGATATTGGGGTCTGCACCTGTCTCCAGCAGCGCCTTGAGGCCGCCGACGAGATCACAATACCTACATGCGAATAAAATAGGGGCGGTTTGGAACACTGCCCTCTTCATCCTCGCGTTCGGGTCTGCCCCGGCCTTGACGAGGGCTTTGATGAGCCGCTGCTGGTTGAGGAAATCAGTGCCGTCGTACTTGACCCCTCCACGCTCATCCTCGGCGAGCATTACCTTGAAGTTTACAGCGACATGAAGGGCCTGTAGGATGACGTCCTGAGGGAAGTCAACCCTGTCGAGAAGCAGATCAACAGCATCGGCGCGCCATTTGTTCGCAGCAGCGAATAGGGCGCCCTGCGTCGTTGCCTGCGGCCAGTCATCCCACAGATTCAACAGCAGATCCACGACATGGGTTTGGCCGTACATAGCTGCAATGCCAAGGGCCGTGTTCTGAGAATACCGTTCGGAGGCGCGGCTTTCCAGAGGCACACTCTGCCACACCCTCTCCACGATGGCTGTCGTCCCGCGCCGGACAGCCGTGCCCAGGGGAGTCATGCCGTCGTCAGAGTGGGTGAGGAAGAGAGGGTCGGCGCCGGCATCGAGAAGCAAGTCCACGGCCGGTAGGTTGTCGCACAGAACGGCTACGTGGAGCGGCGTGCCCCATTTGAAGTGTTCGTGGTTGACCTCGTCAGCTGTGGCTAAGCCGAGGATCCGTCTCAGCTCAGGCACGTTGTCGTCGCGAATGCTCACGTGCATGGCCTCGAGCGGCCCGTCAAAGTCTTCCCGCATTCGGGACTGCGCCTGGTTGCCCATGATGGAGGTGGTGACGATAAAGCTGATGATCGATGCTGTTCGGTGAGGTATTTGCAGGGAGGAAATTTCGATGGCCGGTGCGGGGCGGAGCGTCTAATATATATGTCAACCTACCTTACCTATATAACAGAATGTCAGCCAATGGCACCCTCTGTTACGAAGTCTACTGCGTGACTGGAATGAAGAACTGCACAATGGCCTTTGCTTTATCGTCCGACTAAGCTCTCATGTTAATTAACCACATAAAGGATTCAATTAGCCAGGTGACTGTTAGAAACTGACGAGATGATAATGGCGAAATGAGCGCGATTCAATGACTGTCGAGAATCGATGCAGAATTACAAGGGTTCTCGATTTATAAGAGAAGCTAGCTGTTGAGAGCGTTGGGTGATTTTACAGCAAGACTCAATATCTCTATCATTATTACTTTCGCTTACATTCTCGATCAAATCAGACTAACATGATAGAGAAATGGTAGACGATTGTTTTTCAGGAATGATTACTATGGTTGAAATCGCGGGCTAGAATTGAGTTCCTCCCACCACACATCACCAATGGTGCCGTAATCCAAGCTCACGGATAGCTCGTCTGTTTTCAAGCCTCTAGGTAGCATGGTACTGATGCTACATAAAATCTCTCGCGCATCTGGATCATGGCCCAGCAAGTCAGACGCGAGAACATAGTGTGTTAAGACACAAGATTTAGGGACATCTAGTGACAGTCGCAATAGTAACATACTAGCCATATAGCCGATGAAACCTCCCAGAAGATGATCGGGAAGCTACTTGAAAGGTGAGTGATAGCAATGGTGTCACGAGATCGGGCAAGCAATTGCTGATTTGGACTTGTCTACCAAGCATCAAATATCTCATCTATCTATACTGGGCCGGAAGAGTTGTGGTTGACTCAATTAGACGCTGTTCGTCGAGCGGGTACTCAGAAAGACTCGGCTCTTTATCCGGTCGCCTGACGTGGTGGTAATCAGATGTAACGGGGACATCTGCGTATCCTACCTCCCACTGCCTCGGTCCGCCGTTCGAAGCAAGGGCCAGCCGAAGAATTTGTAACTTATCATCCGCCAGGCGAGCTTGTGTACCATTTGGAATGAACTTGCCAACCCAGTCAAGGATATCCTGCATGTAGAAACTGATTACTGCAAGAAGAGCAGTGATGACAATGATGATGAGCATACCAGCGAAACTGAAAGTGGACACCTCTCCGTTGCTCATGATCAGCTGGGTTTCGCATTGGGCCTGAAGCTCGGCCATGACCGCATCCGTCACGTTAAGCATGTCTCTCAGGGCCGAGCTGCGAGGGGAGATGATTTCAAGGCCTAGTTCCTCATCCGGGGCGCGGACATACTCCGCCACACTCGCTTGAATCTTTGCCAGTTTCGTCTGGAACCATGCAGTGGTTTCAAGGTGCCACTGGTTCTCTGGTAGACCTGTTGAGTAATCATTGCCGATAATATGGTTGCTAGCGTATAAGGCTGGCTGGGGTTAATAAAGGGCATCATTCAAGCAGGCATGTATTGCAACTTACCTGCATTGTTCGAGGTAGCCATGAGGACTCCTGTCGCCGTTAACTGCATGTGAAGAGTCATACGAGCAGCGGTGGCATGCTGCGCATCATTGAATCCTAGGGTCGGGTCGTGAATTGCGGTTTCCGTAAAGTTTGCGAGTTTTGCCCAAGATGAACATCGGTCGTTGACTGGGTTGCAAATCATGTACTGGTCGTAGCAGAGCAGCGGGTTGACTGCCCAACTGGGCGTGAAAAAGTCTCCAGATGTGTTGTTGTCCGCAAGAAAGTAAGGGTCTTTGACTGGCTGTGCGTATTTCATTCCATTCTGGTTCAAGAAGATGACACTGACGTCGGCATCAGCCCGCTTGAAGTCCGAAATAGGGTTCCAGCCTGAGAAACTCCCTTCGGTGAAAGACCTGTTTTTGGAGGGTTAGTGTTTTTGATCCAGGAAATCTTTCAACATCCATTATCGACTTACTGGATATGATATCCAGTATATCCACGCACGTTGGTCGCCGGGTGTGAAATGGTATAGTTCGACTCGTTCCTGATCCCACCCATGTAGAATGTGAACATGTTCGACTCCTTTTTCCATAGATTTTGCAGACTGGCCAAGCCACAAGTTGTAGCTGTGCGAACTCCAATGCGATTGGAAGGCTTTGCATTTATCCCAAACATGCTGTGAGAGTCCAGCATCTCGGACTCCAGTCGGATAGGTGCCACACCCTTATTGCAGCGGGCCGCACTTGGATACATGCATGATGCGTTGACGTCAACTTTGTAAGGGAGGTAGTCTTTAACGAACTTGGACTTGATTGATTTTGTGTTGTCTCTGTTTCCATAGAAATTGATGGCGTAATTTCTGGCTGCTATGGTCTCGTTGATCACCTTGTTGACCCTTATGATATTGGTCATGTCGCTGGCGGACACATTCGAATAGGGAATGACGCCGCAGCCTTGGTTGAGCGCCAGAGCAATACCGGTTCCATCCTCGCTTGTTACAACCTTTGACGTGAAGATGGAGGCCGTCATCATCCCGCCAAAGAGAAGCAAAGCAGGGACAACAGCAACAGCTGTCCTGAGCCCGAGCCTCGGGACTTTCCGGCCTGACCAGGCGCCATGGATTTTAAACAGATCATAGATCGTAGCGAGGGGCGTCTTCGCGTTTCGAAGGGTGACTTGTTGTTGAAGATCGAAAAGATCGGTGTCGGGACGACTGCGAACAAGGTAGCTGTGGATCAGCAGGGAGACAATGGTCCATGCACAAGCCCCAGCGACCGTGACCATGACAGTCAGAAAGGAGAGGAAGATATTTCCATTGTTCTTCGGGAGTGTTATGGCTCCTTGAGTCGCTGCAGAATGGGAGTGGTCGTACCAGACTCCCGTCTGAAACTGCGTCATAGCTGGCGGGTGTGAATGCTTCAGTCAGAATATCAGAAACACAATCAGCGCGCACAACTGTGCGGCGATTGCGAACCGCTCTGCCTAAATATTTGCCTCGACTTTGCCCCAGTATGCTTAACCAAAGAAATTGGAGGCTACTATTCCTAGCAGCCAATCACTTCAAGTCCCCAGGCGCAGACCAGCGCTGCCGAGGTAAGCACTAGGCAGGGGACCAGGTGCTTCAGGCTCGTCTGGGGTCTTTCTTTTTTTTAATGGGCTCTCGGTTGTCTTCTAAGCAATCATCAATCACTCACTGGTTGGTCAGCACACGAGAGAGAATGAGGGGGCTTTTGATATGCGGGTGGCAATCCCAATCACAAAAGCCACTTGAGAGCCAGAAATAGCTTAACAGCTGGCCTGTGATTCCCTGGAATTCGACAATAAGCCCCTGGGCACGAGATACTCACACTTCCGTGCTTATAAACGTACATAGGGGACAGATATGCTCATGTCATCTAGCCTTATCTCATGGCAATTATGGTCGGGTAGGGGGAGGAGCCTGAACATCTCGACCCACCCAACCCTCTTGGGTGGGAGTTTTAGGTGCCGGGCCCCTGTCAAATCGAATGGGAGTCTAGAACTCTCGATCGTAAAGGAACATTGACATCCTTCAACTTTGCAGCTGGAACCCTTAATCCTGCTAGGCAACTAGGGGAGGGTGGCGAGAAGGATAGGGCTGTGTTTTCCCCCCCTGGACACTGTTGGTTAAGAATTCCTGTTTGGGTCTCTAGTTTCGGCACATGATGATGGATCCTACCATTGTCCCTCTAATCTGCCGATCCGGTAAGGCTGTGGAAGTAATCCCCACAATTGCCTCAATCCTGATGCAAATCCAAGGTCATGATCAAGGTAATTACTGCACGACGAAGTGACAGCAACATCATCGAACACTAAGAATCTGCGATACTCGAATAGACATATCTACGCCCAATGTGAAGGAACCATCTACTCTGGTCAAGAGGTAATTTTTTATTTTAAGATAGCCATACTATTTAGACGGAAACGCCGTTCTTAGCATCAGCTGTATAGGGTAGTTATGAAGGAGAAAACCATCTCGTTTAGTCTCGTTAAGAAACTTCTTGATGGCTGCCATGAGTGGTAACTCTGCGAGCACAGTCTGATAGATGGTAGATGCGTGAATGGAGGGAGGGGATTTAGGTCATCAAGATAGCCACTTCATATTGCATATTTCGCTCTCGAGGGAGGGGAAGCCCCTGTACAGCCCCACGCAGTAAGCAAATGAGTCACTTGTTGCGTTTTTACTCACAATCACAGTCTTTTGAGGAAAAGACACAACATCACAATCAACGGGAAAACACAGAAAGTCTACATAAGATCTCTTACTCTACTGATTAGATCATTGCATCCTATGTTCTCTGGACCAGCTCTGGACCAGCACGCCCGATATGCCTGGGAAAAGATCACCGCCGCTCTCATCCCGGCTGCGGCTTCCAACTGAGATCTGGGCATTGACTATCGAAAAACTAAGCGAGGAGATACCAGATCACGGTCAGTGGTTCTCAAGTTACGATAGAGACCCAGAACCCCGGCCGTCGCAGCTACTGGCCATCCAAAACTTGCGTCTTGTGTGCCGCACTTTCAGTAGCCTCGCATCGCCGCTCCTGTGCCCATACCTATATCTTGAAATCTCGTACGAGTCTATAGACCGCGCGAAAGGACTTCTCAAAAATCCCCGAATCGCTTGTGGTCTTCGCGGCATACGGCTCTCGCTCGCTTATCGGCCAGGACTCTTAGCTTACAGTCGCTCGCAATTTTCCCTTCACTGGGAAGTGAAACTGGAAAATGCATGTTCAGAACTCGGAGTGGAGTTGAGCAAAGAAAATAAGCCGCTCTCTTGGGAAGACAACCCCGGCCTGTATGAAAAATTCAAGGCCGCGGAAAAGCGAGAGGATATGATCAGAACACTGGGAAACTTTGGGCAATATCTCGGGCCGGTCAATTCCACATCTTGCTATAATTTCTTTCGTTCCTCCCATAAAATTTACAAGGAGAAGCATTGGGAGCAATTTGATCTCTTGATGAGCGGATCCTTTGTTCGCCAGTTAGCTGCTGCTCTAGGTCAAGTTCGGCAACCCTTAGCTCTGCACTTCACAGATGATATCCAGCGAAGATATAGTATGATGAACCATCGCTTATTCCTGGGAGACACGGGGCTCGCAGACGCGTTTATTCAACCTCCTCCTTGGAACGATGACAAGACACCCGGATTGCTCCCAGCACGCGTTCTGACGGAGCTGCCCATAGCCATAGCTCAAGCGGGTGGATGGCTCCAAAGCCTGAAGCTCAGCTGCCCCATATACAGATGTTGTCACACCTTCCCAACCGGCGTCTCTCCTGAGCGTTCCATGGCAGAACTCAGGAGCGCATTACGATTCATACGGATAGCTGAGGTCAGCTGTCCCGGTCACTGGTGCGCGTACACCTCGGCCTTGCTTTCCAGCCGCGGCCTTCGACATGTGAGGATCGGCCCGGGACAGTCCCGGTACGCTAATACAAGCTGCACCCAGCCTAATTGTAAACGCGAGCGACAGAGAGGGCGCTGGTTCAGGACAGCCGAGCCCACCGTCAGAAGCTTACGCATCGAAGATGTCACGATTTTCCAGGCTGAATTAGTGCCGATGCTCTCTATGCTTAGCCCTCGATGTAAGGACATATGGATCTCGTCTTTGAATTCACCCTACTGTAGTTGGTCTGAGATAATAGAGATCCTCCGGCGTAAAGCAGGATCCCGAATCGCCAGTGGGAAGTGCAAGTTGCATTTGACTGCGCTGAAGGGTGGGGAGTTTCCACAACGACCACGACCACCGCGAGGGAGTGATATCAATGAAGATTATGAAAGAGAGCTTGCTGAATATGATGGGAAGATGAAACAAGTACTGGATTATATAGCGGGCAAGGATGTTAAGAAGTGGTGGAGTGGATAGAAATGTGAATAGCGCCAATTCCTTCATCATGGTAGGACAGTCATGGATGTTGCGCGCCAGATGACGGTTATAGCAACTATCTAGTAATAATCATCATCTGGAAGTCGGACGCATTCTAACTCGAAAACTCGAAAGCATTGCGTATGTAGCTTGTGTGGTATTAAACGATAGCTTAGATTGGCCTTGTCTTCCACTAGACATAAGGGTTAGGCTCTTATTCACACAAATTTTGGTTATTTCTAGGCACGTTGAGCTGGTCATTCGCTTTTGCCATAAGGTTGTTCCATAAACCTGTGCTACGTCACTAAAAATACATAATTTTGGCTGGCTGATAGTGATAGTAGGATGTGAATATCTCGAATTGGACGATGCGAATGTTATAGTAGAGCTCTAGACCCTCAGCAGGGCGGCTGAATTGTTGGATAAGAACATTTAGGCACTAAAATTCAAGTATTAAGAGACTGCTATTTTGGATATAGGTTAGAGCTAAAAATCATGGGTTTGTTCATTTCCAGCACACATGTCGTAACCGTCATCAATCTAGTTCTCATGACGCCGTTCAAGATCTATGGGGTAATGTCCAGCGTAAACACACAAGCGCCTGGATGTTCAGAGTTTGGAGGTATCCGCGATCGATACCTATCAAATCTAATCAACACTTATGGCCACGATGAATGGATAATACACTTGCGTAGACATTACGGTACATCAACTTAAGAAACAGTTGCACTTGGAGCAATTTGTGATATCTGCTCTAAAACCCGTAGTTTTGATTGAATAAGCTAGCTTCGACATATGTTCTTCCCTTGTCATCGCATATTAAAGGCAGTAGGCATTTCCTGTGGCCTTTGAATTCCCGATATCTCGACCAAAGCGCCGGTGGATTGGGAATATGAGGTCCAGGACTCTGTCGGGGCCTCGTGGGGACCACGAGGCTGGGTATCGGTGGAGTTCTGCGTCTTATATGGTGACTTGGGTGTCTGTTCTTGGAGTTGATGAGTCTGCACCTGCATCACCTGAGCTCTCCTCTTACGATGTTTCCAGATCAGCCAGATTGCAAGCGAGCCAATGAGTAAGACAGCAAACGCTCCTCCAACCGCGCCGCCAATGATTGGACCCTTATGGTTATCGGCACTGTTACCGCCCGTTCTCGGTTCGCTTGTCGTAGTTGCATCAGCTGTCGTAGTAGTAGCTGACGTAGTCGTTGCTGTTGAATCTAGCTTGGCACTAGATGTTGAGACCGTGGAAGTAGCTCGGCTTGTTGTGGAAGGAGAAACACCGATGGTCGTTATTACAGTGGGAGTTCCTATTTAGTACTCTTAGAACATGCTGTGCCTGCGACTTGTCGAAGACTAGAGGGGGAATAGAGAGCTGTGTGAATACGGATGGCTAACCTGGAAAGAACAGGACATTCTGTTGTTCGGTGCAGTTGACAGACCCTTGATTCCTGTTTATACACCAATACATGTCCTTGGAGGTGTTGGGACACTTGGCTATACCCATTCCGCCAGTGAGGTTATCGACATTGGTATCAACACAGAAGGAAGGGCAGTTTGAGCTTCGCCAGGTCTTGTCGGTACACCCGCCACGAACAAACTCAGTCGCCCCGGGCTTTAGCAATTCCTCTCCGGTGGCCTGGCAGATTCCGTTAGAGAGACAAGCGTATCCCTGGCCGCAGCAGACGGAGTTAGAAGTGTCATCTCGACAGGGCGTGTCGTTGGGTGCTAGCTTTCCATTGGGGTAGTAACACGCGGCGGTTGATTTTGAGGGAAAAATAGCAAGGAGGATGGCCACCGGCACGAGCCAGCCTCTGAACAAGGCCATTGGGGAGGAGTTGTTTCAGGTAACAGGCAGTCTGAGTAACGAAGCCTAGCAGAGACGTTGCGGGAGTCGCCCACCGCAAGACTTTGGCGATCAATGCTCGAAGATTCTCCAGCACACATGATGTAAGACAAAGAGATGTATTTCTCTGCGAGGATACGATGCCATCCCCCCTTAATCGATTGCTCAACGAAATTGGACGGCTGGTTGTATGCTTGGGGGCCGCACTGTGCATGTGTATGGCGAACTGGGCTATGTTACAGTGTGGATAGCACATCCTCATACGGCCCGTTGGTTGAACATGTCTTTCTTCTCATTTCGTGTGTCCGGCCCGCCAGCGTAGTTCCCATTCGCCAGCGGCTCTTGGGGGCGTTTTTCGGGCGCTAATGGGACAATCTAAGTGGCTGTTTGATGCATAAATGTAACACTGGCCTCCCTTCAAATCTGCCTCCTGCATGCGGCGGTTGTTGGTCGTCTCTGCTAACGGCTGCTACAGCGAGTAGCTTTTCCCCTCCACTAAAGGTTAGCGGTCTCTTTCAGCGTCTCTCCCTCATCCTACTTCCTTCAATGATTCTGCACTTTGCATCACCTCAGCCATCAATTTCAACCCCCGTCCATCTCGCAAAGATGGTGTTCAGGAGCAAGCGCTCGCTTCTTGTGTCTGCTCTCTTTCTGGCCGGGCTGTTCTATCTCTGGAGCTCTGGCGCCCGCGACGCGATCATCCCTTCTTTTACTGCACAACAGGGCACGCAGCAGCAGCCCCAACAAACAAAGTGGCCGGTCGATGAGTCCATCTGGCGAGACCAAGATTACTTCTGGAGGAAAGTGAAGATCAATTATCCCGTCGGCGAACTACAAAAGTTCCCTACCTGGACGCCCCCCAAAACCTTCCCCAAGATCCAGGCCAACTTCCCTGCCGAGTCGCAGGCCCAGCGACAGAAGCGCGTCGAGCGTCAGCAGGCCGTCAAGGCGACCTTCCTGCGATGCTGGACGTCGTACAAGAAGCATGCCTGGATGGCCGATGAGCTTGAGCCAGTTTCAGGAGGCCGCAAGAACCCCTTTGGCGGCTGGGCTGCCACCCTCGTCGATTCACTCGACACCCTCTGGATTATGGACTTGCGTGACGAGTTTGCCGAGGCTGTCGCTGCCGTCGACGATATTGACTTCACGCACACGGACCTCCGCGAGATCAACGTCTTTGAGACCACGATCCGCTATCTGGGTGGCTTCCTGTCCGCCTACGAAATGAGCGAGGACATCCGGCTGCTCCGCAAGGCGGCCCAGGTGGGTGAGATGATCTACAAGGCTTTCGACACGCCCAACCACATGCCCATCACCCGCTGGGACCTGCACGCCGCCATCAAGGGCCAGAAGCAAGACGCCAGCTCTGGCACCCTCGTTGCCGAGGTGGGCAGTCTGTGCATGGAGCTCACACGGCTGTCGCAAATCACCGGCGACGATAAATGGTTTGATGCGGCCCAACGCATTACTGACACATTCGCGGCTCAGCAGGATTCGACTGAGTTGCCTGGCATGTGGCCGTTGGTCGTCAATACCAAGGACGGAGTGTTCAACGTGGGCAGCTCTTTCACTCTGGGCGCCATGGCCGATTCGGTCTACGAATATCTGCCAAAGATGGCTGCCATGACGGGCGGCCGGCTTCCCGTCTACCAGGCCATGTATGAGAAGGCGATTGACACGGCATCCAAGTACAACTTCTTCCGACCAATGACGCCCACAAACGAAGATATTCTCATCTCTGGTCCTGCGAAAACGATTCACGGCGAGAACGGAAAGAAATCGGTCGTGAATGACCATGAGGGCCAGCATCTAGTGTGCTTTGTGGGTGGAATGCTTGCCATTGGTGGCAGACTCTTCAGCAGGCCCAAGGACGTTGAACTTGCAGGGAAGCTGACGGACGGTTGCATATATACCTACAAAGCCTTCCCCCACGGCGTCATGCCTGAGCTCTTCTTCATGGCTGCCTGCGACTCGGATACCAACTGCCCATGGGACGAGAGGCGTTGGAAGAAGGAAGTGGTCAAGGCCAATAACAAGGGCGTCGATTCCCCCGACGCTGATGCCGACGCCATCATCTCCGACGGGCACATACCCAAGGGATTCACCCGGATTCCCGACACACGATACATCCTCCGACCCGAGGCCATCGAGAGCGTCATGGTGCTGTACCGGGTGACCGGCCGCCAGGACCTCGTCGAGTCCGCCTGGGACATGTTCAACGCCATCGAGAAGGTGACGGCGACCAAGCTTGCCAACACGGCCGTCTGGGAGATCAACGACCCCAGCAAGATGCCGAGCCAGTCCAACTCGATGGAGTCGTTCTGGACCGGCGAGACACTCAAGTACTTTTACCTGACGTTTTCTGAGCCAAGCCTGATCAGCTTGGATGAATATGTGTTCAATACGGAAGCACACCCTCTTAAAGTAAAACGGTAATTGATCCCTGGATTGAGGATGATGTGACAACACGGGAAAGGAGTTTTGCGAAATGCCTGCTAGCAGGTCTGGCATCAAATCAGGCGGTTTTGAACTGAACTCTGAAGGAAAAAGGCGAATGTTGTGAGATTGACTGAACCATGCAATTTTTGATATTTTTGTTAATGATACCTGCGACCCTTTAAATTGTTGCCTTCAGCTGTATTTCAGAATAAATTACTTAAGATTTCGACATCGAAAATACAATCCGTTCCCATTGTCCACTTTCTCCTCTAGTTTTCTACATCACACATGCCGCTCGCGCGTTTGGCTTGGCCATTGTGTGTTGAGGCATCACCTCAAAGCCGTCTTATAGCTTGAACAGTCCGATTCCAGGCTTAAGTCCGCTGAGATCCTTATACAACGCGGTTTTATGCGATTTATTTGCAGTCTCAAAAGTTCCCTGTGGGAAGACCCAAAACCCTGCTGCCGACGGAAGATACTGCTTGCCTTCCGAGGATAGGGGATTTACGGGAGACTGAATCCCCATACACACCGAGGCTGATCAGCGGACATGTCACATGCTCTTCTCGCATTTCTCAAGCGCGCTTGTCGATGAATGGCTGAGCGACTTCGGGGCAAACTAAGCCACTATATATTTGGCGCAAGGCGTCATTTAGATACTTCCCTGGTCGAATTTGACCTCCGATCTATAAAAAGAATGGAATGGCTTTTTCTCTCAGATACCTCCGCGATTATTGCGCCATATTTGAATGAGCAGGGTAAATATCACTGAAAACGATTTTGATATGTTTTGCTTGAACCGGCGAATTTGATCTCGCAACTTTGAATCGACCAGGAGATACCCTCTATGTGATAGAGCTTAGTTTTAGCCAACGTTTTAGTTAGATATATCCAGTAATAAGTCCCTCGTTGGCAAGGGCTCAGCGTAGATACACATATAGTAGAAGTATTTGCTGGTTGCCATGCCACCTAGCTGGACATTCAAATGGATATCTGCCTTAGAATAAGGCACCGTGTGAAACGTATTGCTGTCTTACCCACAACCAATGAACAGCTGCATTAACTTTTATTAGGAATCAATCATATTATTGGCTGGAGTAACTTTTACCCCTCGTCATATTTCTGACGTCACCATTGTCAATAAAAGACTCAGTATTGGGGAGACAAGAATTTCGACTTAAACATCAATATCACGTCTTAGCCTAGTAGTCTCGCCATGGAGAGAGAATCAGCAGCCCTAGATGGCGATTCAATCTCTCCTAATCAAACCATTTTCCAGGGATTTGAATGGTATATCCCTGCTGATCATCAGCAATGGATTCGCCTTTCTCGATCCATGCGAGATCTTGCGTCGGTGGGCATCACCAGCATCTGGATACCACCGGCGACGAAAGCTATGACGCCCACAAGTGAAGGCTATGATGCATATGACCTATATGACCTAGGCGAGTTTGAGCATCACGGGACCAAGCGGACTAAGTATGGTGATAAGCAAGAGCTTGTCCAGCTGTCAGAATCCGCAAACAAACATGGAGTTTCCATTTTGTTCGATGCGATTTTGAACCACAAGATGGGTGCCGACAGTACCGAGTCTGTTCGAGCAGTCAAGGTTGACCCAGAAGGCATGGTTCCCTTGGCGATAAGTTTGTATTCGTCTAATTGTTTCGTAAAGACCGCACGAAAAGCATTGGCAGACCGACGAAAATCAAGGCATGGACCAAATATGACTTTCCGGGCCGCGGGGAGAAATATAGCTCCATGAAGTGGAGTAAAGATCACTTCACAGGAGTTGATTACGACGATAAGACTAAACGCAGCGGGGTGTGGCGTTTGCAAGGCAAAGATTGGGCATATGATGTTGACGAAGAACTCGCGAATTACGACTTTCTGTACGTTCTTGTTCCTCTTACTTGAATCTTTTGTTGCTGACACGCGTGGTTGATTATTTAGTTTGGGTCAGGATATTGACCATAGCCATCCTGAAGTCCGAAAGGATCTCTTCCACTGGGTAGAGTGGCTTTCCTCGCAGTTGAGGCTCGGGGGTCTGCGCCTAGATGCGATTAAGCATTTCTCAGCTTCATTTCTGCGCGACTTTGTCCGCCATATCGACCAGAACGTCGAAAATGGAACCGACTGGTTCATTGTGGGCGAGTATTGGAGAGCTGACGCCAAGGTCCTTTCTGCCTACATCGAGTATATGAGCCACCGGATGTCGCTCTTTGACGTGCCATTATTGACGAATTTCTACAACGTCTCAAAGGGTATTTGTACGGACGTAAGGCATGTGTTTCACGGTAGCTTGGCGGCAGTAAAGCCTAAAAATGCTGTGGTAAGTTGTATTTTTAAGAAAGGTTTGCCATGATTAACGGGTATTGACATCTGTCATAGACATTTGTTGTTAATCATGATACGGTGCGTCGATCTTTTGATCAGAAGAGCTAATGCTAACAACTTGAAGCAAGCTGGACAAAGCCTTGAGGTATTTCCCATATCAATCTCGCCCCTTTTGTTTGACGTCTCCTCTCTTGCCCCTCTTCCCTTGGCCCCTCTTCTAATGAGTACCTTTCCATGTTCACGTATACTGATTTTCGAAAGACGATAATTGAACCGTGGTTCCTCCCGATAGCCTACTCCATCATCCTATTGCGTGAGAACTTCGGGGTCCCCTGTGTCTTCTGGGCAGATCTTTATGGAACTCGGGAGCCAATGTTACCTCGGCCACCGCCTGGCAATGGCCGCATCATACATCGCCTTATTCGGGCTCGTAAACTATGGGCATACGGAACCGAGACGCTCTATTTCGAAGATTCTTCATCATGTGCTGGGTTTACACGGCATGGGCACCCATCACATTCTGCGGGCGCTGGCCTCGCTGTGATAATTAATATCGGATGGGCTTCCACCGCCAAGCAAATGTTTGTAGGAAAAGGCCACGCGGGGGAGAGATGGACCGATCTCCTTGAACAGACCTGGGGTGATGTCATGATTGATGCGGACGGCATGGGTAATTTTTGGGTTGGTCCGAGGACTGTCAGTGTATGGGTGCATATCGATGCGGAGGGTCAATGGGAGGGAGCTACATACACGTTGTAAGTTTACTCCATTTCCTTCAAAATTTCTCCAAGAATAGCAGGCCTTTCCGCTATTATCGGTATTAAAGGTATAAAAAGAAGGTTGCTAATGAAGACTCCTCCTCACGGTAGTGATGACCGAGGGTACAGTGCTGTTGAAGGCGCTATGGATAAGATCAAGCTGAGGGAACCACTTAACACGATGCCTGCGTGGTTACAGTCCACGACTGGGGTGTGACAGAACCAATTCTACATGGCCAGGCAGCTGCAATAAATTACACTGAGATATTGTAATCTCTTGCCCGAGTAGAGTTGAAATCACTGTAGCGAGAAGTCAGAGTGAATGAAGGTTACATGTATTTTCACCGGCGTAACCTCTTCTACAAATCACAACAACCCCCCGTTCCCCGTTTGAGGTTATCTCGTGGATAATATACGTATGAGGAGCAATTTTTTTTTATTTTTATTTTTTTTTGAGGTTTTTGCCGTATGCAAGGGATATCCCAAGATCAGGCCACACGTGACTAGATCCACACGAATTGTTTTTAACTAAGTTTCGGTCCGTACCCAACCTTCGACTCTATTTTTTTTACTTTTTCATTTACACAAGCCAAGGCAAGGCAACAGCTTCTCCAAAAACTCTAAGAGAGGAGGAGCAATTATAACGAAACACTGCGGCTTACCAATGCTGTGAGACTCACATAGCTACTAACACAGTCGGATTCATTTGGTTGTCATGCGAAAATTCACCTAAAATATAGAAGGAGGCTCGGTTGATCTTGAGCTGTTATAAGTCAGGAACGTTGCGAGAAGGTCAGACTTATAGTGAGACTCTACAAAAGAAGTGAAAAGCCCAGATTAATGTACATATTAATCATGTTTGATGGGTGAGCTGATGATTGTTGCCCCGGAGATGTATCTCCATGAGCGTTTGTTGACAACGCTGGAGGTGAGCAAAAGCTTGTTATTGCCGGACTCCAATCAGATAACAGAGCTCAACCTGCTATTTGGTTTATGGATCCAGGTAACTTTAGGACGCTTGATGTCGCCATATGCACGAACTATCAATCCACAAGGGAGATATGGTGCCATATCTCCGACACCAATAAAGATGATGATCGGTGCGGGGTACTGCGATAATTAACAGCAGCACTGGGACTTTCGGTTGCAGCTGATCCCAACCGATTGTCGGTCCTTTCTTTGGAGTTTGCCTCGTCTCTAAACATGCGCAAACATGAAGGTTCTCATTGTTCTTAACTTCGCCACTGATAAGCCCTGGGGTCAGTTGTCTGTAGAGTCATTCTCTGCTAACATCCGAAACCATGCGCCAGATGCCGAAATCGACGTCAGTCGCCTTGCGAGTGGTGAGGATCTGCCGGACTACTCTCAATACCATCTGATCGTTCTCAGTGGAGGCACATTTAACCTCATTTCCGACGTCCCATTGCCCTGGGTAGAACAGGCCTTGGCTTTGATTCGCCAAGTTGCCAAAGACAGCAACGGGACCAAATTATTGGGTCTATGCTGGGGTCACCAAGCTATCCAGTTTGCGCTCGGGGGAGAGTTGGACGTTTTGAACAAGTCAAATGTAAGTATAAGGCTCCCAGATAGAAGCAGACCATCGCTAGGACGGGGAGAAGGGTGATGCAACGTTCGTACTGAACTAACGGATCTGGCATAATATAGATAGGTGTCGAGACGATAAATCTCACCGCTGAAGGCCAAAAGTTCTTCGATGGACGGGATTCTTTGGTGAGTCAATTCCGCCCGTGGCATTTATCAAGGCCAAATGCTGACGTTACTTGACAACTAGAAAATCCATAAATACCACAAACGCGTAGTCTCTGAACCCGCACCAGGCTTCAAGCTACTTGCAAGCAACAATGAGATTCTGCTTAGCGAGAGCGGGAATATTATCACCTTCCAAGGGCATCCGGAGCTAACGTCAGAGATATCACAAAGTTTACTCGACTCAGATGACGGCAGCTATGTGGGAAATAGCACAATTTCAAGCATCACCACTCCCCACGATGGACTATATATTTGGGGCCGGCTGAAGAACTTTGTAACCCATACCTAGCTCTCGATCAGGCAATATCTAAATGCTATATTGGGTTTCTCTATTGGAATTACAAAGAGTAGCTTCGGGTTGGAGGTTGATGAAAGGTAGTAGTCAATTATGAGCAAGTTCAAGAATCTTGGCGCTGTTTCTATTATAAGCATATGGAATTTACCAAATAACATATGGAGAGGGTTAAGATAAAAAGATATGGATAGGTATACAAAACCTCTGAACTATACATAGGCATAAGAGATGGTTCTGTTCTCATGGTTCTATACATCGCGTATTAGGTGTATGTTGCGCACGATATAGTAACCATTTCATTCGGCTCGACTATTTAATAAGATTTTTGCATAGCGGGCTTCTTCTCTGGAAATTCTTCCGTGAGATGTTTCGGAATCCCCGTCGACAGAGACCCAGACATATCACTTATATATTCCTTGCGCCCAGCCTTATGTACTCGCCCATTCATTAGGATGACATTCAATCGGTCGTGATCCTGCAATATTGAGATGTCTTTTAGAGGATCCCCATCGACGAGAATACAATCTGCGTAGTAGCCCGGTCGAATCTTGCCGAGCTCATGGCCTCGCATCAAGAGGGCAGCAACACCGGCAGTGGCGGCGATGATGCTCTCGTGAGGTGAAAAGCCAAGCAACTTCACAAAGTGTTCAAGATCGCGCGCATATGTCCCGTGAGGCGTCCACGCAAAACCGTAATCCCTGGATCAAAAGTTAGCGATGCCGGATGCAGACTTGTTGGAATGACGCCTACTCACCCTCCAGGCAACACAACAATACCACGTCGATGCATCTCCCGCAATCCTGCAACAGCAACATCGAGTTCTCGTTTATATCCAGCCTTCTCAGCTGTATCGTAGGTGTAGCCAAAAGCCTCAGCCTCATAAGTCGTGGCATAAAGCCAATTGATAGCTGGTACGACAATGTACTTGTGTTTCTCTCGTTCAAGCATGTCCATGCCTGAAATCGTCAGTCGCAGCACATAAAACGGAAACGCAAAAGTTATGCACACCTTCGTCATCGATATAGGAGCCATGGTAAATAACATCCACCCCATGCTTCACGCACATCTTAACCGAGTCTCGCGCTCTTGCATGTGCACAGACTCTCTTACCGTACTTGTGAGCCTCATCCACACAAGCAATCATATCTTCGTCTGAAAAATAGCAGTCCTGTGCCGAGCGAATCTCTGTTATTTCCTCCCCTGAAATACTTATTTTGACGTTGTCCACGCCGATATTTAGAACATTGTGTTTGATCACTTCGCGCATCTCTGATAGACAAGTTAGCCGTGCTCCTTCAAGGAATCGTTAGTTCTCACCATCCGGGCCTTCGGCAAATCGAGTAATTCCTGCTACTAGCTCCCCCTCTGGCTTCGCAATCTCTCGAGCATTAGCTAAATATCTCGGACCAGGAATATCGCCAGCGTTGATGGCGTCTCGAGCCACCACATCAAGACGATCTTTGGCTGCAGCTGCCCCAAAGCACCTAGATATGTTAGAGTGTGGAAGAATTTGAGGTAGCAGGTTCATCACATACATGGTATATCCCGAATCGAGGAAGCATTGGGCACTCTTAATTGTCAAGAGTACGTGCTCCTCAACATCAAGTTCACCCAGCCGGTTGAGATCGCCTCCGTTCCATGTGAAATGGGTATGTCCATCTCCAAGGCCGGACATGAGGGTTCTCCCCCGGCCGTGGAAAACGCGAACTGACGGATCTCTCTCCAGGTCATCTTTGTTTGCTACTTCGCCAACGGCGACGATTTTCTCTCCTGATACCCAATTAGCACCGTATGTCTCAGATTAAGAAGTCTACGCACCTTCGATTAAAACGTCTCCTGCAAACGGTTCGCGCCCGGTAGAGTCAAGAATCCTCACATCGGTAAACAGTATCCTGGATTGTTGATGGGTCCCTTCTATATGGTATTCTTTCGGTTGAAGCTTCTTGTCAAGCTTAAGATTGTCGATAAACTCGACATTCTTGGGATACTTTTGAGAGAAAATAGGCTCCTGAGGCCATGAATCATGCGTACCCTGTGCCCAGGACATGTTGTCACCTTTGTCTCTTGTTTCAAGGAGTCAATTGCGATGAAGCTAGATGAATACCCCACGGGGAAACACTTGATTAATGTAGAGTGTTTGACTGGCTCAGCTGACGAACACGACCCCGCTCGCTAGCATGCCCTTCAAGATGTCTCCGACTATCTTAGCCCCTCCGCCATTATCCGTGGATGTCCGAACGCCGCTCATCACCGCGCAGTGCCGCTAGACTCGTTGAATCGGTTGTCCGCCATCTCCGGGCTGAACCCCGCAACGTTAACCCCATCTTACCACCTGTTTTCTACTGCTCTAGGTCTCCTCAATTCTCCAATTCGTGTCTGTCGAGATGGGTTGGATGAACCGTGGTTCTCGGCTGGGGAACCGTGAGAACAATCTCTTTACAACAGTCAACCACTGCAAGAAAGACTCCAACACCCCCCCGACTGTCAGCTTTGTTGAAGACTTAAGCGATCCGAAGTCATATAAAAAAGCGTCCACAAACACCAAGAATGAGGATCTACCATACATCGAGCCATCGGTCATCATAGCTGCAGGCGATGCAGGCCTCCTATGGCTGGTCATTGATAACATTGTCTATGACTGTACCGAATTTGTTCATGACCACCCAGGAGGCTCTCGGGTTCTCGAGTCATTTCGAAGCAGCAACTGCAGCTGGCAGTTTTGGAGGTTCCACGGAATGAAGGATATGATTGAATTCGGATTGCCCCTGAGGGTAGGGTGCACAAGTGGTATACAGAACAAATTCAAGGAGCCGCCTCGGTTCGTCGGTTTGAGGAAGCTATGGGGGTCTTCATAATTGAGAGAGAGGAAACTAGCTCCGCAGGTAGAAGTCAACGCAAATGATTTTAACTTTGTACTCGAACTCTCATCCATAGATTGTGGTCAGGTTTACAGGATGGTGTTTTACTTGCCCCCCCCACTATCTACGAATGATGTTGTAATTATGACCAGATCTCGCCTACAGTTCATCAACATGTTCAGGCCAACAGCTTCATGCATTCAAAAAGTCAAAGTATCTATGATCTATTTATCTCCTTGCAAGCCGCCGGGCTACCTTTCTATACACAATATCTCCTTTAGAAGCTATCAACTGGTTGCATATAACAACTACAGAAAGGCTTTCACCGCCGCTGCGACACCGGCAACATTCTCAAATACATGCCAATGACCAACATCTTTCAAAACGACAATCGTAGATCCGTGGATCCTAGACGTATATGCTTCGCACAGTGATGGAGGTGATACCTTATCCTCATCACCAGTCACAATCAAGGTCTTAGCCTTTATTGCCTCGACGTCAAGCTTTTGAGTGGCATTTGCGAGGGCCCAGACAGCCTTGGCGTATGACTCTGGATCCTGACTTAGAAGACTAATTCTCACGGCGGCGATTGCGAGGGGGTTCGCCTTCTTGGTGTTACTTGAAGTTCCGGCATCGACGATCGTGTCGACAACAGCGTTCATGCCCTTGCTTCTGACCAGGGAAGCGCGGGCATACGATCCCTTTGATGCAGCTTCGGGCAATGGGGAGGGAGGAGGTCCAACCAGGACAAGTTTCTCGACTAGCCCTGGGTTATCAAGTGTGAACTTGAGAGCCGCAAGGCATCCCATAGAATGGGCCACAAGTGTTGCTGGCGCAGATGCGGAGGCTCCAGCTGTCTCAAAAATTGACTTGATATCGGCGGCAAAGGATTCAATGCTCAGTTGGCTTAAAGGATGAGTTGGGCTAGCCCCGTGACCCTCGAGATCAAATAGATGAAGGGTATTTGTCTCGGCCAAGGAAAGTGTCGAGATGAGCGGTGTCCAGTAATCCAAGGTGCCGCCGAGGCCGTGTACGAACACGATGTGGTTCGCACCTGATCCCAGCCGCTGATAATTCAGATTTTTGCCGTTCACTTGGGTCAAGCCCACGCCGGCATTGAGTGACTTGGCGCCATTTGTGAGGCGGAAGGGTGAATCCGAATCAACTCGCTTGATAGTCGGGTTGACGGCATGGGCGGGAGCAATTTGATTGTTGAGTGTCCCCAGTCCGGTAATGGAGACGCTCATCTGGTCTCCTGATTTGAGAAATACGGGTGGTTTTCTGCCAATGCCGACACCAGCAGGCTAAGAACCATGGTCAGCTATGATGGAATATTCTGTAGTAATTTGGTATCTTACCGTTCCGGTGGCGATCACATCGCCTGGCTGCAAGGTTTGGCCCTCAGAAATAGTCTTGATCAGATTCGGGATCGAAAAGATAAGATCTTCCGAAGTAGCGCTCTGTCTGAGCTCGCCGTTAATGTGTGTCTCAACCTTTAAGGTAGCAGGAAGATCCTCCTTGGGAACAGCGATTGGCCCCTGAATATTATTAGCTCGGATTCCCGGGTACAGGATTAGGTAACTTACCATGGGGCAGAAAGTATCTGGAGACTTGCCAATAAAGAACTGCTTATGGTCGCGCTGGCGCTCTCGTGCAGTCAAGTCGTTGATAATAGTATATCCCCATACATATTGCATTGCATCGGCTTCTTCAACACGGAAGCCAGACTTGCCAATAATGACACCGATCTCCCCCTCGTAGTCGACCGTCTGGGAGAACTCGGGATGTAGCAGGACTTCGCTCCCATCTGCAACGATAGAGGTAGCCCGCTTGGTGAAGATTACCGGGTGACTCGGCCGATCCGTTTTATCAGAGCTGTCATAGCCAGAGCTGTTGAACTCCTTTGCATGTTCCATATAATTCTTGCCTACAGCCAGGATGTCACGACCTGAAATTGGAGGCAATAATCTAACACGCTTGGCTGGGAGAACCTCGCCATTGGGGATTATTTTGGATGGCCCTGCGGCGATAACCTCATACAGGTTTGTCACGGGAGTTCCAGAAACAAAGCTCAACGGCTGGATAGTCTGCTGGGAAAGGTCATAGTGGCCAATCCGGGCAAGCCCGGTGTCGGGCTCGACGAAGGCGGCGTACTGCGTAAGAGAACTGTGAGAGCCCATTTTGGTTTGCTTGGTCGGTTGCTTGGCCAGTTCCGGACTTGGCTGGGTAAAGCACGGTTGAAATAAACAAAAGTCATTCGCTGGTGGTACGAGGAGGAAATCTAATGGCCGCGCGATTATCCACGGACATGGCGGCGGTCACGGAGAGCGGCGAAGGCGGAGATAGCGGGGCCTTCTCCTTTTCCACGTAGCGTCGCCGATGGCGGCGATATTCCAAAGGCTGGTTGCCAAGAACATCTTATCGGCTAACCAGAGCTCCGGGACATGATCAGGGAGGCAAGGAAGGCTATTGTAATTAACCGGGAGAGCTGGGAGAGGGTACTGAGAGCTATCCAGTTAGTACGTTGCCAGAGAACTATTAATATTGATTGATCGTCGAGTATCTGTATCAACAATCAGAGCCGTCGAACCATATCAGAATCTTATCATCAATCTTCATATCACCCACAGTGAATCCACAATGCCGCAGGACGATACCAAGATCCATCCAACTCTCACGGCGGGCGGCCATGTGGAAGACCGCAGCCAGCCATCCCTGCCTGTCGTCCATAGACGCTTCGCCAACCCGTCGCCACTGGGTCTTCTTTCATTTGCTACAGGTAGGCGATCAGACAGCTATGTAGGATAATCTCTAACAATCCCAGGCATCTTTCTTATTTCGAGCTTCGGTGTCCATGCTCGTGGAATCCAAACGCCTAATGTCATGATAGCAGTGTTGATCTTCTTTGGAGGAATATGCCAATACATTGTGGGCATCATGGAATTCATCTCTGGCAACACATTTGGCACTGCAGTCTTCATGTCATACGGTGCTTTCAACATTTCATATAGCATGATCTATCTTCCTGGCTCTGGCATCATCGCTGCCTACACCGATTCGGCCGGCAACCTGAGTCCGGACTTCCAGCAGTCCATCGCTCTGTACCTGTGGGCATGGTTTATCCTGACCGTCATCTACACCGTCGCGGCTATTAGAAGCTCTTGGATTCTGTTCCTGGATCTTCTGGCACTCGATGTCTGCCTAATCCTACTCGCAACTGGAAATATGATTGGAAACACTGCGGTTCTCAACGCCGGTTATGCCTTCGGATACTTGGTAGCTATCCTTAGTTGTAAGTCACGGTTGTTTTTCAATAATTGATAAGCTATCGACTAACTTCAGATAGATTGGTCAGGATGTGCAGGATTATTTGCCGGTGGCATTACCCCCTGGGAAGTCCCAACGTTCCCGATGTATAAGGAAGCCTAAGCAATGGGAGAAGCTGCCACGAGCTCGTGTATGTCAAAGTGGCAAGGGCTAATTGTACAATATTTCCTATAAACGCACTGGAGCAACACATTATATACTAGGTATTTACAAGAGAGTTTGTTCCAAGAAAAGACTCCCAATCGTCCCAATCCATTGTCGAGGGCGAAAGCCATTGTTGTGGCCCTAAGCTCTCCAAAGAATCTCCCATGGCTCTTTGCGAGTTTCCATCAAAGCCCAAGTCCTGGCCACGTTGAATCTCCGTCACTGTAAATTTATCTACATTGCCGGCGGGCGTGCCCATGATATTTCTGTTCCACGTTAGATGTTAGCCTAGAAACGTCGACAACGCTGGGAGACTTACAGCAGCTTTTTCAGTATCGGTATTGCCTTCCGGCATATAGGACTCATTCCACTCTTTGCGACCTGCTCGAATATCTCCAAACAATCCTGAACATCGCAATACAAGGGGCACGCTGCTGCTGCATCCAAATCGAAGCTGATGTAGATGTGTGCTAGGCAAACAGCCGCATGGAAAGCATGAAAGCTCCCTAAACCCCGATTATACCATCGGTAGGGTTTGAAGGCTTGGTCTTCATGAAGTGTGCGATGTATTCCAAGTAGTGCCTTTGAGCTTTCGATGCACTGGCCACGTGAGGACAATACATTTTGCTCTGAATACCGACCTTGAGCCCGCGCTTGTAGGATTGGTCGATGTAACAGGAGAACCAGTTGGTGTGAGTATCCAAAAAGGATGTTCAGGTGTGCCGCGTGATACATCGGCTGAGTCGAGCTAAACAGGTACTTGCAGTTGAGCATCTCTTGGAACGCCGAAATCTCTGAGTTGAGGTCTAAGATCTGATTGTAGGATGGCGGATGGGGCGATCCAAAAGTCTCACTACAGATACGATTGCACAGCCGATAGAGATCGAATTTCAGTAGCAGGTATGACATTTGTGTCGGCCCACCTCGAGATGCATGAATCTCAATCCCGGCGACGAGCTCGTCGTCATTGACGTCGAGTGGGGGGTTCGCGCTTGAAGGTGTTGGTGTCGAGTCTAGATTTCCAAGGGTAGTGTTCTGGATTGTGTAGAGCATGTTCAGACCAGCCCAGCACCTGCGTCGCTCTTCCACCCGAATCCGATCCATCTGGAAGACCGTAGGGTCAACATGACAACCGAGGGCTAGTGCAATGTTGCGAGCTGTTCCCAGCAAGGCCCACGACTGCCCATGTGTGTGGTTGATGCCGTATACTAACAGAACCAGTGCCTGTAGAGTATGAAGATTATGTCTCCACAGGTAATGATCAGCATCAAGACACCTCATGGCTGCGGATCGATATCGATTATTGAGCTGAGACGTGTTCTCAAGCGGCGAGTTTCGATGGCCGAGTTGATGGAGTAGAGGACTGTCCTCCGGGAGTGCGGTGACAGCTATGCTCATAATGACGAAAAGTAGAGCCAGCCATGAAAGCGATACTTTCTCGGGATCGGATTGGAAAAGCCGGTAGTCAGTTTCGAACGTAGGATCGTGCAAGATGTGGAGGAGCTACTAAAATCAGTCGTGGAACGCAGGTGCGGAGATGGCCATACTTACAGGCGCAAATACCGCAAAGAAGGTACTCTTTAATTCATCGCAATATGAAGTTGGTGGCAACAGCCCAAGGAGTTCCGTTATATCTGTGCGAGATGGTGAAAATGGGAAAGGCCCGCCGTCACCTCCCTCAATGTTTGTTTTGATTCCACCCATCTTAGGGTTGTCTTGTAGATTCGACGACCATCGGGATGATGAAGGTTCAAACCGTTCGTGTCCCGATTCGAATCGGACAATGACACCGGCTGGGGGGACTCTCGAGGACAGCAGGTTCCCGACTGTCCAAGTATCATTGCGGCCAGAGAGAGAACCGCTTGAGTGAGGCAATGTCGACTCTGGTGAAGGCAGGTTGGAATCAGGTTCCAGTGGAGGCTGTCGGGCAGTGGAGGAGACACTCTGACGCAGCATTTCTTCCAGTCTATCGATCCTTGCTACCAATTGGGCATTCTCTGAGCTTGGAAACCCGGCTGGAGCCCTCCTTCGGGACCATTGATCCCTGAGATACACACACTCGGATGACGGGATCCCTCTGCGGACGCATGTCTCGCAGGGGTCCTTTCCACGATTGTCATTCCGAGGGCATTTGATTTTCCGCTCCCGGCAAGGCTCACAACTGAGCGGCATTCGACGACCGCTGGAGACTGGCATGATGTGAAAAGTGCTTGGGGCTAACACTGGACCTTCTCGAGCAAAAACATGGAGAAAATGCCCTCTTCACGGGTTGCTGAATCGAAATCTCTGTGGAGCCCCGACATCTCCGCATTCCCCGCGCTGGTCCATCACAGCCACCACCTCGGGCTAGCGTTGATTTATCATCTCCGAGGTCATATGACATCGGAGATTTCTCGTCAAAGATGATTGTTGCCCATGGGGTTGTCGGGGCACCTCGGTGTAGTACGATATGGGTGGGGGCAGACAACCCGGGCCCGGAGTTACACCTACACATGGTGAAGATGAAATAACAGTTAGTTTCAGTTTGCGACATTTGCCACATTAGAAACACCCCTCTACTTTCGGTGTACCAGCACAACGTGCTAGGCCAGATTAAAAGGCGAATACTACGAGCCGTAAGAGGCTATGTGACTATGCCACGAACCTTACTAATGGGCGAGTTGTTTCTGATACTCTACCAACGCACGCTCACTCACACCACAGACACCACTACTCAAAAAAATCCTCTTGGCGATTCGCAGCACCCTTGTTCCTATAAACGTGGCTTCTTTCTTGAGATTGAGGTCTGGTATCTCGATCTGGACCTGGCAGTGTTGAACAGCGTCCGGAAATGTGCCGTTAGCCTGGTTGCTAATCGAAGCGGATTAATGCTCTTTTGCTCAATGTAACAGTCATCGGAGCGCCGGCAGAGAAAACTCCCGAAATGTATGAGCTTTACTTCGGGGTGGGCTGCCCCAGTCATGCTCTTTTACCGAAGCTGCTGATCTCTGTCCTGACATGCACCACAAATAAACAGCCGAATGCTGACGTACGTATCGTGATTGTCTCTAGCGAGCGGTAGATGTCAACACCTAGCGGTGGCGTCGACGATGATCTAACCAAGACTAACTGTGCCAACGTGAGATAAGTTGTCATTCCATGTCAACCACCTGCGTTTGCTGTTTAGAACATAAATTTTACGGATGAATGGTTTAGACATTTATTCATCTTATCAACGAAGTGGGTGTTTCGGATGAGCTTTTGTTAAACGTGTACGTCCCATGAGCCAATGCCCCCTCCCCCGGCTTTGTGCCCACGATGTCTGACGAGAAACTCATTAGTTTTCTGCGAGAGTTCACAGTTCCCCAACCCAGGCCACCGAACAGATTAATGAAGATGCTAAAACAGGAGGGCATTGATGAACCAATGGCCGTCCCCGTTCCCTGAATGCCCCTTGGTGCCTCTAACCGCGCGGGCGTTCCGTTAGCGGATAGTCTACTCCTCAAGCAAAGGAAAACGGTCAGTTCGGTCCGTTGGCTTTAACAGCTCATCGCGAACCTATGGACAGCCCTATTGCGGACCCTGGATCTGAGTGCCGGCATTTGCCTTCCGGCCCGGACAGCCCGATCCACCCCTAAAAGCTCGGTCCATGGAATGGCAAATTCAATCTCTCCCTTGCTAATTTGCCATCGCCTTCTCCGGCTGGTTCTGGTTGGTTCACGTCCGATCGATCCAAGTCTGTGCTGATCAGAATGTCCCACCATTGCCAGCAACACCAAGCCTACGAGACGAGACCACATACACTTCACTCATCCAAAGTCGAGACGTTCGAGACCGTCTGTCCCGAACCCAAAGTTGTTCCTTCTACTAGGGTAATGACTTATATCGCATTGCCAAGTAATAATTCACCACTGTTCATGCGTGAGTGCATGTGCGTGAATTGGTACAGTGCGCACAGCAGCTCAACAACATACCGATGCTATAGGGCTGGAGGAAGTCTCAGGCAGCGATGGCGATGTTCTGTCGGTCAGCGATTGCTCCAGGTGGTTCGAGTGTCAGATTTTAGTGCAGGATGTGGATGTGGATGAGAGGCGTAGGGGCGTTGACAGGCGAAAGTCTGCATGATACGAGATTAAAATGAGGCCCCTCTTGTAGCCTAGTCCTCCATGTTCTCGGTTCCAACGGTTTACGGAAGGTGAAGCAGGCAGAGGGTAGGTGGTAGGCTTTACCGCTTATTGGAACCCAGACAGCGCTGTTTCAAGCACTACACCAAGAAACAAGAGCCGGGTTCAGCGGCACGGTTAAGATTGGACTCTCATACTGTGCGGTCGAGGCTGTTCGAATACAGCCTGTCTTCTTGCAAACGGAAAGCGATATATAGCAAGTTGTGTTTCCCACTAAATCGACCACAGTGTATCCTTACTCCCATCTACACTCCCGACCTCAATTACCACTCCAAACTCACAGAACACTTCAGACAAAATGCTTACCCGCACTGCCCTCATCTCCCTCCTCCCGGCTGTTGTCCGAGCCCTCGCCGAGGTCACCGCCACACCTCTCGGCAGCGGCTGCGAGGTCTACCCAGGCTACGATGCCTCTACGGGAGTTGCAGGCCCCTGGACCGTCCAGCTCTCCGGGGCTGAGAACACGGCCATTGATGGTTTTAGCGACACAGAGCGGTACTCGATCGCCATCAACAACGGCAAGCCGACGATCCGGTGGGGCTCGGTGGGTTTTCCCTCTATTCGCTTGTTTTATTCTCCGTCGATCCCGGACAGAAGATAGATGAGTTGGTTGCTGACTCTTGAACTAGATCACTATCCCCACCCGCAACGATATTGCCAAGAACCCCCTCAAGTGCGCCAACAACACTCTCCTCGGCTTGGTACCTACTGATCTGACCGCCGCCGGAGCACCCACCTCTTACGCCTGGACACCGCTCGTCCTCAGCCCTTACCCCTACGACGCCGCCTTGATGTGGGGTATCGAGGGCAAGGCCCCCCAGGTCTACTCCCACAAGGACGCCACTACCGGCGAGGAGATTGCCGGTACCTTCTTGGGTAACGCCGACGGTGTGACCGCTTGGGGCGTCAAGCACCAAGATGCAGACCAGGGCTCTCATGGCCGAGACTATTACTACCTTCGTCTGCTAGGACCTGGCAGTGAGAACCCCAGCACCGGTGCGCCTCTGGGCGATGGCGAGACCCAGACCTACCTCAAGATCTCGGCATAAATGGGTAAAAAGTTGGCGAGAGCTGAGAGGCAATTGTTGCAGGGGGATGGGTCATCACTACCGAAGCTTACTCGCTCAGGAACTTGTACTCATTCGTTCTCTTTCATTGTTAGGAACTTATGCAGCTGTTAAAATTAAAATGGTTAGATTATGAATACAATCTTCAGCAGGATGAATTGAGTCGGCCTTGCGGAACCAGTTCTGATACCTAGGTAATACGTGACAATGCCTGAATCATGGAAGGTATGCTAACAACTAGACCGAGGCATCATATGTGGCGATGGCCAGATTATTCAAGGCATCCGGGTGTTAAGCGAGGCACAGCATCAGCCTTGTGGTCTGCCTGGCGACCTGTCACACCGCCAGATCTTGATGCAACTCCTAAGCCGAACGCTACCCATTCTTCCCAACAGGCGTGAGTTGTTACTCAACCAAATCAACCAACAGAGCTGGGGCATGCGACCAAGAATACTACAATAGGAAAGTTATAGCGACACCATTTGGTTTTCTGAACGTGCCTTATTCTATACGCTAGAAGGATTCCGCTTCTCCCACCAGTGTCAGAAACCCGCATCTCTTGCTAGAACAAACATATACTTAGATTACATTTCTGTTTAGGTAAGGGCGTTCTTATCTACGTCTAGAAATCCAGGACCGGAGCAAGGTTTAACCGATCATCATAGACGAAGTAGAGTCGCTCCGCTAGCGATAGGGTTGACGAATAGAAACACTCGATGAACGCTGATGTTCACCATGAAGCCACGAAGCACTAGCCATCTTAGGATGCTGTCACTCTCCAGCGGTGGTAGTTATCTACAGTACCTGGGATTTCGGCGATGAGTCGCATAGGGCTTGAAGTGTTAGTGAAATGCGGTTGGATTCTCGACTCATTTTTGTCCTTTGTCTCAATATGGGGTAGAACCTTCGCATCTGTATTAATGAAGTTTGCAACAGCCTGGACAATGAACAGTTCACGTATTGGGATAATCAGAAGACAAGCGACGCAAATTATTCCATTTTCGTATCACGTCTTTTCTAGGAGGTATAAAACTACGATGTGTTGATTGGCCAGAGAGCCGGCGTAGTTTGAGGGGAACAAAAGAAAGTAAAACAAGCGACAAGAAGGCCATTCCACAACGGATGTATAGCCGGCCAATCCGTTCTCACCGGAAGTAACCTTGCTGCCTTGGTTGAGTCCCTTAAATCCGGCTGCAGTCGATACTTTAGAGGATTTTAACGCAGTTAAGTGCATTAATATTGATCAAAGCACCCTGGAATTAAAAGATTAATGAAATCTCTTGTGGAATATGTTAGAAATATGTGATAGCTTACCGAAGCCCCTCCAGCGCTGCAGCAATAGGTACCGCCATTGCAATTGCCTCCGAGGATGTCAATGAGGCACGACACGCCAACGACACTTGCGCAGCAGACCTGATGCTGATTGCTGTCGCAAGTAGGAGTATTGCCACCGCCGCCACCGGTGCGTGCCTCAATTTCGACAGGAGTGGCAGCAGCAGTGGCGGCCAGGGCGATGAAGGAGAGAGCAGTGGTGAACTTCATGTTGGGTGTAGAAAGAAGTTGTGAAAGTGTAGTACGGGCTAGTAACAGTTCGTTGTAAGAGTGGGAGCGAAGATGAAAAGCTATCCTGATATAAGAAGTTTGGGAACAAAGATGAGATGGTATCCTAAGAAGAGAAGCCTCCGGGGACCAGAAGGACTTTATATACACATTTAGAACTATATACATCCTTTCTCTCCGCCTCTTATGATAATAAAGATAGCGTCTAAGCCAAAGTCATTTACGTAAAGCACAAATCTATGATCCTATCAAGCACTCTAGATGGCCGGCTGGTATCATCAATCTCGATGGATAACACCCTTGCTGAAGCCACATGACAGTTTTTCAGCTAGCCACGATTTCAATAGGCGGTTGTCAAATGAGGTGGATCTATGCCTTGACGATGAAGCCATATGGACGTGCGGATATCTGAGTACTCACTACATTAGCATAATTTCAATACCATATTCTGCAGCTCCTTGCATTATATCACACCCTAGTCGAGTTAGTCGGCGCCTCGCGGACTCGATGGTCCGTTACCTGCAATGCAGAGATATAGTCTAACCTCAACTAGTACTCACCTTGAACTTGTTGACCAACAATAAAACCTGCCTCATAGAATGCCAGATTGGAGGTCATGGCGGCTAAAACTTAGTCCAGGCTCTCTCTAGGAGTAAATAAACCTACGGTAATCGTAGATAGGCTGATGGGCTGACCATAGCATCCATATTAAACCAATAAACTGAAACCTATGCTAACATATACATATTAGTTGTGTGTATTTGGCTTAAGTTGTGTGCTTTATCGATCGATGGTCTTAGACCGTTTACTGTATGATAGCTTTGGGCACCACGGAGTACTCCGGCCGTTCAGCTTTTTGAATCTACCTTCGCGGGATGTGGTGCTTCCGAGCCACTAGACATGCAGGTGGCAGCCATCAATATAACACGGAGCTCTTCCGGGAAATTATAATTGGCCATAAGGCTCAGCCACTAGCAGCCCAAAGCGCCCGTCAGCCGCCACATAATCACCCCGCATCATACGAGACACCCTCTTTCCTCGTTGGTAGAGCTGAGGTCGTACGGTTTATGTGTCATGCTGCATATCTGAGACAGCCGCACTAGACTTACCGATCATCGTATCCAATCGCGTTCCCGGTCCCTACTATCTATGACGAAGTGGCTTCTATGAATTGCCTTAGCAGCCAGCCCTCGAATTAACCGAGCCACGGGCGGTATCATGCCTTAGTCGCCTTTACGCGCAAGTTCTTAGCGGGTTTCAGAGCTCTTTATCGGCCTAAACTCGACAAGTTAAGAGTCTTAATAGTCAATGTTTGTAAATACCCATTACTATCAATATCGACTTTAGGGAGCAATACGTGGGCTGTGACAGGATTTATTAGTAGAGCTGGGGCTTTACCACCGTGCGCGCATCAAATCCAGGCGGGATTGCAGGTGGCAACACAGACGCTCGCCGTGGTGGGCTAGTGAATGTAGGTTCAGTTTCCAATTCCTTGACTAAATTATGTTACGGTGTGACACAAACGAAGTAGCTGCAGGAAACGGTCATACGTACCGTCAACAAGCTTGCTGGCAAGGAAGGGATCCTTGCTACAATTCTCAATATTGGGTTGTCTCCTATGATATATCACCATATTTGTCTGCCGCCTGCCCTAGCTCCTCTGTTTTGTCTCCACAGCTGGTACCACGTCAGTTATGTCTAATGCTTCATGCGTCCCATTTGCTAAGCCCAAGTTGAGCTTGAGAACTGATGGCATACTGGCGTTGCGTTGAACTATCGAGGACACGCATGCTGTAGTGCTTACTCTCCTCTTTCCCTCCTCGCTTCGACGGCATCGTAAATCTGTTTACCCAATATTTTGGAATAGGTTATGTAATCGCATCCCATCAGGGAAATTTGTGACAAAATGCAATAGCCTCATGCCACCGGGCGAAACCACAACTTGAGCGCTATCGTTAGTATCCAGTTCTGCTTGGAACAAAAGCTTCGCGAGGTATGCCGTCCGCTTTGGGTAAACCCTAGGATGAGGATGCACGATGCGCCATCGGGAATGACTGTCGCAGTTAGGAGCGGCAATCTCATCTTCGCCAAAGCTTTCTCTTGTCCATTTTCCGACATCTGTATTGATCATACCACTGAGAATACTAGGCTTGGGCATGTATTCCATAGGTTTGAAATATTAGCGAATATCTAAACCTTATCCTCGTCCTGGGGAATGAAACTGTGAAATAGATAGTCGTGAAGGATGTCAGGATGGGCTCGGTGGGAATTTGGCTGGTCGGAAGCGGGCCATAGTGTGATACTGTTGTGCATAGTATCCGGTTGATTCAACTGTGTTAGAAGGAATTTTGTGAGTAAGACGTGCACTGACAGTGCTAACCCTAAGAGTTCACTCCTATGATTTTGATGGGTGAGCTCGTGGAATACTCTAGATGCGCATAAATTGATATTGACGGCTGAGTTTGTAGATTGAACTTTCGAGGGTCCCTAAGAAACCTGACGGGTGAGACTAATGGTTATAACTTATTGTCCATAAAGCTAAATACGTCTTTCTCTTATAATATTCGTAACAGGGAAACAAACCTAGTAGGTTACATCAAACGAGAAAGCTAGCACTAAGGTGTAAATGCTGAGTTTATGTTATTGTTCCATATAACTAAAACAATGGCTGAGAGCGGGATTGTAACTGAGACAATCAAGTTGAATTGTTACTGTCATTGGATGGTTGACAAGACGGTAAGATCCGTCGCTATGTCTTGGCCAAAATGCATCCAAGCCGCTCTATTCTGCTAGTCGCCCAGAGGTAAGCTGACATGCTGACAGAACAGCAACTGCTGATTGGGTATTGGTTTACGCAGAGGGGTCTCAGAGCACCGCTAAGAGCCAATGGGGAAACTCGGAAGAGCACAGATGTTGAATTGATAACAAATTCTTGGCCCGCTAGACGTGATGCGGTTGGCGTGTACTGATGTTTCAAGGTTCGCGGTACTTTCAAGGTTCGCCCTCTACTCTATAATTTCAATGCTGACACCAGCAACTCAACTCGTTGCGCGGATATTTTTGTGTTGCAGGTGGCTAAATCGTCGTTGAAAAACATCAAAGTTCGGGCCACATACACAGCCTTACAGAGGGCTCATAGTCGGTTCATGACACCGCCAGAATGGACGCTACAATCCTACGCACCTTCGCCATTGGCGCCTCGGCAGTCGCCGTCATTGTCATCTGGCGAAAGCTCTACCCAAAGCCGTACCCAGGCATCCCCTATGTTGAGGCTTCAGCACAACGCATAAGCGGAGACATACCGCATTTGATGGAGGAGATGAAACTAACGGACGAGGCGACCAACTCAATGTTCGCCATCTCCACCCAGAAACTCGGCACCCCCATCGCCCAGGTTTTGTTTCCAGGGTTTGCGAGGCCACTGATCACGGTTGATGATCCCATTTAGGTTGAGGATATCGTCGTGCGCCGGCAGAAGGAGTTCGACAAGTCGCCCATGGCCGTGCAAATTTTCGAGCCCATGTTCCCCCATGGATCTCTGAGCCAGTTTACCACACCCAAATTAAAAGAGCAAAAGCGCCTGTGGGCCGACGTGATGAAGGTTGACTTCCTCCGTAAGGCTGCCGGACCGAAAATCTACACCGCCATGCTGGAACTACTTGAATTATGGCAGATCAAGGCATCCTCCATCTACGAGGACAAGCCGTTCAGTGTCATTGACGACTTCAAAAATGCCACATTGGATGTCATCTGGGCCTCTCTAGTCGGGAATGAGTCGGGGATCATGAGATTTGAGATCGAGAAATTGAAGGAGCAAATCGCCAGTGGTAAAGGCAAGGACGGGATCAAGATGAAAGCTCCGCCTAGCGCTGCTATCAAAGACGAGGTGGCTTACGTTGAGCATGCCATTGCAAAGAACGCGAGAACACCCATGCCTACGTGGGCTCAGAAGTTAGAAACGTACACTCCACGCTACCGGAAGTTCCGGACCACGATCAGTTCCAAGATTAGCCAAGCGATGAAGGATTCCGTACATCGATATGAGCGTCTGCAGGCGGGGGCGCTCGAGGATGATGCCTTTGATACCTGCATGATGGATCTTGTCCTTCGCCGTCAAATTCTTGAGGCAAAGAGAAAGGGAGAAGCACCAACAGACCCGACGAAAGATCAATACATGCTAGACGAGATGTTCATCATGCTAGTTGGGGTACGTCAAAGTCCATTTGGTTTCTCATGGTTATACAGCATGAAAACGACCACACCTGTATTCGGCCTGTATTCGCTGACGCTCACTTGATTGATTTAGGGGCACGATTCTACAGCCAATGCGCTCGCCTGGTTTCTTAGATTCATGGAACTCTACCCAAGTATCCAGAAAGATCTACGCACAGAACTTGAAGCTGCTTTGCCGCTGTCTAAAACCCCGTCCTTAGATCAGATCCTTGATGCCAATATCCCGTATCTCGATGCCGTTTGTGAGGAAAGCTTGCGCTTGGCCGGCACTTCTAAAGGCAATCTTAGACAGGCCGTCACAGACACGGAGATCTTAGGCTGTAGAATACCCAAGGGGGCAGAGGTCCTCCTAAATCTTCATATAAATCACCCACTTCTACCAGTCGATGACCTAAAGCGCAGCACGAGCAGCAAAGCAGCCATCGATAAACATGGATATCGCTTGTCAGACACTACCACTTCAAGTCTCAGTCTATTTGACCCTACACGGTGGCTTACTAGAGACCAAACAACAGATAGCGACGTGTTCAACCCTTATGCAGTACCGTCGCTAGCGTTTGGGGGTGGCTTACGGGGATGTTTCGGTAAGAAACACCACCAATCTATTCACCTATTCCTCTCTTTTCTATAAATACCTTGTTACTGACTAAATGTGGCGGCGACAGGACGCAAGCTAGCAACTATGGAATTTCGTATCGCAGTTGTGCTACTGATACTCAACATTGAGTTCCTCGAATTGCCCCAGGAGCTAAAATCCATGCTAGCTTCTGAGGCAATATTCCGCCAGCCTCAGAAGCCCTTCGCTAGGGTCAGAGTTTTGTAGCAGCCGCTGTCAAACTACATTGTAGATATCGCGGCGGTATATAGACTTGATAGAAAGGCAAATAGGGACTGTCTTCTTCCAACGTAAATTTAGTTCTTTCCTTGATTATACAGCTGCTTTTATCTTTGTGACGCTTCTCCAATTGAAGCGAAGTTCATAGAGGACTTGAATTTGCAATGTGTAAAGAGGGTCTATGGAAAAGCTCTGAATCATTGGATGGAAGAAGGGTATCACGTGAGTCGTCTCGTGATCTGGGCTCCATTGAGTCACAACGTTCTCCCCTTTTTCACCCGGAAACCTAATTCTGTGTCAGGCATTGAGGTCAGTGGCTCGCTTTCAAAATTGCCCACACATTTACAAGTTAAGGAAAACAACTTCGATAGGCTTGTTTTTTTTTTTTTTTGAATTTACGCTCATTCATAGGGAAAACTGTTATTTCCTAGATTTATGTAACATTGATTCAATCCGATGTTCGACATATTCAGGTTAACGTCTATAGGGTAGGTTCAATTTACCCAGTGATTATTACATAAGGTAAGCTAGTGCCTTTCCATCATCTACCTTAGGTAAGCATCCCTCGGGGTTTGTATTTTTCCGTTCCGTCAGCTGCACCGAGTCCAATGAACGACGATGACTGTATCAAACCACCATGCGCATGGGCCAGTGCCGTTGGTGACAAGCAATAATCGCAAAAGCCGATTCCGGAACTCGCAATCCATACGAGTTCTCGGCTTACCACGAAAGCCCGTCGCCTTGTCGTATGACGTCCGGATCGATGGTCCGGCTGCATCGGACCTCCCCCGGCGGCTCCACTGAGGGAGATTATTGGCACACAACCAACCGGGCCAGTCACCGTGATATCCTCAACGCTTGGAGAGCCGGCTACGTGCTTCCTCGATTGCAGTCTTCATCGAACAAGGAGCGGGGCCGCCCCTTGTGCCGGTACCAATCTCTCGCGTGCTGGACATGAGAGTCAGTGGAGGCGGGGTAGACGTCAACGCCGATGTCAGAGAAAGACACCGAGAACCCACTGGCCCCTCCGATGGTTGGGTACCGAAAATGATGAGGTGTTATTGGGGTAAATATTAAGGCCTATACGTGACAACCATCCTAGGGTGCGATCGATACCCCATCAGAATAACCACACCTCGGTGCAGCTCCAGGCATTTTTTTGCTTTCTCAACATGGACACTTTGATCTCTTCAGAGCTCCCTGAGGGTAGTTGGGACTCGCACATCCACATAATTGATACGGATCGCTTTGAATCTCTGAACGGCCTAGCAGGGCCTCCAATCGCCGGCTCTGTCTGGGAGAACGCCATTTTTGAGAACTCGATCGGGGTCCAGAAAGTGACGATTGTCCAGCCGACAAGATATGGGAACGATAACACTGCGGCTCTCCAGGCTCTGGCTGCATATGGACCCCGCAGAGCACGGGCGATAGTACAATTTGATCCCGAGACAGTCACCGACGCTGAGCTGAAGCTGTGGGATGACCTTGGTGTCAGGGGCGTGCGGATCAACTTTGGCAACTCGAAGAACCCTTTGGCTGGGACCCGGCCTGAAGACATGCCCAAGTTGGTCCAAAAGTATGCAGAATTAGTGAAACCTTTTGGTTGGGTACTGCAATTTTTCGTCAGGATGGAGGACATTGTCATGCTGGAGAGCACACTGCTCGCAATACCCTTGAGGGTAGTCATCGACCACATTGGGAACCCTAAGCTGCCGGAGCCTGTAGCTGGCAGTTCTGAAGCCCTCGACCCTTATTCTATCAAGGGATTCAGCAGTCTGATCAACCTGCTCAAGAGCGGAAACGTGTGGGTGAAGATATCGGCAGCATATCGGTTCTCACAGCTACAGGACCCGGAATTCAAAGACTTGGATCCTTTGATCAAGGAGATTCTTAGAGCTGATAGCACCAAGGCGGTATTTGGAACTGACTGGCCCCACACACAACACGAAGGCCTGGATATTCGGCCCTGGGTCAGACACTTGGCGGAGTTGACCAGCGCGGACAAGACAGTTCAGCGGAGGGTTTTTCGAGACAATGCTTCTGATTTGTGGGATAGTCAATAATTTAATCCGATGGTTTTCTATTGTATTATGACCGGCCGCCACTTTCCTACACTCGTCGCCACTCGTGGTTAACCACCCAACGTCACTGGTGCAGTGGATGTATCATAAAGTAACCGAATTTCATCTACAGCTCCAGGGGAGCCTCGTGGCACCACTCTCCCATGTTTGAATTTGAGGAGTTGACCCGTCAGCAATGGAGTGGCCCCCCAACTTCAACCACTTTAACAGCTTACTCGCCGACGACGGAGTCCGCATCGACCTGCATTAAGAGGCTCATGACTTTCATTAGTACATCGGGGTTAAGTTTAGATGTCAATGTGGATTAGATGGAATTGGATGGAAGCATCGACGGTCGGAATAATAGCTTCATGGATGATAACTTCAGAACGAATGGTTCAGTCTAACGAATAATATCTATGACACAATGTGGGATGAGCGGGTAATAAGAGCCAACTCGAGGATAGATTTTGACCAAACTTTAGGTAAAATCTTCTGCACCAATGAGTTAACAAGACTCTCGAAGAAATACCCATTTCAATAGTTTATTGGTGTTGGGTCTATATCCGAGCAACCAATCGTTCGGGGCCCACGCCCGAGAGGTTGACGGGGGACCTCCGATGGTTGCTGGGGCCATCCCTTCTTCAGCTTCAAGGGCCTAGGCACGTTGGCCAATCCACCAGCATAGCGTGACTCATGTATAGGTCCACTTGGGCTTATTTCGGACCTCGCCCGTACGGTGCAGGGAAAAGCACGAACCCTGACTGTCACCTGTCCTTGAACTGCACTACAACAGTCCGGATGTTCTCCAGGACGAACGAACATGGGGAACATGTTTGAATGCGGGGGAGATAGCCTTTAGGGTGGGTTCCAAGGATTTAGTTTAGGCCCCTCACGCATCCCAATTTTCGGGGAATTCCTCGCGACTCGGTGAGAAATCGCGTGGCCAAAGTATAAAGGACGTTGACCTCCAATCTCTGTCTTTGCGATTGTACCTCTATCCAACACACCCGCCCCCCCTGTCACCTCTTGCACTCTCAATCTGACATCGGAAGAAATGAAAGACAGCACAGTCGAGGAAACAATGCCTTCCGGGGTTGCCTCGAAGATCGATTACGAGGATGCCACCCACGTTGAGTATGAACCGATCGACCCCGAGGAGGAGAAAAAGTTGGTGCGGAAGCTCGACATGGTTATCATGCCGATGATGGCGTTCGTTTACTTTTTCCAATGTATGCGAGCCCCTAACAACCTATAATATCGAGGTCTTTCTTACTGACTATGGGTACCATCCAGATATCGACAAACAAACCATCAACTACGCGGCCATCTTTGGCCTAAAAACCGATCTTAAACTTACTGGTGACGAGTTCTCATGGGTCGTATCTCTATTCTATCTGGGCCAGCTCTGCTCCCAGTGGCCTGCTGCGTACCTGCTGAGCCGACTTCCCATCACGGTGTTCGTCGGCGGAACCATCATTGCCTGGGGCGCCGTCGAGATGTGCCTCGCTTCCCCGAGTAACTTTGGCGGGATGGCGGCTATTCGATTCTTCCTAGGTTTCACTGAAGGAAGCGTCTCGCCCGCCTTCATCATCATTACATCCCTGTGGTACAAGCGCAGCGAGCACAACTCTCGAGTGTCCACGTGGGTGGCCATGAACGGCGTCGCCCAGATTGTTGCAGCTCTTTTGATGTACGGTATTGCTAAGAACCAGCACGCCCTGGCCCCCTGGCGCGTCTTGTTCTTGGTGAGCGGTGGCATGACCATTGCTTGCGGAGTTGTCTTTGTGCTATGGATGCCGCGAAGTCCCGGCACTGCATGGTTTCTCAACGAGAAGGAACGATCCTTGGCTGTCCGACGACTTGCAGCTGACCGTGGTACCAAGGAAGGCTCTGACTTCAACTGGGCTCAGGCTAGAGAAGCTTTGACTACACCGACCACATGGCTGTACTTCATGATGGCTCTCGGACTTACGCTTCCTACTCCGATTATTAAGGTTAGTCTCTGATCTTACCGGACTCTATCTGATTTTATCTATCTAACACCTCCTCTTCTAGTTCTCCTCCACTGTCATCAACGGCTTCGGCTTCGACACCTACAAAACCATGCTCGTGGGTCTCCCCGCTGGCGTTTTCAGCAGCGGCTCCGTCATCCTCGCGGCTATCCTCCCGGCATACATTCGAATCAAATACATCCGAATCTGCACAGGCTTGATCGTCACCGCTATCCCATTAATTGGCTCAGCACTCATGACCAGCCTACCCCTCGACGCCAGCTGGGGAGTCGTTGTCGCCACCTGGCTTGCGGGCGGCTTCGCGGGAACCCTGAGCATCTCAGCTGGTCTCATGGCCTCCAACGTCAAGGGAAACACCAAGAAGTCGGTCGTATCTACTGGGTTCTTCGTGTGCTATTGTATTGGCTGCCTGGTGGCTCCCCAGGCGTGGCAGAGCAAGGATGCGCCGCGCTACAGCACCGGCAACTATCTCAGCATTGGCTCCCTCTGCTTGCTGTTCCTCACTTTCATCGCCTACGGAGTTGAGATGGAGCGTAGGAACAGGAACCGTGACCGCAAGGCTGCTCACGGCGACAGCCGTTACCTTGTCACGGAGGCCGATGGCGTTGCTACTGGGGTTTCGCTTAGCTCGGACATGACAGATATCGAGGACAAGGTTTTCCGGTATAGATTTTAGGTTTCTGGCTGTGTAGAATATTCCATGGATTGAAAGGCAAAGTTCTTTTCTATTCTGTGAGATATCCCGAAGGAAAGATTGGAGCAAGTTAAGATCACAGCATCGGCTTAATTGACAACCTTAAATTCATATCTTAAGGTATCTCTCTATAATAGAACCAAACCAGACATAACAGTGGCCTCATGTGCTATTACGGGTACGTAAGAGAAAGCGAGTAGCTTCACTCACACAGTAAAAAGCAGCAACGGATTATTTTTAACCGTGTAAGTCGAACTATTTTCTGTCTCCTACGTACCCATAATAGAACAGGAGCCCACTGGAGACCCGTGAGGCAGCGCAGCCTTTCATTACCACAAAGTGGTAGCAATCATAGCCAACCCGCCTAATATAACTGATACAGTCCGAGATGGCTGGCTAAAGCTTGATGCGCCCGAGGAGCCCTGATAGGCCCAGGTCTCACACCCTCCATGGCCTTTATTGTAGTCTTCCGCGATGTTGATGGCGAAACTTTTAACAGAGTAGGGTGTCGTACGACACTGGCCACCAGGCTCTGTTTGGCAACTGTCCTCAAACCAAGGATTCAAGTCAGGGTCTGCATCCTCCTTTTCTGGATCTAGCTGCTTGCAGTCTGGAAACGCGTAAAAGTAAACGACCCAACTAGCATTTTCCCCAACTTGAATGTTGCCCGGCGCGTACTGCTCGTACCATACGCGGGAGTAGTTGGTCTGCGAGTCGTAGCTGCCTTCGCTCTCGAGGCGCCAGAATATACCATTGGGTTCTTCCGTATTGTACACGTGTTGGGTGGCATTGGTGAATCCGGTCGTATTTGACTGAGAAAAGATATCTGAGACATTGAAGCAGGTGTAGCTGTTTGGAATTGTCTGTGTGGTGAGCGCCAGTCTATGGGTTGTGGCGTTGATGTCGCAGGAGTCTCCTTGTTCACTGGAGAAGAATGCGACAGTGAGATTGCCAGAGCTTAAGAGGGTTTGAGTGTCAACAAAACCAAAAGTCAAATAGTACATATCAGGCGCTTACTGTCCGATGGGCACGGTGGCAGCAAAGGCATAAGCAGCCAAGTAGCCGTAGACAACGACTGATCCGAGCATGGAGACCATCATTGGCAAATCTCGAAAATATTTTGCTGGTCAAGGTTCTCTTCCCCAAGCTCTAAGCATTTAATATAAATATCTACCAAGATGACGTCACGAAATTAATGCTGACATGGTGAAACTCGTTTGAGCTCGAAATATAACTGATCGACATTGGGTCCATCTTAGTCCGCTGAGGCACGGTTTCTTTGAGAACCTGTGTAAAATAAAGATGATCACCCTGTTAACCCCCGTGTCAAGATACGTCACGTTGTTTTTCCAAGCAAAACAGAGTTCATCTGGTCAAAGAAAAGAAGTTGGCATCTGGGAGCCTTTGGTTTTCCCAACAGCTAGAATATCGGGTCCGTCTGTCGTTGTTCGAATCAGTCGCTCTGAATTATGCGACAGGCCGATGACGTTTTAGTGCACAGTTGGGATTAATGGCGGTAGTTGAATGAGGAAATTGCCGAAGGAGTGACCACTCTATAGCTCCGCTCATCACATCAAATCGTCCGATTGTCATTATAAGCACGGATCTCGCTTGCTTGAGTCATGCTGAACATCCTTTCCCCGGCCGGCAATGTCAAAGGTCATCATTTTTGCCCCAGATTACGGGGAAAGTTTCAGAACACAGGCGAGCCCATCTTCTTGGCGTATGATGACCAATGCAAGCCGGAATACTCAAGCGGGATAGCGGAAGCGAGCCATGAGGCTCGGGCTTTGGGCCGGAAAATTGTATCTGTAGTTGTCTTGCTTGTTTAGAGAATGGATTGTCTGTTTTGCAGCGAGCGCTCTCTCCAGAATTTCTCAACCGCTATGAATAAATCTCAATCTAACCCCTGAGGTTGGATATTTCATCTTCTAGAACAGTAACTTCTAACCCTTAAGAATAGGATTAGTTATTTTTACACTCATTTCTGCATAGAAGCGGCGTGACTGGAATGGCAAGTCAACATCTCCAAGGCCTGTAGGCACGCTTCATCATTATTGGTGCCCGCCATATTGACGAAGAACGACCACTTGGTTTATGGCTAAAGTCGAGTCGGTGAAGAATATTCTGGCCCTACCGAATCCGGTAAAATTAACCACCGCCTCCATCATCGTGGGGAAGCACGACAGTCCGGTCATCCCCGCATTTAGTAACTATTGATCAAGATCGGCAGCTGTCTCTCCACGCAGGCCTCGCGGGGAGAGTGCAAGCACGCGAGGTGCTCTTCATTGTGGAACTAATACCACCGGTGCTCTAGGGCTGCTTTCATAGCTTGAATCGGACCGAATCTCAGTGGTTGAAAGAGGCAATCCTAATCGCAACTGATGCTGGAGTCATTTGGAGGAGTAGCGATAGGAACGCGATATAAAGTCGGCTGTCCAACTCGGTAGAATGGCCGAGAGTTACGGATGAACAGCAAACACTGCCTACAATGCTCTACCAACGGCTTCTTCTGGGGTTTGCTCTTCTAGTTCCCGTCTTCGGCAATCCTGCCGGGGACCAGCAATGCCTGAGTTCACGATATGAGCACAAAACCAGGCTGTTTGTTCTCACCGATATGAGCAATGAGCCTGACGATCAGATGAGCTTTGTACGTCTACTTACCTATGCCAACGAGATCGATATTCGAGGGATTGCAGCGACTACATCGACTTGGCTACGCAACAAGACGGACCCAGAGACCATCCGGGAGGTCATCGGTGGATATGGAGAAGTTCTTGACAATCTCAACGCTAATGTTCCTAATGATGCCTCCTACCCTCCAGCGCATGAGCTCCTTTCGAAGGTCTCCATGGGCCATGCCGTATACGGACTTGCGTCACTCAAGCTTCCATTAAGCGGTGCGGCTGAAGCCCTTCTAAAGGCCGCGGATGATGCAAAAGCTGAAGATCCGCTCTGTGTGTCTGTTTGGGGCGGAGCAGCCGTTCTAGCCGAAGCACTGAACCATGTTTCCAAGACCCGAGAGAAGGAAGCTATAGAACTATTCGTGAGCAAGCTTCGTGTCTACTCTATTTCGGATCAAGACGACGCGGGAGCCTGGATACGCACCAACTACCCCGAGTTATTCATGGTCGTCTCTCTACACGGGTTCAACGAGTACACGCGTGCAACCTGGAACGGCATATCTGGAGAAGAGTACAGGCACTTTGATAAAGGCGGACCTGAAACGTCGCTAGTATCAAACGCATGGCTTGAGAAGAACATTCGGATCGGTGCTCTTGGAGCACACTATTTGAATTGGACTTTCATCATGGAAGGCGACACTCCAGCATTCCTGACGCTTATTCGGAATGGATTGGGAGATGTAGAACACCCCGACTGGGGAAGTTGGGGAGGCAGATACACCCTGGCAGATGCATCCGGGAACCATCAAGTGTATGCGGACTGCACAGACTACGTTCAAGGTGCCAACGGGGAAGCTTTCATCAGCAGCTTTGCGACCATCTGGCGCTGGCGACAAGATTATCAGTACGACTTTGCAGCCCGCATGCAGTGGACTATCAATTCTGATTATAGCAAGAACAACCATCAACCAGTTGCAGTGGTCAATGGGACATGCGGGCCATCGGCATTGAAATTAGACTACGTTAAGGGAGCAGAAGTCGTGCTCGATGCATCAAACAGCTGGGATCCTGACGGCGATGGGCTGTCATTCGAATGGTTTCACTATCGCGAGGCGGGAACTAGAGGGTTGGAAGGATTTAACATACCACTGATCAGCCAGGATGTGAAAATAGCAAAGTTAAATGAGCAAGGAAGCATTGTGAGTCTAGACGTCGCCAAGTCCTCCAAGGTAAGTCGTCTCGTTCTAGCTTATGGTTTCTGGTCTAATTGTGCAAATAGCCACTACACATAATCCTTGCTATCCGTGATGATCACGACATGGCTTTGGTAACTTATAGGAGAATCATTTTGAGCGCAAAGGATCCTCAAAATTTTTCGATTAGGGCGCTGGGGGAGGATTTTCAAGAGATGGAATACTATCGTGGTTGAAAGGCTCATAAACGGGATATATGAGGAGTGTATTTAATTTCCAGGACTCCCCGTTGGTCTGTTCTACTATTGATAACTTTATCTGCCTTGAATAGTGGTGGCATCAAATCTTGCCCAACGACTGTAGGTTTCTTAGCCTGTCCAAATATCTGGCCCTGGACCTTTGTAAGCCTTTAGGAGATCTGACGGCTTGTAGGGGTTATACATGGCTTGTGGCAGCCAAATTCCTACAAGTCATATTAGTAATGATTTATTACAATTGTATTGTTCTGCTGGCAACCTACCCGGATCAGCAGGATCATATCCAGGGAGCTTAACAGTCGGCCCGGGTGTACCTGAAGAGGAGTTAACTTGGACGAAAGTCCTGTCAGATGAGATGTTGGTCCTGCTTACCGTCGCCGGATCCCGTCACCTCTACCTGAGCACAGTTTACGAACATCTGTGTCTGGTTAAAGTAAGGAGAGATGTTAAAATGCTCGACCCTCACGAGATATAGTCCGGGTGGTGTAGATGCAGGGATAGTAAAGTTCATCTAGACGGCAAGTTAGTCGCAGCAGTTCAATATACAACCACAGCATTGATTGAAAGGTTCTGAGATCTACCTCAGGCTGACGATCTGAGTCCCAATGCATCCCATCGGATGCGCCACTGGTTCCAATCTTGAACCAGTCTCCGTCGCCCTCATAATCTTCAATTGCTCCGGGTGCTTTGGACATATAGGCCTGGCCTGGGCCAAGATGACCAATGCCATCCATGGCGGGATCAAACTATTCGAGCATCAGACATATGGCAGCTACATCGAGAGTAATGCGAAGCTCACCTCTCGCACGGGGACATACCCCGGCTTGTAGCTGGCGGCGAATGCGCGGAACCCGATGACAGAGCCCGCCTCGATCTTGGCGGTGCCAGTCTGGTTGCCGGTCTTTGTTGCGCCCCAGCCGCAGATCATAGGCTCCGAGTCCCAGCTGTAGTCTGGAAACCACGTATACCCTGCACTGTTGAGGGCGGTCGGTCTTCCTATCGTTAGTACTCTTATAGCCTATCCTTGGGCACAGGGTATTGCTCACCGAACAAACTCCCACCATTTGGACACGACGCCGTTGATCAAAACAACAGGGAATCCATCTAGTTATGCATGTTAGCCCTTTGCACAATAGCTCTAGGAATTCCATTACTTGCAATGGCTAGTGACAACAGTGAAATGGGATAAGAGAATTCCCAACAGGAAAGCTGTCTGGTACCGAACACCTCGAAACGAGAACATCATGGTAGGCCTATGAGGATCACAATACAATCAAGAGTTATTTTCGTTTTGATGTTAACATATGTTCTCATCTGATCTCGAGTGCGTGAGTGGTCTCTTTTGTGTCCTGGTTGCTGCTGGACGCTTCGCCTGCTATACGCGGTTGAGAAGGGCCTAAATTCCACTCTGTCAGCAAGACAATGCACACATGGAGTAGGTGTCAGCGAGCCAGGACCACTGGTGTGTTACATCAACATGGGTGACTATGATGATGAAATGTTCTCATCGGAAGCCTAACTCCAGTCCAAATACAGTCAGCATAATCGTACTTATTGGGTAGTAACGGAATAAGACAACCCGGGTGTTACGTTAAGATAAACAGGCATGACAATAGATGGTTCTAATCGGAAGCATAATTCCGGTCTGAAAGCATTCTACATACATATATTTTAGGTGGGTGTCAGTAGATTGGGATACCTCGGGTTTCATATTTCTAATCAAAAGTCTGATTCTAGTCTGATTGTGCTCGGAATGTAGAATAGGCGAATGAAACCATCTGCGCGAGTTGCCAAATTAGGAGAGTAGCAGATGATCAAGAAGTAACCATGAAGTAAATGTTACGAATATGACCCCATATAGACGTCGCGGTAACTCTACGTTGGCTGTAGCTTAGGCTATGTGATAATCCTAACTCAACGGGTTGTAAAATAAAAGTCGTACTGACTTACTTTTATCAAATTGGAAGATATCCGCTTCTACCCTTTAATAGAAGCTAGAGCAACTACAAAAGCTCCATTGCCTTGATGTCCAAGTACGTACATGATATAGATTGCTCTGTCTATAACCCAATCGAAGATGCTAGTTCCTAGGATCATGACTTAGGCTATTATCTACTATGCACGCTACCTTGACATTGACTGAAAAGGAAATGAGGTATTCTGTCAATCCGTCGACTCCTATAAGTCAATCAATATGCAATGAAACATGCCCTTCTTTGATTTAGCATAATAAGGAAGAGCGGCCCGAAAACAGGTTTATAGTCGGATCTTCTAGAACTAGAAGGTAACCTAAATCGACAGTTACAGAGAGTCCTGACACAACGTGACATCTCTTCGGGGCTGATTAAAAAGCATGGAGTTCTGAATGGTTAAGTTGCAAGATTCAACGCTATCAATGTTCGACGACGCTCTCCGTTTCATAACCTTGAGGTTTCTGGTTTATCTAGTCAGCTTGTACGACATTCACTCACTCGATTATGCATATTCATAGTGCAACGTTTGCTCTTCTGGGGCTGTTCGCTGGTGCGCATGCCCGGGTGGCATCGAGGACCACCGAGCGTAGAGCAGACAAGGTTGCAGATCCCCCCATCCCAACAAGCACACTCATAACCGACTTTCAAAAAGACGGTGTGAATTCCAGCTGGGCTGAGGGCCATCCCAAGATTTGGGCAGCCGCAGCAGTCGATTTCAAGGGACCGGCCGTCGTTGACGTGAGCGCAGACGAGAAGTTTATCGTCGTTGCATCTGGAAGAAACGTGACGATCCGCGACACCAGCACCCAGGAGATTGTGTCTAGTGTCCTGACTGATGCATCTGGGAGCGCTAATACCGTCTCGATTTTCCCAGACGTGGACGAGGGGTATAGTGTATTTGTTGCGACCTCGGATACCGCAAGTAACAAGGTCACTCGGTTCCGCTTCTCATCTGGCGGAGCCGTGGTCGGCGAACAGACACAGTATGACGGTCTTTTGTCAACATTTGATGGGCGACGCGGCCCGTTCAACGAGGATGGTCGGCGCTTTCTGGCCGCCACAGATCGCAGTGTTAGGCAGTTGACTATCTACGACGTTGACAACCCAGACTCAAACGTCGTTCTTACTGGCCACACGGACAGGCTTATAAGCGCAGCCTTCAGCCCAGATGGAGCTCTCGTGTCAACTGCATCGTGGGATCAATCCATGAAGCTTTGGAATGCCTCGACGGGGGAGTTGGTACATTCGTTTGGCCCATCAGGTGGGCAAAACTGGAAGACAAACTTCTCGCCCGACGGGAAGTATGTCGTCTTGGGTACATCAGCGGCAAAAGGTACCGTCAACATCTGGTCCCTCGCAGATGTGACCGCTCCACCTATCGTGATCAGCAACTTCGGTGACTGGGTCCGGACGGCCTCGTGGACATCGGACAGCAAGTTCATTGCCGCGGGTACCTACGGGATCGTCCAGGTTTACTCCATGGATGAGCAAAAGGTCATCCAGCGCTGGCAGACAGAAGATCCTAGGTTCGAGTCATGGGAGCTTTTCTGGATCGAGGAGGAGTCTGGCTTGAAACTGGCATATCGTATCACTGCTGGCTTGGAAGTGTATGATTTTGAATCCAACCTCAAATACCGGTGGGGCCCACACGCGTACGCACAGTATAATGGAGGCGGCTCTGGCGACGATACAACCTTGATTAAATCTCGCGGGTGGATTGGTGGAAGCGATGCTGATGCGGATGTGAGATTCTACGACTTTTCGGTCTAGCTGTCATGTATAAGGGTTATATTGCACTAAACAGTATGGGACAGAATTTGACAACTTCTCAGTAGTTCTGAACATGTTTATAACCTTTGCTATAGTAATTAGACTATCTGGGCAGGTCTATATCACGCTCGGTACATCTTATCTGCGTTGGTACCGCAATAGCAAGCAGATCATGGGGTACTAGCAATGGACGTCTCTGAGTCTGCGAGGCATTTGATTTACTTCTCTTCAGCGCAGTTAGTTCCGATGTATCACATGGCGGCATGAATTAATGCTAGGCGATCAGCGAGCGAACTATAGTGTTATCCTCGCTCATTGTTCACTAAACTGCCAATAAGGAGTTTCGAGAAATCAAGTCTATATATATAAATATAGAACCGTAGCTACTCTACTTAATCAATATCCATTGGAAACATCCTTTGCCCTCGGGCGGAAAGGTGTCTTCGCATGTTTTCAACAAAGTTCTCCACAATCTGGCCCTTTTCATTCCTATCAAATAAATAGTAAAACACTCTGGCTTCCGGGGATAAGAGACCATTATCTGTTTCATCCAGCTATATAAGAGCTGTAAGGGAAGAGAACAAAGCCCCGTAAAGTCCAAAAGCACCTACTCGCGGATGCAAGAACATAGGTATTATCTCCGAAATTCTCCTCTACAAGTCCCTGATCGAGCCTCCGGGCCTGAAGGGGCTTGGAACTAGCTGGCCTGAAGCGGACTGGGAGATGGCATACAGGAAGATGCCAGTGCTCCAATACCCGCTCATGCTGTGTGCAGAGACCAGGTGGCTGAAGATCCGGTCCGTTTGTGTCGTGTCTGAGATAAGTGGACTTGATTTTGGAGCCAGATCCTGCCCCAAGGCCAACCATTCGGCTATTAGCACTTGGCACTTTTTGGTCAGGGATCTTCGCTTTACCTCCTTTTTTTTTCACTGGGATGGGATGTGATGAGCTGATGAGTAGCGAAAGGAGGTCTGGTATTTCGGCAAATATGTCTCCTAACAGATCCTTCGGTGTCCTAGCAATGCGTTTCCATAGATCCATTTTCCAGTTTGGCTTGTTGAGTGCTGAAGGCGTCCGACTAATAATTAAGGTGGAAATCTATTAACCAAGTTATTCGGTAATATCCATATACAGGAATCAGAAGAAAAAGGCCTACCTGCGTACTCCTCCCATCTATGGATAACTGATAAGCAAATCGCGACGCTAATTGTTCAGTTACTCGGGAAGGCACAACCTCAGACTCGCCTCCGGTGTGCAGTTGCCACGTTCGTGCTTGGGCAAGTCGATCGTTGTAGTCATGGCCATAAAGAACCTGTTAAACAGTTACATGTTAATGTGTGTTAAGAGATAATGGGAAGACTGGCACTGGATGCTGCACCACCTCATATAGAGAACAAAGCCTCGATGTGGCCAAGAGGCTGCTGGGAGTAGATCGTGTATTGCTTCCAATCTCTTCTGCTAGTGTACTGAGGCAGCTGCCATACATCCTCGTCCCACTCTCAACCAGGCATGTTTTGTTATCGTAGAGCCCGACATTAGCAAGGGAAATGGCCAGCAGGATCATTCTTATTGCAATTTGGTTGTCTTCGTGGACGAGCTTTTGCACATGGTTGAGCCATAGTTCAGTGGTATGCTGCGCGGATCCGGCAGGAAATTTGCGACCATTGGGAAGGTAAATGTCCCAAAAGAGGCCCAGATACCGCTCCTGGTAGGCAGAACGCGTGAGGGACTCTTCTGGGCAACCCTTTGGTTGACTTTACGCCCGCGAAGGGCGAGTGCTGCTGTCTCCTGTGTGGCATTTACCCAAACGACCGCTCGCTCATATCCCCACAAGTAAGTTTGCCCCTTTGACACTGGCCACAAGTTAGACGCTGAAGGTCGCACTGGAGGAGATGAGTCGATGGCAGATCATTTCCCGATCCCATTGATGGTAATGGACAATTGCGTAAACATCCAGGCATATCACCCACACCTTCCGTGCTATATTGGTATTTTGAGGTAGGCTGTTTGGATTGTCTGATAACTGGTCCAAGTCCGCCAGAGCTTCTTCAAGCACGTCAAGCCCACCAGCCACCACATGCGGCCGGTTGGGCGTAAACGTCCCCTGTGCAAGGCAGCCGTCTTCGCCGCCGAGGAACCTGGCAAGGGGGATGCTAAGGGGTCGCAGTTCTAGCGAGCTACCAAGGCCCAAAATCTGCTTAATCGGAGGGTTTGAACTCTGGCCAAGCTCTGTCGCCTCGGGATCAGGGGCATCGGGCGAGACGGTGTGTACAGTGACCAGGTGGCTGCCTGGTCTCCCCACTTTCTGGATGATCTGAATTCTGTCACATAGGGCTCGCGGTTGGAAATCTGCTGGCGCAGTTGAATTCAGGTCACCTACATCCTTCGATGGTGTATGGTCATTCCCGTTATGGATCTGCAACATCTATTCGTGATACCACCGCCAATCGCAATAGCATCAAAAAGTTCGTATCACCAACTTTCTTCGTCCCCCGATAGCGTGCAGGGCTCTCATTCCAGGCAAACAATTTGAGAGTTCAGAAATAACTGGGGTGTAGGTTTATGCACTTGGCCGCAATCCTGCTTTCACCTACACCCACGTGCATTTGTGCAATACCGCTGCCGTGGGAACAAGGGTTCATAGCGTATTAGTCCCAAATGCCTTTAGATGGGAGGGGAAAAGACAGCCAAGTTACTGCATTCATTACAGGCTTTATTTCTAGTACTGAAATTATTAGTACCAGCCAGTATATTACTATATAAATAATTAGACTTCAGCTTATCTTACTTCCCCAGCTATAGATATAAGGGATTATATATCTCTATTAGTACTATAATCTTAGTAGAATATCTTAATATCTATTAGTATATTACCCTAAGGTACTATTTCAGAGTAATCAGGAACTATATCCTGATAAGTATTATAAATATATTTTAACCTAAGATACCTCTAAGATAAATTCTTTATAAAGCTAAGAAGAGTATTTTTTCTAAATAAGAATTTAATACTTTAGAAAATATTATTAGTCTTTATCTCTAGTTCTATAAGCTCTATAGCGAGATAAAAGATCTAGGAGATAAGTTTTATTCTGAGTCTGCTAGTAGGAATAGAGCTATCCAGAAGTAAATAGGGAATATATTAGACTTTTATATCAAGTAGTATATCTAAATATATTCTAATTTTTAGATAGCTACTAAGAGAGTAAGGTTCTATATTTATTTAGTAATAAGTATATAGTAGTATATATATATATATATTTTCAAAATATAATATTATAAATATATATCTCTCTATTAAATTATCTTAAGATATATATATAGGAGCTATATATATTACTAGCAGCTGCTAGTTAGAATAAGTTAAGAAGTTATAAGTAGGGGACTAAGCTAGAAATAGAGAATTTTATACTACTAGTAATAAGCTTGTTCAGATAAATTTAGAAGCTAAAAGAGAAGTAGATAAGTTAGATAGAGCTTATATAAAGTTCTAGATATATAAGCTTTACTCCCCTTTATAAGGCTCTAACCCTAGCTAGTATAAGATAGTTTATTAGTTAAACTCTAAGAATAAGAGTAATACTATTTCCTAGACTTTTAGATAATTTTTAAATTTATATTACTAATACTTATACTATTTTTACTAAAGTTAAATACAGATTAAAATATAGCTTTTATTTACTTTTTAAATTATTACTTATATAGCTTATATAATAGTTAAGCTTCTAATCTTATTTTAAAAATATAATAGAATAAATAAGAATATTATAAAAGCTATTAAAGGTCTTATATAAAGAGATAATAAAATAAACAGTTACTTTAATATTAATATCTATATTATAGTATAATAAAATAATTAATATTAGAATTATAACTCTTTTAATAGCTTATTATTTCCCCCTCCTCTTATAGAAATAGTAAGTAATCTTAATCTGGGTCTATTTAGTACTTAGTAAGCTAACTTTATTATATATAGAAATAAGCCTATTTACTAGCTGTAAAGAGATCTCCGGTAAGCTTCCAGTATACCCAGAATACTATACTGTTATTATCTGCTTCTAACTCAACTACTGATTAGATAAGCTCAGGGGATAAGATTAGCTGTACTCTTTGAGTAGTTAAAGCTTTTAATATCGAAGACTTGGGCTATAATAATATATAAATTAATAATAGCCAATGGCTAGCCGTCTCTTATCAAAGTAGTAAAAGCCGAGTCTAGGAATTACCCTCCGTATATAGTATATCCAAGGATGGGTTAATCCCAGAACATGGCCTAGTATGTGCTAAATATACTCTCGTAATCGAGACATATTACCGGATTTGATTCTGATATATATATAGGCCTATGAAGTACTGTAGGTTTCGAAATAGGTTTCGCGGGTTTCGTTAGTTAATATTATTAGTTATCCCTGTTTTTAGCCTTTATAGGGCTACTTAATATATATAAATATACTGATATAAACCTTCTTAATAACTATATAGCTTATTCTAGCTTTTCTCGGGCAGCCTCTCAGGTAATACTGTACCTAGCGAAGTATTATCTAAAAATTATATATTTATTCCTATCTAATTTAATATATCTAAAAAATTTTTCTCTTTCTCTGAAGTTTTAAATAAAAGATAACTAATTATATATAAACTAATAGCTATTATTAGTAGCTTCTATTATTTAAATTAGTAGGTAAATTAAATTTACTAGCTAATCTCTATTTCCCTACTATAGTATATTCTATATATATATATATATAGAAGTATATCTATTCTATAATTTATTATAAATTATATTATTATATATCAGAGTTATATAGATTACCCCTGCTTTTTCTAACTAATTACTAATAGATTATTAGGATTTTATAATAGTTCTAATAATTTAAAATAATAGATTATTACTAAGTATTAATAATTCCTTAGTATATATATATATTTATTTTACTAAATAAAATACTCTTTTAAATAGTTATTAATATAATTATCTATATATTTATTATTACTAGCTTTATAATATTTATATATTAATAATAATTTATATTATATAGTTTATAATAATCTAATTATATTATTTAGAATAATATTCTAATTAGTTTAATTCTAATCTATTTTAGATTTTATTTAATATAAGTTATCTAATTATTATATATTAATAACTCTTATTTAGCTAATTATCTTATCTTAATTACTATATAATAATAAAGAAGATATTATAATTATTATAGTTTCTTTAGTTTAATAATAAAACTCTATTACTAATAATCTATTTACTCTAAATAATAATAATAATACTATAAATAAAAATAGTAATAATAATAATAGTAAGAGTAATAATAATACTAAGATTAAGTTTTTATAAATCTAAGTTCTTTAACTTTAGAAATATCTTATAATTATTTAATAGAAAATAATTATTATTACTATCTTTATAAAATAATAAGCTATTTAGAATATTAATCTTTAGATTTAGATTTAGATTATAATTTAAAGAAAAGAACTAAAAGTACTATTTAAGCTATTATTATTTAAAATATTTAATAGAACTTAAGATAAATTTTAAGGGTTTATAATCTAATTCTAAGTATATTTTAACTATTTTTCTATTATTTTTAATAATAATAAATAATAAGTTATTTATATTTATTTATAACTTAAGAAAGTTATACTTAATTAATTTAAATCTATTATAAAGAAATATCTTAATAATTAAGAAAACTAATAAATTATTAATATTATAATAAGTTTTAATTATTTAATAGAGATTCTCTAATAAATCTTTAAAATTTAAAATAAAAGATATAAAGTAGAATATAAAATTAATAAACTCTTTTAGATTAGATCTATCTCTATCTTTAGAAGTAAATATCTCTAGTTTTTAATAAAAACTAGATAGAACTAGGAATATATTATATTATACTACTTTAATAGATTAAAAAAAGAAGTTTAAAAGAAGTTCTATAAAGAAAATAAGTTAATAAATATTTATAAATATATAACTATAACTATAAGAATTAATAATTAATAATATTATTAGTAAACTTATAATAAAAAGATAATATATTATATTAATACTAATTAACTATAATAATAATAATAATCTATAGTTTTATAATAATTAGATAACTTATACTAAATAGAGTATAAAATAGATTAGAGTTAAACTAATTAGAGTATTATTCTAAGTAGTATAATTAGATTATTATAAGCTATATAATATAAATTACTATTAATATATAAATATTATAAAGCTAGTAATAATAGATATATAGATAATTATATTAATATTATAAATAAAAGCCTCTATAATAGATTATATAGTTATATATACCCTACTATTAGAAAAATAGAAATAATAGAAGTATTATACTCCTATTATAAAATAAGAATAGATTACTAGAAGTAATATATTCCTTATACTCTATAACTATTATATATATATATTTATTTTATTAAATAGAATACTTCTTTAGATAGTTATTAATATAATTATCTATATATCTATTATTATTAGCTCTATAATACTTATATATTAATAGTAACTTATATTATATAATCTAAAATAATCTAATTATACTACTTAGAATAATACTCTAATTAGTTTAATTCTAATCTATTCTAAACCCTATTTAATATAAATTATCTAATTATTATATATTAATAACTCTTATTTAGCTAATTATCTTATTTTAATTACTATATAATATTAAAAGATAAAATAGCTTCTATTAAACTATTAAATAATACTCTATAAGCTCTAATAGCTTAGGAGATTATATAATAGCTTATAGTCTAGATTAAATAATTTAAAAAGAAAAAGATAAAAAATAAAAGGAAAATAATATAATTAATCTTTTTAGAATTCTTTTTAGATAATACTAATAAACTAGAAGAATTTAAAATCTAACTTTAAATATATTTTAAATTCTTTCTAATTAAA